TTATAATTTGCAACTTTAATATGTGCCTACAGTCAAGTGGATGTAATTTGTTGTCTTCATAACTTATTTTGGTTTAATGCTATGACAGTGGTTCAAAGTTTTCTCGTTTGAATTGTTTCACATTTTAATATCCCTTTATGACATTCTATTCAATATGGGTTTTGCTCATTGTTGAAGGCTGTCACAGAGGGATCTGTAGTTGTTAACATTCTTGTCCTTATAATTGTTTCTTTGGCAATCATACCACATCTCCTTATTTTTCTGTTTCTTTGGCAATCATACCACATCTCCTTATTTTTCTGTTTCTTTGGCAATCATACCACATCTCCTTATTTTTCTGTTTCTTTGGCAATCATACCACATCTCCTTATTTTTCTGTTTCTTTGGCAATCATACCACATCTCCTTATTTTTCTGTTTCTTTGGCAATCATACCACATCTCCTTATTTTTCAATGGAACTTAGAACACACCCGCAACATCGCGGGTCCGTGACTGATTTTAAGTACCTATGCCTTATTTTTAGCCTGAATTTTTAGTATTCATATTGTCATCTGATAAAGTCATGCTGATTGTAAGGTGCACAGTTTTCTCTGTTTTCAAAATCTTTCTGTTTGAACCCGTCCTTGTTTACTTACTACAATAAACTTACTATAAACTAAATTTAAATCTTGAACTAATTAACCAACATTAATAGTGGTATTGAGGTGGAAAAATTCCAGGTTCTCCTGATAGAGGAGAGATTTACAGAAGGTAACAGGTTACAAACGGTATCATATTAGACCGGGAACTTGTTAATTATTGAAAATATTAATTATGTGGAAAACAAAAGGGCCTGGAATAGTGTAATTTTTAAACAACACCATTGTCCTATATTAGTTATTCAAAAGTTGAATTCTTTGTCTACGTCTACGTCATGCTGGCTAACAAATTGAACCTCTTTATTTTAGTAGTATAGATGTTCTGCTTTGATTATCAATCTTTAGGCAGGTAATGAGGGGCATACAAAGGGTTATTATTTCCTTTCTTTCTTCCCTTGTCTTGTTAATCTCACTTCTTATGAACTTGAATATTGTTCTATTCAGAATGATGTTAACAATTATAAACCAGCTTTTAATGTGCACATCATTTGAAGATGTTGGATATATGTTTAAAGTTTAAACAGAGGTGAAAGATATCAAAGGATAATCAGACTCGTAAGTTGAAAAACGAACTGACAATGCCATGTCAAAAAACGATAAAAAACAATCAAAAGACAAACAACATTATACAAAATACAACATAGAAAACTAAAGACTGAGTTACACGAACCCCATCAAAAACCGGGGTGATCTCAGGTGCTCTGGAAGGGTAAGCAAATCCTGCTCCACATGCAACACCTGTCATGTTACTCCTATGAAATATGTTGATAAGCTATATCTAATGAAATTGAAATGAGACAACATAACCACAATTAAAAAATGACATATAGAGGACAACATATGGTTAATCAATAGAAAGCTCTCAACAGAGACTATGGTTAATCAATAGAAAGCTCTCAACAGAGACTGTTAATAGAAAGCACTCAACAGAGACTGTTAATCAATAGAAAGCTCTCAACAGAGACTGTTAATCAATAGAAAGCTCTCGACAGAGACTGTTAATCAATAGAAAGCTCTCGACAGAGACTGTTAATCAATAGAAAGCTCTCAACAGAGACTGTTAATCAATAGACAGCTCTTGACAGAGACTGTTAATCAATAGAAAGCTCTCGACAGAGACTGTTAATCAATAGAAAGCTCTCGACAGAGACTGTTAATCAATAGAAAGCTCTCAACAGAGACTGTTAATCAATAGAAAGCTCTCAACAGAGACTATGGTTAATCAATAGAAAGCTCTCAACAGAGACTGTTAATCAATAGAAAGCTCTCGACAGAGGCTGTTAATCAATAGAAAGCTCTCGACAGAGACTGTTCATCAATAGAAAGCTCTCGACAGAGACTGTTAATCAATAGAAAGCTCTCGACAGAGACTGTTAATCAATAGAAAGCTCTCAACAGAGACTATGGTTAATCAATAGAAAGCTCTCAACAGAGACTGTTAATCAATAGAAAGCTCTCGACAGAGACTGTTAATCAATAGAAAGCTCTCAACAGAGACTATGGTTAATCAATAGAAAGCTCTCAACAGAGACTGTTAATCAATAGAAAGCTCTCGACAGAGACTGTTAATCAATAGAAAGCTCTCAACAGAGACTATGGTTAATCAATAGAAAGCTCTCAACAGAGACTGTTAATCAATAGAAAGCTCCCAACAGAGACTATGGTTAATCAATAGAAAGCTCTCAACAGAGACTATGGTTAATCAATAGAAAGCTCTCGACAGAGACTGTTAATCAATAGAAAGCTCTCGACAGAGACTGTTAATCAATAGAAAGCTCTCGACAGAGACTGTTAATCAATAGAAAGCTCTCAACAGAGACTATGGTTAATCAATAGAAAGCTCTCAACAGAGACTGTTAATCAATAGAAAGCTCCCAACAGAGACTATGGTTAATCAATAGAAAGCTCTCAACAGAGACTATGGTTAATCAATAGAAAGCTCTCGACAGAGACTGTTAATCAATAGAAAGCTCTCGACAGAGACTGTTAATCAATAGAAAGCTCTCGACAGAGACTGTTAATCAATAGAAAGCTCTCGACAGAGACTGTTAATCAATAGAAAGCTCTCAACAGAGACTATGGTTAATCAATAGAAAGCTCTCAACAGAGACTGTTAATCAATAGAATGCTCTCAACAGAGACTGTTAATCAATAGAAAGCTCTCAACAGAGACTTTGGTTAATCAATAGAAAGCTCTCAACAGAGACTATGGTTAATCAATAGAAAGCTCTCAACAGAGACTATGGTTAATCAATAGAAAGCTCTCAACAGAGACTGTTAATCAATAGAAAGCTCTCAACAGAGACTGTTAATCAATAGAAAGCTCTCAACAGAGACTTTGGTTAATCAATAGAAAGCTCTCAACAGAGACTATGGTTAATCAATAGAAAGCTCTCAACAGAGACTATGGTTAATCAATAGAAAGCTCTCAACAGAGACTGTTAATCAATAGAAAGCTCTCAACAGAGACTATCAAAGGTCTGCCATCAACACCAAAATTCTGATTATGACAAAATAAAACAACTAACATTAGTGGAACAAAAGCTAGCATTGACAAGCTTTCAGACTTGGGATAGACTCTGATCATAGGGTATGGTTAAACGAGTTTTTTTAGTTCCATCCCCTCTTTTTTATCTGGAGCAATGGTTTAACAAATGGTACCTAAAAGAAATAATGAAAAACTAGTACAGTATGAGCACTCCACTAAATGATAAAACATCTGTATATAGACAAAACATAGTAAAGTACATGATTTATCGGAAATAATTTTTGTACTTTATCTAGATTTGAAAGACTGTTTGATTTTTGTAGAATTTGTTCGTCACTACAAGTTAACTTGGGGGCAACTTGACACAACATATTATTTATTTTGATGTTTATTATTAATTGTTTTAGGGACACATTTACAAATGATGCTCGGTGATAAGTGATTTCCGCTATAAAAATGTAAATTTTGCGGTTTTAAGTGTATACAGTTTAATTTGTGAATGAAAATTGTTGGGTTCTGTATTACTATGTTCAGAAGTTCTGAATACCATATGTCAATGTTTTTGTTGATACTGTATTTGTCATGTCTTGGTAAACATAATGATAATTCATGAATGCAATGAGGATGTGTTTGACAGGACTGTTGAAGAACAGTGTTTATACCAGTCAGGTACTTTAACAATATTTGAAACTCTTAATGCTATAATGTTTCCTTTCAGTGGATGTATGCGACTGACACTTCTTCTAACATGACTCAATAACTTTAGCCTTAAAGAAAATAATCATAGTGACTAAGATTTGTGCAGATAGGTTAATTTTTTTCCTAATAATTGGTTGATGTTTAATTTTGTCACTTTTGATTGACTTCCCAGGTTTTTTAATTTAACTTAGAGTTCAGAATTTTTGTTAATACTTTTTTCAATGACCAAGTGAAAAATGTGTTGTATAGTTATAAGGAATTTGAATCATTGATTTGAATATTTTTATTACACATTTCTGCTGCTTTTCAGTAATTGTCCTTATTTTGAGTTTTTGTCCTTGTAATTTGTAACTAAAAAGAGACAATGTCAATCGGAACTAACATATATGTATTCAGTACAAAAAAAAAAACAAAAAAAACCCACCAAATTTGACTAAATGGCTAGGAATAGAATAAAAAATTAATTCTTTTTAGTTTCTACATGACAATTGAGTGTCTCCACTCAATCTTGCTGACAAAAACATGAAAAAAGCCTGATCAGGTATTTTTGTAGGTTAGTGGAATACAGAGTTGTCATTGGTTGTTTTAAGTTATAAATTATTGTTGTCTTTTGTAGTTCATTACTGATCTTTGATAGTTGCTGTTAAATTTATTCACAATTTGTCAGTAATATGAACAACCAAGGTTTTTTTAACTAATTGGATGAGACAAAAGCAGTTATGTATTTTTAATATGATACAATACTTATACAATAAATGCAAATTTTGAATTTGTTGGCACTTTAAATGTGTCTTTAATGACCAAACCAGTTCCAATCTTTTACATAAAGGATGCATGAATATGATTTTATAGGTATGAACTGTCTCATTTAATTTCAAAGTAGATTCTTGCAGTGCACTTATTTTTTTTTTAAATGTGTTAATTTGTAACTGACATGAGCATCTAGATTGATCCAGTATCATCTGATATAAGTTAAAGGGACAAGCAAGTAATAATTGTACCGGTAGTTATGTAATAAGATAAGTTACAGGGACAAGCGAGTAATAATTGTAGTTATGTAAGAAAAAATACCAGGTTTCTGACATTATAAGAAGCATTATGACTTCTCTACCTTTACTTTTAGGTTTTTTTTTATAACGATGAATTAAGAAAATAAATATTTTGTATATTTTAGATCTTGCTAGTGTTTGCCAAGGAAGATGCCCAAAGTGATGGGTTCTGGTGGGCAGCAGACAAGATTGGATATAAATGTTATATTGCCCACAATCCAGAGACAGCCATGGAGAATTACCTGGACAAACATCCAGATGTTGTAATCATTGATCACAGAAATAGCAAACACTTTGATGCTGAAGCCCTTTGCAGGTAAAGGACCTGATCTTATCTTGTTACTATCTATAGACTAGTTTATTTGTCATGTGACTATCTATAGACTAGTTTATATGTCATGTGACTGTCATGTTACTATTTATAGACTAGTTTATTTTATTCAGTACATGCATAATTTAGCTATTAATTGGAAAGTAGAATAATTTTGTTACATAAATATGGGCTGTTTTTGACAATACAATGCACATGCATCAGGAACTAGCATCATTAATTCGTGCAAAATTACTGTAATCTTCACAATTTTAGCATTTGTGCTAATTTTTAAATGTTTTTTGTCTGAAATGGAAGTGGCCGCACTTGTGTTCATCTTTAGTATTCAAAACTATGTTGCAGTTGATGATTATACATAACATATATAAAGGTTGAGACTGAACACAAATGCGGCCACTTCCATTTCAGACAAAAAACATCTGAAAAGTGATGTTTTGTGGCATATTTAAGAGATTCTTCATATTTAAGCTTGAATTTGAGCGTCTTTAATGACCAAACCAGTTCCAATCTTTTACATAAACTAATTGAATTGACTTAAGTAGACACTTAAGTGTTTAAAAATGTCAAAAATCTTCTATCAGATGCACTTCAAAGTTTAGGCCAAACTTAGCCCTTACCGGACCTTCTCCTTTAGTTGCAGATAACACATATCATTAAATGACACATACTGCAAACACCATGGTTAGAAACTACAACCATGGATCGCAACAAGGAAATAAAACTGGATTTGTTGATTTAACTACATCTCCTTACAATTATCCTAATAAATCTCAGAGGAATAACACATATTACTTTACACTGTCAAATTAATAGTCTCTGAATTATTTGTTGGGGGCCCTGTGATGTGCAAACAAGAACCCATATAGATATATCAATCTTTCTGTCAATTCTGCACTAAAATGGAAGAAAAGTATAGACCTGATTGATGATGAAAACCCTCATTTAATCATTCTTCATTTCAAGCATGTTCTGTCAAAATGAATTCTTTCTTATTGTAAATTACATGTTTTATTTCTTGCTGATAGTGTATGTTTTATAAAGAAGTAGTGTAATCTGGTCATTGACATTTGACTTAAGAGGATGATGGTAGCCTGGGTTGTTGACACAGTGAGAGTTAGGCTTCAGGATCTTAGTTGATGCTGTGTCTGTCTCTACAACTATATATAGTCATTTGTTTTTTTGTTTAATACATTTCAAACTTTAAAGTACATGCTTACAATGCACTAGAATTGTTCGCAATATGGAGTTTTATTTTGATCAAATTTTTTGTTTTGAATTTTTTCTGTGCATGCAGATTATCTAATTCTTGAGGTTTTCCTTTGAAATAAAATTCTGGATATATAAAGGAGAATGTTTTATTAAGCTGGTCAAAAAGACAATTTTGAGGCATTACTATCACTTGGCATTTCTTGTTTTCTGTCATTGTCTAGTAAGTTTTGACATTTTCATCTTGTACTCTCCTAGAACTAAACTTAGCATTGATAGTGTTTCTATTAAACTCTGTCATATCAAATCAGTTTTTCATATCCTTCAATGAAACTAATTGGCCAGTCCTTATCAAATTAGTAGCAATAATGTATAGAAGGTCTTTTGTAAAACTTCTCATTTCCCTCTGGTTAAAGGAAAGAATTCTTGATTCAGATTAGTCAATTTTCCTGGGAATAAGTAAATGCTCTTTAATGAGAACAAATCTATTTGCATAATTTCTAAGGATTGTATGATACTATTTGATAATATTAGTGTTAACTTACGATTTTGTAGTTTCCTGGAATCACAAGTTGTTGGTAAAACTGTTGATAATGACTGTATACAATAATTACAATCTTTTGCACATCTTTCTTGGTAGCATGTTCGTCTCAAGTGGTGAGGTTGTGGGTTCAAAACCTTGGCCGTATTAAGCCAAAGACTTTATAATTGGTATTTGCTGCATGTCCACTAAGCATGCAGTATTAATGAGTAAGAGCAAAGACTGTGTGAACTAGCATGTTAAAAATCCAGCTCAGCGTTTGGGGCTGGTTACAAAGCAGGGTTACTATTCATATAACATTAACATGTTCTCTCCTGAATAAGCATTTACTTTGCCGCTAGACGTTTAAAACAGCCAGCTATCTTCATAATCTTTGATTCCATATCAGTCTAGTTCTGCTGTGATGAACTATGCATCTATTCAAAATGAGAAAATTGATAAAATAGCTTAATTTTGTTGAAGATATAAGGCAGTCTTAAATGTATCTGTGGTATCCTTTATTTCAAGTTCGATGGGATAGATGCCATCAACATAGTCACCACACTTTGAATTATTCAGTAAAAAAGACTATAAAAAATCCAGCATCTTGATGATGTCAGTTCAGAGAACTTTTTGTATTATTCAGATTGGTTTTGACCTGTTTCTTAAAGTAATGTATCTGCTTTTGGTTTTTTTTAAAACAAATTTATGGTTGATTTTGAAAACCGATACAATGATTGATCAGTATGGTGACTTACAGTGGTGCGTTATAGGTCTCCATTGAATCCTTTCAAAAGTTCTTATCTATCTTTTTCTTTGAAATTACTTGTATTGTACCAAACTTTGCAGAAGTAATGTTAGGAGGAAGGTCATATTATATAGAAGTTTCACATTTTGTGTGGATCATAAAACTATATTGCTAAATTCTTCATTTAAACTGAGTCCCATTTTAACCCTCTGAGATGTTTTTGGTTAGGAAATCTTCAACAGAGTTAAGCTAAATAACAGTGATTTTTTTTGCACAATATGATGTAAATAACAACCAATAAAGTTCTCAGTCTCTAGTTTATTTTTTTTACTGTGGCATTATGAAATTTTATAGCTGCATGTGTAAAGAATATATTTTATATCTAAGTTGATGGCACATTAATAAATACTCCATTAACCCAGAAATTTTTACAATAAATCTTTGAACAAAAACACATTCTGATTATTTTGTAATATAACTTATTGATTCCAAACAGATATCTTATGCTACAGGTTATAATATGGTTTACCACCAATTAAAATCCTGACAGTTTTATTTCCCATTAGTTTTACACAAGATCTTTATAGGTTCAGAGAATTAAAATACACTAATATATTGACTCTTTAACCAATGAAGATGCTTTTTAACTGCTTCATAGAATCAGGTGATATGAGTACTCTTAAAAAATAAATCTTTCATGCTATGTGTGGGATGCATGCTCTATGCTCACTTTGATTTGGGTAGGAATTATATTTATCCTTTTCTTTAAAATGAGCATAGAGGATGGCATGCTAGAATTATTTCAATTTTAACAGGAAAATTCAGATCTATGTTTGAAAGGCAGCCATTTTGATTTGATGAAGCATAAATGTTCAAGAAAACCAACTGTTTCATGATTAAAAAATGAACAGATACATGTTAGCTTACTTTCAGAATGATTTTATTTAATTTCCTAGCAAGCAACACAAGAAAAAGAACCAATTTAATCTCTGGCGTTGTTCAAAATACTACTGACCCTGCCCAATTAGTGGTGACCTCAAGTACGTGTACACTATGTTCTATTGGAATTATAACATGGCTTTGTTTACAAACTAAAGAAGATTGTCAAATTATAATTTTTTTTTAAATCAGGTGATATATTAAAGTTAAAAATTCTTGTTCTAATTAGTATATATCTGAAGTTCTTAAAAAAAAAAACTGATCAAACTCAGTAATTAGTATTAATTTATCTCGTGTGATTTTTTTTGACGGACAGTGACAAGTGATTTATTCAGTGAAATAAGCTTTAAAAAAATACTTTTTCTTTTTCTAAGTTGTGTAATAGAACTACAGTCCTGCTACTTTAGACCTCAAAATTATGCATGAACATTTTTGCAAAATAAATCAACAAACAATCACCTGTTTATTTCGATACTAATCTGCTTTTGAAATAGATATGTATATTATTTGCCATTTAAAATGTATGAGAATAGAATTAGGTATCATGAATGATATATGATGAATAATATGGTAATTTTTTGCTCTAATAACAATAATGAATTTTTGCAATGTATTGTATGTTCAATTTTTTTAATCAGGTTTTTGAAGGCAATCGTCGCAGTTTGTCGATCTATGTCAAAACTAAGCAGCACCTGTGAAATTGAAACAGTTTTTGTATTTTTTATTTGTAATGATTATCAAAAAGATACAATTTCATTTAATTAAAGTCTGGGACTATTTTCCATTTGAATTCCACCTATATAGGTCATTTCGGTGGTACCTCATGTTAAAAAAAAAATAATCATGAAGAAATGGCTGTCGTCACCAGGAATAAAAATCAATACATGAAATGCTGTAAATGGCTCCCAGTTAGTTGTCATACATGACAAAATCTCTGAGAATTGCTGAATATTCCAACTTTTTTTTAACAATGTTGACAAGATTTTTTATTGGTGAAGCAGACGCTATTTGCATTGGTTGTCTTCTAATCTGCTGGAAGGCAGTAATGTCATATCCACATACTTCTGCTGCAGCAGATTGCGTTTTCTTTACAGATAAATTATCCAATTCTGTTTCTGTTGAAGAGAGAAATTTTCAATACTGTTTAACTATAATGAACGAGGTGATAATTACATGTACTTGATGTAGCTTGTGTTAATTGCTTTATAGCTGCCAATTAATCACGAGCTAATTGATCCTTTTACAACCAGAATTCCTCTGTGAGAAGACCATGATTGGATTTGGGAGTGAATCCAAATTGTCCAATTTGTTTATTGCATCATGTAGACAAATTAAAGCAGGTTTTTTCTTTGTATTGATTGCTTTGTGTGTCTTCCATAATTGTGAATTCATTGTTGACAAATCCTTGACAAGAAATGCTGATATCCAATTTTATATTCATTGATACTGTCCAATTTGCAAATTGATGCAGAAAAAATTCAGCGCCTAATCTGGGTGAGATTGACATTAAAAGGAAGGAGGGTCTTTAAAGGGAAACCCAACAAGAACAAAGAAAAAGTGTCTTTTATTTATGGCTTCAATCAGGTAGTTCCACCTGTCATAGGATGGATGCTGGGACTTATAAAATATTTTCTTCCTGATGGACAGATGATGTACTTTAATATTTATTAGAGCTATCAAATAATAGAAATATAAATCGTTATCAAAGGTTTCTATCAGCAATGTCTCAGTCAAGTTCAAAAATCAGTGCTGATCAACTATTTTTATACGACCGCAAAAAAACTTTTGTGGTCGTATATTGGTATGACGTTGGCGTCGTCGTCGTCCGGCGTCGTCGTCGTCGTCCGGCGTCGTCCGAAGACACTTGGTTTTCGCACTCTAACTTTAGTTTAAGCGAATGGATCTTTATGAAATTTTACCACAAGGTTCAATACCACAAAAGGAAGGTTGGGATTGATTTTGGGGGTTATGGTAATAACAGTAAAGGAATTAGGGGCCAAAAAGGGGCCAAAAATAAGCATTTTTGTAACTTCCAGACATAACTTGTGTGTTAGTGTATGGATCTCTCTGACATTGTACCACAAGGTTCCATATCACTAAAGGAATGCTGGGATTGATTTTGGGGGTAATTGTCTCCAAATTTTAGGAATTAGGGGCCAAAAAAGGGGCAAAAAACAAGCATTTTTCTAGTTTCATGACAATAACTTGTGTGTAAGTGTATGGATCTTTCTGAAATTGTACTACAAGGTTCCATATCACAAAGGGAAAGCTGGGTTTGAGTTTGGGGGTAATTGCCCTAAACGTTTAGGAATTTGGGGCCAAAAAGGGGCCAAAAAACACATTTTTTTCTAGTTTCCAGACAATAACTTGTGTTCAAGTGTATGGATCTCTCTGAAATTGTACTGCAAGGTACCATACCACAAAGGGAAGGCTGGGATTGAGTTTGGGGGTGATGAATCATAATGGGGGTTCAAAAAATTTTGGGGGGGGATTTATTTTTTTTTCCTTTTTTTCTTTTTTTCCTTTTTTGTTTCTTTTAAAATTTTCCATTTTAAGTTGGTTATTTCTGATTTATATTTAAAATCAAATAATAATGATATGGTAGGAGATACACACCAAACAGGATGTGTAAATTATTATATAATAAGTATTGTGCAATAGCAAGAAATTTTCAATTGCACAGTATTGCACAATAGCAAGAAATCTTCAATTGCACAGTATTGCACAATAGCAAGAAATCTTCAATTGCACAGTATTGCGCAATAGCAAGAAATATCCAATAGCACAATATTGCGCAATAGCAAGAAATTGTCAATTGTACAGTATTGCGCAATAGCAAGAAATATTTAATAGCACAGGATTGTGCAAAAGAAGATACTTCCTATAAATTGCTTATTTTTTGACCAATTTCAATGGGGTTTTATTCTTGATTTCAATGGGTTCTTTAATATGCTGAATCTAACCGTGTATTTAGTTTTTGGATTTTGGGCCCCGTTTTTAAATTGGTCCACATTGAGGTCCAAAGGGTCCAAAATTAAACTTTGTTTGATTTCATCAAAAATTGAATTATTGGGGTTCTTTGATATGCCGAATCTAACTGTGTATTTAGATTCTTAAATTTTGGTTCCGTTTTCAAATTGGTCTACATTAAGGTCCAAAGGGTCTAAAATTAAACTTAGTTTGATTTTAACAAAAATTGAATTCTTAGGGTTCTTTGATATACTGAATCTAAACATGTATTTAGATTTTTGATTATGGGCCCAGTTTTCAAGTTGGTCCAAATCGGGGTCCAAAATTAAACTTTGTTTGATTTCAACAAAAATTGAATATATGGGGTTCTTTGATATGCTGAATCTAACCATGTATTTAGATTTTTGATTTTTGGGCCCCGTTATCAACTTTGTCTACATTGAGGTCAAAAGGGTCCAAAATTAAACTTTGTTTGATTTCATCAAAAATTGAATTATTGGGGTTCTTTGATATGCAGAATCTAACCGTGTATTTAGATTCTTAATTTTTGGTTCCGTTTTCAAATTGGTCTACATTAAGGTCCAAAGGGTCCAAAATTAAACTTAGTTTGATTTTAACAAAAATTGAATTCTTAGGGTTCTTTGATATGCTGAATCTAAACATGTATTTAGATTTTTGATTATGGGCCCAGTTTTCAAGTTGGTCCAAATCGGGGTCCAAAATTAAACTTTGTTTGATTTCAACAAAAATTGAATATATGGGGTTCTTTGATATGCTGAATCTAACCATGTATTTAGATTTTTGATTTTTGGGCCCCGTTATCAACTTTGTCCACATTGAGGTCAAAAGGGTCCAAAATTAAACTTTGTTTGATTTCATCAAAAATTGAATTCTTGGGGTTCTTTGATATGCTGAATCTAACCATGTATTTAGATTTTGGATATTGGACCATAATAGGTGAATGTCCAATTTAAAATTTTTAAGTTCTTAGACCACATTCAATCTGTGTTAGAAACCTATGCTGTGTCAAATATTTAATCACAATCCAAATCCAAAGCTGTATCAAGCTTGAATGTTGTGTCCATACTTCCCCCAACTGTTCAGGGTTCGACCTCTGCGGTCGTATCAAGCTGCGCCCTGCGGAGCATTTTATTTAAAGTGTTATGCCCCTTGGAAATATAAATACATGGAAAATAACAGTATAAGCGATCTCATGCCGACATTTCTTGTTGGATATTTATTTTTTTTTAAATTCAGCCTTTGGGCAGATAAAATATGGGCAAAACAGGAACATTGGGGACGTTGGAACTCTGTTCTTTTATTATTGTTGTTTTTATGAACATGGTTTGTGGCTATTACATTTCTTGGGAACATAAGTTATGGTATTGTACATGCATCATTGTACATATACTTAGGAATATTATTTGTAGTCATATTGCATTGAAGTTTCTTAGGAATACATTTTTTGACATTGTATTGTTGATCTTAAGAACAAAATTGTGGTCATTATATCATTGATCTTGGTAATATTTAAAACTGTCTCTTGTACATGTCTTTATGGTCGCATGTTAGCATGATCAGATTGGTGTGTCAGGTCATACGGTCAATCACTGCCAGATCAAAGACTCTAGAATGGGCATTTGGTGCTTCTTCTGTAAGCATGAATAACAACAAAGACTTGTCAGCTCAAACTCAGAACCATGCACGTGGCATGTGTTTGACTTCTATCTTTATTGACTAGGAATGTTAGTCTTCCTGCCTAAGGTTAGTGATTCTCTCCACGTACTCTGGCTTCCTCCACCAGTAAAACATGGCTGCAGTGATATAGTCAAGTGTGCTGAAAGTGGCATTTAACACCAACAATCATCAATCAATTGATCAAAATCAGAATAATATGCTCATGTAGAGTGACATGTCTTTCTGTGGGCTGGTACCTTGTAAGCTCAGTCGCATGTTAGAGATTTGGCTGCATGTCAATCGAGTGAAAACATTAACATGTCCTGACTATGCATGGTATATTTGCCACTGTGTGTAAAGCAGTTATATATCAATAAATCACATATTTATATTAGTGAGATTTGAATACAAATGCTTTTGAGTTATTTTATTCAGAGGAGACTTACAATCAAAATCCGCTTTACCAGTTTATGTAAATCTGCTGGAAACTTGTAGCTGTAGTGTAAGATGAAAATTACTTGAACAAGTGTGTAGAATATATAATTGTATAATACAAGAAGTCAAGCAATATAATGAATTAATTTCTACTATAACTGTGCCATTATTTTGCAGATCTTTAAGAGCAACAGAATCAAGTGAACACACAGTTATAGTGGCAGTCACAAAACGATAGTAAGTAATCTATACTACAGCCTCAAAAAGTGGCAGTCACAAAAGGATAGTAAGTAATCTATACTACGGCCTCAAAAAGTGGCAGTCACAAAACGATAGTAAGTAATCGACACTACGGCCTCAAAAAGTGGCAGTCACAAAATGATAGTAAGAGATCTATACTACGGCCTCAAAAAGTGGCAGTCACAAAACGATAGTAAGTAATCTATACTACAGCCTCAAAAAGTGGCAGTCACAAAACGATAGTAAGTAATCTATACTACAGCCTCAAAAAGTGGCAGTCACAAAACAATAGTAAGTAATTTATACTACGGCCTCAAAAAGTGGCAGTCACAAAACGACAGTAAGTGATCTATACTAGGGCCTCAAAAAGTGGCAGTCACAAAACGATAGTAAGTAATCGACACTACGGCCTCAAAAAGTGGCAGTCACAAACCCATAGTAAGTAATCGACACTACCGCCTCAAAAAGTGACAGTCACAAAAGGATAGTAAGTAATCTATACTACGCCCTCAAAAAGTGGCAGTCACAAAACGATAGTAAGTAATCTATACTACGGCCTCAAAAAGTGGCAGTCACAAAACGATAGTAAGTAATCTAAACTATGGTGTCAAAAAGTGGCAGTCACAAAACGATAGTAAGTAATCTATACTACGGCCTCAAAAAGTGGCAGTCACAAAACAATAGTAAGTAATCGACACTACGGCCTCAAAAAGTGAGTGTCACAAAACGATAGTAAGTAATCTAAACTATGGTGTCAAAAAGTGGCAGTCACAAAACGATAGTAAGTAATCTATACTACGGCCTCAAAAAATGGCAGTCACAAAAGGATAGTAAGTAATCGACACTACGGCCTCAAAAAGTGACAGTCACAAAACGATAGTAAGAAATGGACACTACGGCCTCAAAAAGTGACAGTCACAAACCGATAGTAAGTAATCGACACTACCGCCTCAAAAAGTGACAGTCACAAAAGGATAGTAAGTAATCTATACTACACCCTCAAAAAGTGGCAGTCACAAAACGAAAGTAAGTAATCGATACTACGCCCTCAAAAAGTGGCAGTCACAAAACGATAGTAAGTAATCTATACTACGCCCTCAAAAAGTGGCAGTCACAAAACAATAGTAAGTAATCGACACTACGGCCTCAAAAAGTGAGTGTCACAAAACGATAGTAAGTAATCTAAACTATGGTGTCAAAAAGTGGCAGTCACAAAACGATAGTAAGTAATCTATACTACGGCCTCAAAAAGTGGCAGTCACAAAAGGATAGTAAGTAATCGACACTACGGCCTCAAAAAGTGACAGTCACAAAACGATAGTAAGAAATGGACACTACGGCCACAAAAAGTGACAGTCACAAAATGATAGTAAGAAATGGACACTACGGCCTCAAAAAGTGACAATCACGAAATGATAGTAAGTAATCTATACTATGGCCTCAAAAAGTGGCTGTCACAAAACTATAGTAAGTACATGTAATCTATACTATGGCATCAAAAAGTGGCTGTCACAAAACCATAGTAATCTATACTACAGCCTCAAAAAGAGGCAGTCACAAAACAATAGCATGTTATCTATACTACGACCTCAAAAAATGGCAGTCACAAAACGATAGTAATCTATACTACAGCCTCAAAAAGAGGCAGTCACAAAACAATAGCAAGTTATCTATACTACAGCCTCAAAAAGCGGCAGTCACAAAACAATAGAAAGTAATCTATACTACAGCCTCAAAAAGTGGCAGTCACAAAACGATAGTAAGTAATCGACACTACGGCCTCAAAAAGTGGCAGTCACAAAACGATAGTAAGTAATCTATACTACAGCCTCAAAAAGAGGCAGTCACAAAACAATAGCAAGTTATTTATACTTCGGCCTCAAAAAATGGCAGTCACAAAACGATAGTAATCTATACTACAGCCTCAAAAACAGGCAGTCACAAAACAATAGCAAGTTATCTATACTACAGCCTCAAAAAGTGGCAGTCACAAAACGATAGTAAGTAATCTATACTACAGCCTCAAAAAGAGGCAGTCACAAAACAATAGCAAGTTATCTATACTAAGACCTCAAAAAATGGCAGTCACAAAACGATAGTAATCTATACTACAGCCTCAAAAAGAGGCAGTCACAAAACAATAGCAAGTTATCTATACTACGACCTCAAAAAATGGCAGTCACAAAATGATAGTTATCTATACTACAGCCTCAAAAAGTGGCAGTCACAAAACGACAACAAGTAATCTATACTACAGCCTCAAAAAGTGGCAGTCACAAAACAATAGCAAGTTATCTATACTACGGCCTCAAAAAGTGGCAGTCACAAAACGATAGTAAGTAATCTATACTACAGCCTCAAAAAGAGGCAGTCACAAAACAATAGCAAGTTATCTATACTGCAGCCTCAAAAAGTGGCAGTCACAAAACGATACTAAGTAATCTATACTACAGCCTCAAAAAGAGGCAGTCACAAAACAATAGCAAGTTATCTATACTACAGCCTCTCAAAATTGCAGTCACAAAACGATAGTAATCTATACTACAGCCTCAAAAAGAGGCAGTCACAAAACAATAGCAAGTTATCTATACTACAGCCTCAAAAAGTGGCAGTCACAAAACGATAGTAAGTAATCTATACTATGTCGATCCCTTATTTTGGAATTGCACCAGGTCTTGTTTTTTCTCTGACTGTTAATGACCTCTTTACACTAAATCCATTGGATGTTGGATGTGTACTGATTGATATTTTAGTCTTAGATACATGATTTTTTTTATCAGTTGTTATTGGCTTGAACTAGCCGTCAGTAACTGTGAGTACTATCGGATTTGTAGTTAGTATCTTTTTTGTTTTTAGGGATGATGGATGGATAAATACCCTGCCATGTCCATTCTGTTTTTATATTTGATGTTTATCTGCTTTTTATCGATCTAATGAGTTAAGCCTTTTTCAACTGATTTTTTTATATATGTTGTGCTGTTACACCACTGTCCCAGGTTAGGGGGAGGGTTGAGTGCTCACAAACATGTTTAACCCCGCCACATTCTTTATGTGCCTGTCCCAAGTCAGGAGCCTGTAGTTCAGTGGTTGTCGTTGGTTCATGTCTGTCATATTTGTGTTTCGTTAATTATTTTGTTATAAATTAGGCCGTTAGTTTTCTCAATTGAATTGTTTCATATTTTTCATGTTGGGGCCTTTTATAACCTACTATACGGTATGGGTTTTTCTCATTGTTGAAGGCCGTACGGTTGCTTTTAATTGCTTACATCCACTTTATTTGAACTTTGGTGGATAGTTGTCTCATTGGCAATCATACCTCATCTATTGTAACAAAATAAAGAACCTTTGTGAAGATTGTCAAGAGGAAATCTAATGAGATATCTTGCCCTAGTTTGATTGGTTAATTCAGTATCAAGGCTAGACATTGCCAATGCCATTTCCATATTCCTTCAAGCTGGTCTCTTGTACTTTCTCCTGACTGGTACAATACTTAAAAACAAAGTTAAGATTAATGTTCTGTTTTCTATTATAAATTTGTCTGGCCTTGAAGCTATGCAGTGTTGCTTACATAATTTGGGTTATGAATGAAAAGTCTTTCAGCTAGACAAACTTCATTAATTTAAACTGAAGTTAAAAAGTACTGGTAGGTCTTGATGTATTAACAAGGAATGTGTTTATGAATGAAAACAAACATTCATTTATCACGAAGGACATGTAATAAAAAAGCAACAAGACACTTTACATTTTGTTCTATTTCTGTAAAATTGGCAAGCATTTCCAGGCAAAATGTTTTTTTTTAGGCCAGGCATATTTTGATTTGTTTATATTTTTTTTTGGTCATGATATAAAATAGTTTTCCAACAATCAGTATGGATGTTACCTTTTATTTCTTATTTCAACAGAGGGTTCTGAACTTATCGAGCATTCAAACACTAAAAGGTGTTTACATAAAATCTTCTATAACTTCATGTAGGTGTTTAATGAATTTTAAGATCTTGTAATCTTTACTTTGGATATTCAATGTTATCACATGGATGTGTTTTTTGCCAGGTATTTGTAAAACAAAATTAAATGACGAATGTTGAAAGCAGATGTTAAAGCTATAGTGAATGTAATTCCTACAAATAAATGTACTTTTTAAAAAATACATATCATAGAAGGTCATTGACCGATTATTCCTAGGACATAAACTAGATGAGGCTGAATGTTGCATAAATGACAGCATGTCAGCAGTGTCTGTAAAAGTTCACAAAGGTTGTTGCCCTTTGTTATTAAACTATGTCAGTGAACAGTGAAAAAAATGTATTCTCAGTAAAGAACTATGTCATTGAAAATGTATTCTCAGTAAAGAACTATGTCATTGAAAATGTATTCTCAGTAAAGTGCTATGTCAGTGAAAATGTATTATAAGTTAAGTACTATGGCAGAAAGGGGGGAGGGAGTAATACCAGTAAAGTACTGTCATAAAGTACTATATCAAGGGGGAAAATGTATTATTAGTTAAGTACTATGTCGGGGGGGGGGGGGGGGGAAATGTATTATTAGTAAAGTGCTATGTCAGGGGGGAATTTGTTTCACTAGTAAAGTACTATGTTAGGGGAAAAAATGATTTATTAGTCAAGTGCAATGTCAGGAGAAAAAAATGTATTATTAGAAAAGGCAAAAGGTATCAAATAGAAAGGAATCTCATTTTGCACATTTATGGAAATTATTTATGTTTTTAATTAATTAATTTGAGGGAACTGTAAAAACAGTTTAATTGTTTGGTTTTTATTTATTTTCCAGTGCGTTAGACAAAGAAGAACCATCATTTTTACCATCCATTACGGCAGGATTCAATAAGGTAATACATTTGAAATAAGAATTGTGATATATTATAAAATAAGGAGATGTGGTAAGATTACAAATGAGACATCTATCTAGCATGCAGGTATACTCCAAATATAACTCATAGTATGAAAGAGAGGCAATTGAGGGATGGATTTTTTTCAAATATATTATAAAGCACTGTAATTCAATGTTAAGACTTTGTGATTTGTGGGTTTTCATAGCATTTATTTCATTTGAAAAAAAAATGTTAATCAGTCATATAAACATTGAACAATTGCCTTTAAGATAGCAAATTTGGCTCTGTTCAAATTATATTGTTTATTTATCTGAAGGACTATTGGTAATTTAATTATTTGAACATCAAAATCAAAATTATATCACACTATTGCCTGTATAACCATTATGTTGGTAGATGCTATGCAACCCCAAGTTTTGGATATCTTTTTGTAAAGATAACTCAGAAAGCTGTAGATACTGAAAGGCCCCATTGGCCTCCAATCTAACTTGCATGATTGCTACATTGCACTATAGATCTTGAATTGTAATCTGCATAAATTTATGATTCAGTCTACTGTCTAAATCTCTTTGATTTACTTTGTGAGCAGTTGCTGTCTACATTTCTAATGCTCATTCAAATATGTAGTTGGAATTGAGCTTTTGTCAAAAAATGGCTTGTAAGATTCACGTACATTGATGTTTTGCTAGTAGGATGTCTTAAAGCCTTAAATTACACATTACTAGAACATTTAAACCTGACAGCTTCATAAATATGTAGAAGTCTTGTCAGATAGAATAAAGGCTGTGATATATTGATTTGAGAAGTAGGTTTATAGATGATATATCAGATTAACTAGTCCTATACTTGTCAACATAGATACACCATCAATTACCTACCAATTCAAAATCTCTAATCATGACTTGCATTCAAACTAATTAATATGATTATGGATCCATATTACTGAATGTATCTATTTCTTGTATTCATTTTGAAGTCAAAACCAAGCCTTTCTGTCATAAGCCCTAATTAAATTCTCGTCATCTAATCTATAGAAAGCTTTCTTATCATGTAGATCACAATCTAGTAGTCAGATATCCAATTCTTTTAGCATTTCATTAAGACTAGGTTTGGATGAGGAAATTAGAAGCCAGTATATAAAAAATGCACAAAGTCCATAGATGTCTCTTTGTATTAAATTTTATGCATTTTTCAAATTGTCAACATTTTGTTTAAATTAATTTTGATTAAGGTAATTTAAAAACATTGTGCTCCAGTCAGATTTAGACCTTTATTTTAGTTTCAAAATTGGAAGAGGTCCAAAGAAGTAAACATGTTAGTATGTGATCAATAAATTACTTCTAATATATACTGAATTGGTAAGAGGTTAGGCAATTATACAAAGGGGGTTTAATTGCAAGAATGTATGTAGAAAAATTAAGAAAACCCCAACAATGTGCAAATAACATTTCTACAATAAAAAATATACTGTAAATTCAGAAATTATTGCATGCATTTATTATTGCGATTTTTTAATAACCGACAAAATGTGAGTTTAATAATTGCGATTTCAGAAAAATCTGCATGCAGATCTATGTATCAGTTATCAGAATGCGAGTTCTTATTATTGCGATACTCACCCAGTCGCATTATTCACTTAATTAAAAACCTGGTAATAATTTCTGAATTCATAGTATGTATGAATTAAAAATGAGGTCAGTAATCATTGTTTAATGGCAGTCTAGACAACTCGGTCTAAATCTGCCTCATTTAGATTTAGATGGACTATTATTGGTCAATAGTTGTAGAGGTGTGCATCTCCTAAAATCATATCAGGAACTAAAAGATATTGGATCATTAGCTTTGCATACTAATTCGTCTTATACAGAACTATAGGAGTCTTCTTTATGAACATGAGGTCAATATGACTTACAATTCATGCTTCACATAATTCTATGATATACAGCTATGTTTTAATGTCTAAGATTTTTTATATGATGTATGGTTGTAATTATTAAATTTTGATTGACCTAGTTAAATTTTGAAATGACATTTGTTGTTTAATTTTTTGCAGAGAATTGTTGAAAGTCCAAACATAAGTATGTGTATGAACGAATTACTGACATTAGAATATGGCGAAGTTCAATCCCGGTTAAAGCTGAGTGCTTGTAAAGCTGTCTTCTCAGCACTTGATAATGTCTCAGATGCTGTCGAAATCTCTAGTGAGGACCATGAGGTTCAGGTGAGAGCTCAAACAACTCAACAGATTCGGGCTAGTAGAAAGAGTGATTCATTTTAGGGCATGTAGAAATAGGGTGATTCATTTAATGGGCTTGTAGAAAAAGAGTGATTCATTTTAGAGCATGTAGAAATAGTGTGATTCATTTTAGGGCATGTTTAAATAGAGTGATTCATTTTAGGGCATGTTTAAATAGAGTGATTCATTTTAGGGCATGTTTAAATACTGTAAATTCAGAAATTATTGCGTGCATTTATTATTGCGATTTTGTCATTTAAGACTAAAATGCGATTTTAATTTTTGCGATATTGAGAAAAATCCTGTTTAATTCATATAAAAAATTTCAAAATGCGAGTTTAAATTATTGCGATTATAAACCTGTCGCATTTTTCGCAATAATAAAAACATCGCAATAATTTCTGAATTTACAGTAGAGTGATTCATTTAAGGGCTTGTAGAAATAGAGTGATTCATTTTAGGGCATGTAGAAATAGAGTGATTCATTTTAGGGCATGTATAGATAGAGTGATTCCTTATAGGGCTTGTAGAAATAGAGTGACTCATTTTAGGGCATGTATAAAAGAGTGATTCATTTTAGGGCATGTTTAAATATAGTGATTCATTTTAGGGCATGTTTAAATAGATTGATTTATTTAAGGGCTTGAATAAATAGAATGATTCATTTTAGGGCATGTATAAATAGAGTGGTATATTTTATGGCTTGTGCAAATAGGGTGATTCCTATTGTATGAATATAGTTTTTCATTTTAGGGCTTGTATGAATAGAAGGATTCATTTTTGTGCTTGTATAAATAAAATGATTCATTTTAGGGCTTATATGAATAGAATGATTTATGTTGTGTTTGTATAGACAGAGTGTTTCTTTTGTGCTTGTATAGATAGAGTTATTCATTTTGTGCTTGTATAGATAGAGTGATTCATTTTGTGCTTGTATAGATAGATTGATGCATTTTAGGGCTTGTATGAATAGATTGATTCATTTTAGGGCTTGTATAAATAGATTGATTCATTTATAGAGTTATTACTCTGTTCTCATTGTAGAGACTGTATTTGAAGAATATTAGCTTCAGAACTTGTTATTTAATTTGAAGACTTTAAAGTTTAATTCTGAACAAAGTATGAAATTTAAAGTAGTATACTATAGTTGAACATTCTTATAGAGACAGTGAATTTCTATTGATATTCTTTTGGTAAGTACGAAGTTTAGAGAGTTAATATGTTTTATTATTTTTCAGTATGTAAATCATGCCTTTGAAAGGTTGACAGGATATAGTAGTGAAGAGGTTTTAGGAAAAAACAGTTCAGAAATCGTCAAAAACGACCGTAACCGACCTGATCTCAATGATACCATAAATAGCCAGCTAAAAAAGGGAAAGGTAAGGCAGAAAGAAATTCAACCACATAGAATTTCCAATCTCTGATAGTGTTATTCTGTCATTTACCAAACAAATAATGACCAGCAGTAACATATTAATAGTAGCAAAAGTGTCAAGTTATGAAAAAAGAGCTCAGAAAAAAAGCCGGTTAATACAGCAACAAGTTTTAAGATGGAAATTGACCTTCAATCATTTTGTTAAGTTAAAAGAAGTATCTCATAGAATTTACAGTCATAAGTGAATTCTGACCTACATTTCAGATTTAAATGACTTAAGTTAAGTTTATGATTAAGTTAAGTTCTCAGTAAAATGACCTACAGTTTTATTCATATACCGTATATCGTTTTTTTTTCGCAATTTGATGATTAAATGGGCAGGTTAAATTTACACTGTGTATAATATTCGCTGAATGGGAAAATACACCTGAAAAAATAACTGTATCGTATTGTTAAAAAAACTTGATTAACTAACAGGTAATGGAATAAATATGAGTACATGTATTACAAACGACAATACACATACATCAGAGAATTTTTAATGAACGTAAATTATGTACATAGGGCATGCTAAAAATTGAAGGTTTTGACCATTACAGATATACAAATATTTGTGTAATTGTGAATTGTTATTATTTTATTTTTACATTTTATGCAAAATATTCGAGTTATGACACGAATCAATAGATCGTAGCTAATTAACAAATTTTAACATGTCACAGATTGCTGTGTTGTCAAAAGGTGTGACATGTATGCTTAGCCAGTTTAATTATTATGAAAACAGAGATCTTAATTAAGTAGCCCATTCTTGTGATCTGTCAAACAACACAAAATTTCTATAGTTAACAGTATAATGATAATGTATGAAACCTTCAAACAACGATAAATCTACGAATTTGCAGGGAAATTTATATAGGGTAAAATTTTTGCGTTTCTTTAACAGCAGCTTACAAAGCGAAAAAAAACGATATACGGTATAGCATGGTGCAAAGGTGCATCTAAAAGAGTATATCCACGTTCAACTAGGAGTACAGGTGAAGTTTACTTTGACCTTCAATCCACATTCAACTAGAAGTACAGGTGAAGGTCACTTTGACCTTCATTTGCATTTCAATGACTGGTTTATATGTCTATGTTCAGTTTTTAGATACTTGATTGTTGACATATACAAGTGAAGACAATAACAGCTCTATTGTTTGCATATACAAGTGAAGACATTAAAAACTCAATTGTTGTCATATACAAGTGAAAAACAGCTCTATGTTTGACATATACAAGTGAAGAACAGTTCTATTGTTGACATGTACAAGTGAAGACATTAAAAACTATTGTTTACCTATACAAGTGAAGACATTAACAGTTCTATTGTTGACATATACAATTTAAAAGACATTAACAGCTCTTTTGTTGACATATACAAGTGAGGGCATTAATAGCTCTATTGTTGACATATACAATTTAAGACATGAACAGCTCTATTGTTGACATATACAAGTGAAGACACTAATGGTCTAATATACAAGTGAAGACACTAATGGTCTAATATACAAGTGAAGACACTAATGGTCTAATATACAAGTGAAGACACTAATGGTCTAATATACAAGTGAAGACACTATTTTGTTAACATATACAAGTGAAGACATTGAGAGCTATTTTGTTGACATATACAAGTGGAGTCCTGAACAGCTCTATTACTGACATATACAAGTGAAGACAGTAACTACTCTATTGTTTACATATATAAATGAAGACATTTTTAGCTGATAAACAAACTGTTCTGGTATGTCTTTCCATGCTTGAAAATTTTCGAAAGGAGTGTATTGAGTTTTTATTTAATAAAATAAAAACTTTATTTATTGAAAACTTCAATGTTTTACGTAATACATTTTCAATGTTTATGATATTATTAATTTTTCAGTACTGGGATGGTATTTACCATACAAGAAGGAAAAGTGGTGAAATCTTGCCTAGTCACTGTCATATCTGTCCAGTTCTTGGTCAAGGGGGGTAAGTGATAAAAAAAATTGTAGTTATTGTCATATTTTTATTTTTGACTGTTAGAAGTGAGGAGACATAGTAGTCTCTGATGATAAGCTGATAAGAATGTGTTTTGAATTAATTATACTATTCCTGATCTTGGAGAAGTGCAAATTCCTTGATGCTTTTCCACTTTTGAGTCGGCATGTTTAAGGATAATGTTATAGTTCATTCATTTAAAAAGACATTTATTGGCTGTAACTTGAGAAATGACTAAGGTCAAACTTCAGATTGGAATGGATTATGATTAGGAGTTCAAAAGTCAAAGATGAAAACCAGTGGGCAACTTTCGTTTTAAATTAAGAGCCTCTTCTCCCAATATTATCAAACTTTATTGTCACACCTCAGTATTATTAAACGTTAAAGTCACAGTGACAATATGGATGTAAAGAACCTTTCTTCATGTGCAAAATTCAAATCAAAGCAATTTATGAACTTTTTAAATCATGAGCTGTTTCCCCTAATATATTCTATATTGTTTGGCCTGCAAGGAGCAACTATTATAAGAATCCTGTCATTAAGGTTGAAATTTAAAAAAAAAATCAAATATTTGAACACCTGAGAAGAAAAATGAATGTGCAGTATCTAAAGAAATGTAAACTTTGTTCCAATAAGCAAGCATAAGTTTTGCACCTGACAGCTGGACTAGCAGAATGCACTATTAATGTTCATAGGATTACTTTTTTTTTTTTTACATTTTCTTGCACTTCATTAAGTAAACTTACTTTCTTTTCATTTCATTAATAATTTCTCTTGTAGAAAACATATTTTGTTTGGAATAATCATCACCAATTGCAAATAGTTATTATTATAATATTATATTGTTATATTTACAGGAAAATATCACATGTTATATCAATAAAGAATTCAACCACAGATACCTCACATATTTTAAAAGAAAGTACAGAATTTAATTTAGTTAATGGTAAGTGTTATCAGTAGATGTTACAGGTGTCATAGCACATTGCAAGGAATTTATCTAAATATTTTAAAATCGTGTATACAAGTTAAAAAAAATCAAATACTGCTAATTTTGTTTTTACAACTGACTGCATAATGTACTATGAGAAAGTTGCAAGTCTTGATGAAGCTGTGATGATTTTGAGGATATAAGCAAGAAATTTTGCCTTTCGAACCTTTTGAATAATTGATACTTGAGCACGTTTTAACTATTAACACTGTGAAAATAAAGTCAGGGATCCATATAAATTTTTCCCTGATAAAGGAAAACAGAATTTTTTATAGCAATAACATAAATAATTAAATAAAAATTGAGAGATTTATCTGATTATTCAAGTATTCAGATTCCGTTCAATTTTTAGTTGCATGCAAAATTTAATAAAAAAATCAGAGGATGTTCCTCAATGAGGTTGATGATATTATATCATATTCTATGGTGTATGAAAGTTAATGAGACAATTTTTCTCAAAATAAAAGTGACATATTAGGGTTGTTATTGGCAGTGAACGAAGGGATGTTGATAGTTTTGAAATTCTCAAAATTGAAATTATGATAAATCTAGTCGAAAGTCTTGTAAAAAAAGGGAATTGATTGAGTTTTGTAACTATTTACAGGAAGGCTATCTCGACAGTCTAGTAAGTTATTTGTTATTTGCTGTGAGCTACATATTGAAAAAGACAAAAAAAAATTTATGTAGGAAGTTGTGATATTGGATGGTCAGTTATAAATTGGGCCAAATAATTTGATTCATGTGTTGATTATTGTATGTGTTGTTGTCAGTGTGTTCCTCTGATCATATATGTCTGTCATCTATTGATTGTCTGTAGTCATATATCTTTTTGTTTATATGTATTGTACCATCAGCTTTTGTCAGTATGTCTGTTGGCTTCATGTGAACAGGAGGAATAGAAGATGTGCCTCTTGTCCTGTTAGTTGACTTTCGTTTGAGGTTCCGGAGTCACAAATCATTTCCTGTGATTATAATTTGATATAAAAATGTTGTCTGATATGATAAATTGTTGTTTGTATAAGTATTTTACTTCCTGATAGAAGTCAAAAGATATTATTTTCTCACAGGTTGTTAATTTGACTGTACAAATAGTAAAATGGACTTTTCCCATGATTCTTTGGTTCCGGTATGTGACATTAGAAATCATTTGATACCTTTCTGATATGAGTTTTTAACGTACTTTTTTCTAATTCATGCCTGATTTGGAGGGGAAGGGTTCGACCATCTCTCTGTGAGAAACAACTGTACCAGTATAGTTCTATCACAAGCACTAAGTTCCACCTTATGTAATACATAGGAAACTTTTGTGTTCAATCAGAGAGGATAACTAAGATGTCTGTCATATAAGTGTTACTGTTTATAATGTACTCTTGGAATTTGTTATTGATGTTAATATCATTCTCGGTCATTATTATCATTAGTACAACTTCTTTGATGTTTTGATTTTGAACTAATTGTTACCATGGTAATTAATGTAAAGTATAAAAGTGTGGATTTAATTGTTGTATTTGTTTTGTTTTATATTGCAGTTCAATTTTTTGTGGTTTTATCAAGCTTTCCTATTTGTCAAAGTGACAGTTTGATACAAAAATAACTTATTTTATTAAACAAATTATAAAAACATCAAAAGCATGAATATATAAGTAAAGCACACAAATTACTTAGAAACATCTGATTTTGTTATTGCCCCTTCTAAAAAACAGTGATGAAGTGAAACTTAAAAAACTTGTGGTATAATCGGCTAACTATTGGTGTGTATTTGTTTTTGTTACCAACAGTTTGTACTTGTTAACTGTTGAAAGACCTTTTTTGCAGTATTATTGATGGTATTGCCTTTTTTTTTATAATACATGAAAAAATGTGATGATTATTTAGTTTAACTCTAATTTTAGAATTGTACAACTTGAAGTGGAATTACAGAGACTACTTCTTGTTTTTATTTTTGTAAAATATCACTTTTTGGAATAGTGTACTTTCCCATTTGTCAAATGTGTCACTTAGGATAAAAACAGAAAATAGAATGAATGTCACTCATTTAAATTTAAATTACATAATCAGTTTGCTAACTACTTCAGGTGGTGAATGGCATTGGAATTAAATAATATGTACTCAGTTAAGAGTTTTTGATCAAAATTACATTCTCTTTGGGTTTTTTTTTCATGTACACCATTTAAAAAAATTAAATGTATGTTACAAAGACTGTTCCAAACACAAACATTTATCGGTCAAAAGTAATTTATTTATCTAATTGTGTTCTGATACCATTGTTGTAAATAGAAGCATAATCCGGGAAAACCCTGGAATTTTTTGTTTTTATTAAGAGTGGCAATCTTTTGTCTATAACTACTTTAATAATCTTCTGCAAATCAGTTCAAAAACTATTTACCGATGCAATTATTAACTTTTCTGCAATTCTATTATAGGTCTCTGATTGTTCATTTAAAAAAAAATTGAATATTTAATATTTTTTTGTAGAGTTACATTGTGTTCATGGATATTTTATGTATTTTTATTTCTCAGGTGGATTACATGGTGTTCCACGGAGGAAAGAATCTATAGCAAGGATCCACTCAATGACTATAGAAGCTCCAATCACAAAGGTAGTAATATTCTGGAAGTTATTTAAGTACAATGAAAAACATGTTTTTAAAAAATCAAACACTAGTAAGAAATATTGGATATTCAGTACACTGAAAAAAGGCTTTGAACAGGCTTATTGGAGTTAAGAAAAGGCTTGATTTTAATTTTTCAAGAGAAAAACAACTTTGCAGGTCGCTTTCTACAACAGGAACCATTCTTTAAAACCACAGAATCAAGTATTTTCAAAACTGAAACTTTTTTTATAAGCCATGAAAACTGGTATCATGGACATTTAATTAGTCCACAGTATGATATACTGGTACCTTGAAACAGTTTACAAATGTCTGTTTAGAGGAAAGATAATCTTAACAATGAATGAACCTTAGCTTCAGTTTGGTCTATACTGGTACCTTGAACCAGTTTACAAATGTCTGTTTAGAGGAAAGATAATCTTAACAATGAATGAACCTTAGCTTCAGTTTGGTCTATACTGGTACCTTGAACCAGTTTACAAATGTCTGTTTAGAGGAAAGATAATCTTAACAATGAATGAACCTTAGCTTCAGTTTGGTCAATATATTCACAATTTGTTATTAACTATATTGCTGGGAATATATTAAAAATATTTATAAGATTATAGGATAACAGAACTAAAATACTTAACTATTTGAAATACAAATGAGTATACAACAAAATATTTACGAATATGAGTTCAAATGATATTTTTCCTGATTTTAGGTGATCAATATAATAAATGCGGCTCAGGAAAGTAGTCCAATTACTGTTGTACAGGCGTTGGATAAGGTGCTAGAAATTCTACGAACCAGCGAACTTTACTCACCATACTTCGCACAACAAATGAAAGATAATGATCCCATGACTAGTGATTTAGTCAGTGGGCTCGTCTCGGTAGGTTTAATTTTCTTACTTTTATATATCTGACTTAGTCCAGTGACTAGTGATTTAGTCAGTGGGCTGGTCTCGGTAGGTTTAATTTTCTTTCTTTTATATATCTGACTTAGTCCAGCGACTAGTGATTTAGTCAGTGGGCTCATCTCGGTAGGTATATTTTTCTTACCCTAGTCCAGTGAGGAAATCAATTTACATGTGTTGATATGTATATTTTTCACATATACAAATGATATCTTTTTGTTAGAATGAGATTTATATTGCTTAAATTGAAATAAAAAAATAAATATAAAATGACTTTTTTACTTTTCATTTAAAGTTAAGTTGAAAAGATGATTGGAATATCCTTGACAGTCATTTGTAGTTGATAAAAAGGCATTTGTATGAAAAATTTAATTACAGCTGCATACATTTTAATTTACAAAATGCAGGGAAAAGTTATGAATTAAACACATAGAAACGGGTGGAGGGCTTATTTTTGCAAAAGTGCAAACTTTCTTTGTAACATTGTAGAGTTTGTTAGTATAATAAGAATAAGAATATTTATTATTCCAATCAAGGGCCCTTGATGGGCAGCATAACATGTACACATAAAACAATACATCATGATTTGTAACAGAAAAACATTTTTATATATTAAAATGAAACATTAAAAAGTTCAGACAGATGTTATTATCTTCATTCTATAAAAAATCACATACATTTAATTCCAGGCAGGATCAGAACTATAAAATCATTACAATTATCATTGTTATTACATACAATAATTAACATTTCGTCTAACATCTAGACATGTAATAATATAGCTCCCTAAATATTTAAGTATAGACAAATTTTCATTAGTAAATAACCAAACAAATTTTGCCTCATTTGAAAGATATATAAAATTGGGACAGATACAGTTTATCTCCTTGAAAAATATCTCCCTATCATTATTGTATGCTGGACAACTAGTAATAAAATGTTGTTCATCTTCAACCAGATTTAGAGTACATTTCTTTCAAAGCCTTTGGTCTCTTTCTATATATAAAGTTTTATACCTGTCTCTTTCTATTTTGAGATCATGTGCACTGATTCTGATTTTACATATGGCACTTCTCAATTGAAAATTGTTTAAAGATAGATACATTTCTTTTGACATCGAAAAACAAGTTTTAAGTTTGAAATAAGTATCTAATTTACTACTCTTTGTATCTCTTCTTTTTGTGTTCCAAAATTTTACAAAACTATTACAAAGTTTTTGCTTAACTGACTTGATAAAAAAGTTGAGCTTTACCTCCAAATTATGAATATTCAGCTTTTTAAAAATGTAATGTATGGATGAATACCAGCATTCAATATTATAGCTAAATTCTTGAAAAAGTATACTTGTAATAATTCAAATCTCTCCACAAATTAGGTAAATAACTGCAAAAAGGTAGAAATAAGTGACAATCTTTTTTTTGTTTTAACATTTCACAAATGGATTGAACTTAAATCACTTCTGTTGCTAGGAATTAAAATTTCTAGTTAATATTAAAAATAAAAACAACTTGGTCTGCAATATGTTGTACACAATGTGTGATGTAATTGTGATTACTTACAAATCTATTACATAATCTACAATACTTTAAGGGTTAATAAATTTATGACAATATGATCTAGAACTCTATTGTACTTTGAGATTCATTTTGTGGGATATAAATCATTTTGTAGTAAAACTATAATTATTCTCAATCAGTTTCCCTCAAATTTATGTTTTTGATGAGAACCTAGAATGAATATAATGATAAGAAATTGTTGGAATATAAAAGCTCATTGTTTTTGGGAGACTTTGATGAAATAATGATAAAAGCTGATAGTATAGAGTGCAGTTTGCCTTGAAACAGTTAATAATAAAATTGAGGATGGAAACAGGGAATGTGTCTCTAATATATAACTAGATTTTCACATGAACAGTTTCTTCCAAAACCAGCTTTATAAATATAAGGCGATGAGGTATGATTGCCAATGAGACAACTATATCCACCAAAGCTCAAATAAAGTGGATATATATATGTCTATTGTTATAAATATTGTATCAGGTTCAAAGGAAGGGTTAATCTTAATAATCTAATTAATAGTTTGATATACTGTATAGACACCTGTCTATTGTTGATGTCTGGTTATTTGTATAGTTGAGTTGCTAAAGTCTTGTAGACATAAACCCGACATATCTACATTTATTAAAACAAAACTTATCAAAATCTTCTGATCAATGGGGACTTGTATGTCATTATGCATTACACAATTATTAAATAAGAAGTGAGATTGTAATTTTTATGATATTCTCTATATATTGAATAAAATCCAGTGTAATTTGATCCAGGTTTTTAAAACATATTTTGTCATTTTTGAATTCCTAGACTGACTGATTCTCTGAAAATTAAAGATATTTTGCATTAAATTGTTTATTTGAAGTATGAAATATTTATAATAATCTTGATACATCTGCACTGCATTCCACTATAGGTTAAATGTCTCATTAAAACCTGACGTAACATACATATATCAATTTCAAAGGTAGAAATAATATCGATTTTCTTGCTTTCATTTGACTTTTTTATGATCACTTCTGTTACCAAGATGGTTTGACATCAAAAAGATCCATGAAAATATTGTATAAAAAATTTTCTACAAGATGATGTAAATGTCTTTTAGTGTTCCTCTGATCGGAATTTCAAATTTATTATAAAATCTATAACATGTTTATGTATAGATTTGCAAACAATTTACCACAATATAATCTTATTGTATATTATACAGTACAGCATATTAACATTGAACAAGGAAGTGTTATACGTAACATGCCTGATAGGTGTGAAAATGATACATGATGTTTTATTCTACAGGTTACGGCTACTCTTGTTTTATTGTTATAAGTAGCAAAGGGCAAACAATGTTTCATACAGTTATTTATGAGCAATACCAACAGCATTTACAACTTTTGTTAAACCTTAAATAACCAAAAAAAGTAAAGGAAATATTAATATTATATCTTTCAAATTAATTACATATCTTTTTGAAAACTAAGATTTTACATTAGAGGAATATTTCTGTTAATAAGGAAATATGCTTTGCTCATGACTGTTTGCAAATATGGCCTAATTCAGGCTAATTGTTTCCTGATTTTGTACTTTAAAATATCCTTTCACACCTGTATTGAAGTTGAATAAATGTTCTTAAGATAGACAAGACCTTACAGTTTACACTTTGAATTACATCAGTTAAATATTTTAAAATTTAAGTTGTATGATTTCGTACCACTTAAAATTATAGACCAAATAAGGATCTAATAATACCCACATCTTTGTATCTGTGAACATAGGGAACTTTTAAAGCAATATATAGTACAATTGAGCCTCTCCATGCGAAAAGTACATAAAGTGGTTTTTGATAAACTTTACAGGACACGTTGTTGAAGTTCGTTAAAATTTTGTTGAAAAACGATGATATCTGTAAAAATTGGTATTATTGAAAACATCCATTGAATAGTCAATTCTGCCCCAAATTTGTCAGTAATAACTGAAAAAGACATAGAAATATCTGAATTATTGTATTTAAGCAAGTGCAAAATTATTTGTTATTCAGAACAATGCTATACTGAGTCAAAATAAAACCATTTACAACACTAAAGAGAGAATGGTTTAATTGTTACCATCACTACCTATGTGTAAAGAAATAAATACACCAGTTAAACATAAAGGAAAATGCAAAACAATGATGTCATCTTGTGTTTTTGAAATTGAATTTTAAGTGAAGTTAAGCGAGAGAGATCCTTATCCCAACTGCTATTTAAGAGAACATAATAAAATGGCAAGTTTAAACACTTATACATGGCCAAATTAAAATATAGAATTTGAAATAATTGAGCAAAATATTAAAAAAGGAGGGAGGAGTTGTGACTTGTAAGCACTGAAATGTGTGTATAGTTTATATTATACTTGTATAAGTAAAGTAACTGTGTTTTATTGATCACAAGTCTGCTACCAATAATTGTGCACACTTTTTAGAAGTTTTTGTCGAGCCTTCGACTTTTGTCGAAAAAGCGAGACATAGCGATCCTACATTCCGTCGGCGTCGGCGTCGTCGTCGTCGGCGGCGTCCACAAATATTCACTCTGTGGTTAAAGTTTTTGAAATTTTAATAACTTTCTTAAACTATCCTGGATTTCTACCAGACTTGGACAGAAGCTTGTTTATGATCATAAGATAATATTCAAAAGTAAATTTTGTAAAAAAAAAATTCCATTTTTTCCGTATTTTACTTATAAATGGACTTAGTTTTTCTGCCAGGAAACATTACATTCACTATGTGGTTAAAGATTTTAAAATTTTAATAACTTTCTTAAACTATCCTGGATTTCTACCAAACTTGGAAAGAAGCTTGTTTATGATCATAAGATAGTATCCAGAAGTAAATTTTGTAAAAAAAAATTCCATTTTTCCGTATTTTACTTATAAATGGACTTAGTTTTTCTGCCAGTTAACATTACATTCACTCTGTGGTTAAAGATTTTAAAATTTTAACAACTTTCTTAAACTATCCTGGATTTCTACCAAACTTGGAAAGAAGCTTGTTTATGATCATAAGATAGTATCCAGAAGTAAATTTTGTAAAAAAAAATTCCATTTTTCCGTATTTTACTTATAAATGGACTTAGTTTTTCTGCCAGTTAACATTACATTCACTCTGTGGTTAAAGATTTTAAAATTTTAACAACTTTCTTAAACTATCCTGGATTTGTACCAAACTTGGACAGAAGCTTGTTTATGATTAAAAGCTAGTATCCAGAAGTAAATTTTGTAAAAAAAAAAATCCATTTTTTCCGTATTTTACTTATAAATGGACTTAGTTTTTCTGCCAGTTAACATTACATTCACTCTGTGGTTAAAGTTTTTAAAATTTGAACAACTTTCTTAAACTATCCTGGATTTGTACCAAACTTAGACAGAAGCTTGTTTATGATTAAAAGCTAGTATCTAGAAGGAAATTTTGTTCCATTTTTTCCGTATTTTACTTATAAATGGACTTAGTTTTTCTTCCAGTTAACATTACATACAGTCTGCAGTTTAAGTTTTTAAAACATTTATTAGATTCATAAACTATCCTGGATTTTTACCAAACTTGGACAGAAGCTACTTACAATCAAAAGATAGTATAGAGAGGAATATTTTTATTAATTTTTTTCCTCATTTTTGCTGAGCCTGTGATTAACAGCAAAAAGTAGGCGAGACACTGGGTTCCGCGGAACCCTTACGAATTTTTTTGTTTTTGTACCTTTTTGCATGGACTAGCTCAATTACAATTATTAATTATAGATTAAGAAACATGCATTTGCACTGCTTAACCTTTTTGTTTGTATATTTTCAGCAAAATGTAAAGAGGTCATTAACTCCAAGTTATTTATCAGATGTAAACAGTAACAGCAGTGGTAAACAAGGTGAGAGATTATATTTTAACCAGACCGAGAGTTCCTTACAAAGTCGTAATGATTGTCAACTATCTGCGTTTAACTCACAAACTGAATTAAAGTAAGGACTTTTATGGAAAGTTTGTGAGTCAGCAACCCAGTTTACACATCAATAACCTCTAGAAAAAATGTGTTTAATCCTTATAATTCTTAACCCAAACATTTACAACTTTTAATAAACATTTTATTTTCATTGGCATCTACCGTCAAATCCACAGTTGACATGTTAACTAAGGAGTGAGCCGCCATATTGACTAGGTGGAATCCATAAATGTTCGATTAATGCAATAAAATCGAAAATGAAACAACACCTATATCAAAAAACTCCATTTTAATGAGATATTATTCAAATTTGAAGCATATAAGTAACAGAATATCATTCAGCTTGAGAGTATTCATTCGTATGACGTCATGTTTTGCTATGATATTAATGTGCCAAGATCGTTCATGAAATTTTGCGGAATTTTATTTTATTATAAATTTATACATTTTTCCAAGCTCAAATGCATTATTTCTGTTTGTGATGCACAAGAACAGGAATAACTGTTCTGTAGTGTTTTTGTTTCAATATTTCAATTTTCTTAGAACCCCAGGATCCCATTCAAGTGTATTGCACATGAAAAGGTTACAAAAGAAGTTTTGGCAACATCGTCTATGGAAATGTAAACCAAGGAAAAAAATTCTTAACAGACCAAGTATTTGAAGATGTGCAAATCATACAAGAATTGTTAAACCTCTAATTTTTTTTGAAACAAGCTAATTATTCAAAGATTAATGCTTTATTATTTTTTTTGTTATCCCAGTTGTTGAGTTTCAGTCTCATTGACATATACTCCACATATCTTTTTATTCATACCATAAACCATTGAAGATTTTTTTAAAGGTTTTGTCTACATGTATTGTTTAATAAGTCTTATAGATGTGTCACCATTCAAAATAGCAAGGTAAAAAAGCTTTGAATTAATTGACATAATTCAGTGTAGCTCATAAAGTACTCATATTTTCACAGGCAGTGATCTACAATCTAGACGACCGAGTGAGTAAAATGCTGCTTCATTTTGCTGTGTGATTTAATTGTAAAATATTTCAAAACATATTGACCAATTGACTGAATACTTCTATTGTATATAATATTGACCTCTAATTGATCAACAAAAATCTTGTCATGATTTTTTCTCATAAATTTTTTAAAGTAAATACAGTATACTAGATTTAAACACATTTATAAGCATGTTATAAATTTACTCAATTTAGGTTATTTTTTAACAAATCTATGAATTATTGAATTCATGAATGTATAACGAGCAGAAGCGCTTCTTGCTTAAATGATAATGTCACTTGCTTTTAATTCTAATAAAGTTATGAATTTACTCAATTTAGTTTTTTTTTTTAACAAATCTATTAGATATCTCTTTCGTTCAAAATTATTATTACATAGAATGTTTCTGTTAAAACATAAGATTTAATGAGAATATCTCCGGATAAGAAAATCATGAAATTCATTTACAGAAATATCAATTATTGTTAAAGGGTAGATAACTGTTAGTGTTAATATTTTGAAGCCAAGCCCTTTCTATTCTGTCTTTAGACAGATTTTGGTAACAATAGTTTTATGTGAAATATTAAAAGAGTGTTGAATGGAAAAAAATCATTTTTTAGGTAGGGCTTTGTCTTCCAGACAGTCGAGTGAGTAATTGACTGCTTTCTCTGCTGTGAATTAATCTACAGTCTTTCTTGACCTTTGTTTTGCTTTGATTGAGTTTTATGACAGGACTTTTAGTCACTTTATTTGGCATATTGAAGATGGAGCAGATGGAGCTTATATGAATGATGGACCAATCCTTATTTGATTGAGTCTTTTCATTATGGATTGCTGGTTTACTTCATGACCTAATTCTGATACTGTGTCATCATATTTCAGTCCGACCCTAAAAATGATGTTCTTTGATGGTACCATATAGTTTTGTCCTCAATTCCTTAGTCATCTTTTCATTTTCCCGTGTTATCTATTAATATTTGTTATTACTGAACAATTTAAGCGAGTTTTATTCTTTTCAGTGGTATAAGGATTGGCATTTTGGAAGGCAGAATTTCTGCCCCTATCCTATATACTATAATTTTCCATTTGCAGTCTTAAGTTTTCTGTCTTCATCCCAGTTGACCGACTTTGAAGGACCTACTTATTGTTATGATTGTTTATTTGTTAATTTATTCTCATCCTGAATATGAAGTACATATTTGATACTAGATGTTAAGTAGGCAACAATCGATCAACTTCTTAATGTCTGCTTTTACATGTTGCTTTGGTTGTCATACTTTAAAAAGTAATACATCTGTTTTTATGCACTTCCTACATTAGTAAAGGAGCATAATATTTTCCTGGTTGTGTGTCTATCCATCTGACCATCCCGTTTAAAGTTAAAATTTTTGGTCAAGGTAATTTATGATTAAGTTGAGGTCACATCAACTTGAAATTTGATATAATTGTGCATTATGATGAGAACTTATTGAAATATATTTGAAATTAGGGTTTTTAGGAAATGTGTAATTTGCAACAAAAAATTGAATAATTAGTTGAAAATTTCATATTATGACATTTAAAGAATGGTTCTTTTCGCCTTGTCTTTTGCATTTTTCAAAGCATGAGCTTGAAAAAATAAATAGCTTCCAGTGTCTGAAGTATAACAATAATAAATGTTCAATAGAACATACATGTAGTAAAGAAACAAGAGAATCAGGAAATTCTGTGACTGAGCGAAACAACCTTCGAGTTACTTCAAAAATAGATTGTGTCTATGAATTGTTCGGGTTAAAATTATGGTGTTTTACATAAAGCTTTCTTTGTATACTAATCCTGCTTAAGAGAATGTTGTTCATTCCAAACTATCAAGTTTGTTTGACTGCTGCTTATTTTTTCTCTTTAACAGAATTTTTGGTTTTTGCTTGGACATGTCATTACATTTTACTTAAGATGTCATTATCACATACACGTTTTGCTGAGTTCATTAAATAAATATAACTTTCTACATTATAGTCGTGACATATTAAACTTATTGTATGATATATTTTAAAAAAGAAACAACAGATTAAGTATGGTGGCCGCGATATTTTTTAATCAATACCGAAGACCTATTTATGTTAACTTCTATGTCATTTGGTCTCTGGTGGAGAGTTGTCTCATTGGCAATCATACCATATCTTCCTATTTTTATACGACCGCAAAAATTAAAAATATTTTGGTCGTTTATTGGTATGACGTTGGCATCGTCGTCGTCGTCTGGCGTCGTCCGGCGTCGTCCGAAGACACATTGGTTTTCGCACTCTAACTTTAGTTTAAGTGAATGGATCTCCATGAAATTTTACCATAAGGTTCAATACCACGAAAGAAAGGTTGGGATTGATTTTGGGGGTTATGGTACCAACAGTTAAGGAATAAGGGGCCAAAAAAGGGCCAAAAATAAGCATTTTTGTAACTTCCAGACAATAACTTGTGTGTAAGTATATGGATCTCTCTGACATTGTACCACAAGGTTCCATATCACAAAGGGAAGGCTGTAATTGATTTTGGGGGTAATTGCCTCAAAATTTTAGGAATTAGGGGCCAAAAAAGGGGCAAAAAACAAGCATTTTTCTAGTTTCATGACAATAACTTGTGTGTAAGTGTTTGGATATTTCTGAAATTGTACTACAAGGTTCCATATCACAAAGGGAAGCTGGAATTGAGTTTGGGGGTAATTGCCGAAACGTTTAGGAATTGGGGGCCAAAAAGGGGCCAAAAATAAGCATTTTTCTAGTTTCCAGACAATAACTTGTGTTCAAGTGTATGGATCTCTCTGAAATTGTACTGCAAGGTACCATACCACAAAGGGAAGGCTGGGATTGAGTTTGGGGGTGATGAATCATAAGGGGGTTCAAAAAATTTGGGGGGGGGGGATTTTTTTTTTTTCTTTTTTTTTCTTTTTTTCCTTTTTTATTTCTTTTAAAATTTTCCATTTTAAGTTGGTTATTTCTGATTAATATTTAAAAGCAAATAATAATGAAATGGTAGGAGATACACACCAAACAGGATGTGTAAATTATTATATAATAAGTATTGTGCAATAGCAAGAAATTTTCAATTGCACAGTATTGCACAATAGCAAGAAATCTTCAATTGCACAGTATTGCGCAATAGAAAGAAATCTTCAATTGCACAGTATTGCGCAAAAGCAAGAAATATCCAATAGCACAATATTGCGCAATAGCAAGAAATTGTCAATTGTACAGTATTGCGCAATAGCAAGAAATATTCAATTGCACAGTATTGTGCAAAAGAAGATACTTCGTATAAATTGCTTATTTCTTGATCAATTTCAATGGGGTTTTATTCTTGAATTCTTGGGGTTCTTTAATATGCTGAATCTAACCGTGTATTAAGTTTTTGGATTTTGGGCCCCGTTTTTAAATTGGTCCACATTGAGGTCCAAAGGGTCCAAAATTTAACTTCGTTTGATTTCATCAAAAATTGAATTATTGGGGTTCTTTGATATGCCGAATCTAACCGTGTATTTAGATTCTTAATTTTTGGTTCCGTTTTCAAATTGGTCTACATTAAGGTCCAAAGGGTCCAAAATTAAACTTAGTTTGATTTTAACAAAAATTGAATTTTTAGGTTTCTTTTATATGCTGAATCTAAACATGTATTTAGATTTTTGATTATGGGCCCTGTTTTCAAGTTGGTCCAAATTGGGGTCCAAAATTAAACTTTGTTTGATTTCAACAAAAATTGAATATATGGGGTTCTTTGATATGCTGAATCTAACCATGTATTTAGATTTTTGATTTTTGGGCCCCGTTATCAACTTTGTCCACATTGAGGTCAAAAGGGTCCAAAATTAAACTTTGTTTGATTTCATCAAAAATTGAATTCTTGGGGTTCTTTGATATGCTGAATCTAACCATGTATTTAGATTTTGGATATTGGAACATAATAGGTGAATGTCCAATTTAAAATTTTTAAGTTCTTAGACCACATTCATTCTGTGTCAGAAACCTATGCTGTGTCAAATATTTAATCACAATCCAAATTCAGAGCTGTATCAAGCTTGAATGTTGTGTCCATACTTGCCCCAACTGTTCAGGGTTCGACCTCTGCGGTCGTATCAAGCTGCGCCCTGCGGAGCATTTTATTCTATTTATGTGTTTGCATATCTATGCACTATAGAAGTTTCCACTCTATGTCCTAAAGGATAAAGATGCTTTCCCTTGCAACTGTTTTCACACTATCAGATTTAATGTGTATGAGAAGAAGGTATGATTAGGCCACTTGTTTTGCCCCTTGGGATTGAAAATCAAAAAGTATCATGAATCTACCAAACAACTTCCTTCAAGTGTTCATTAGATAGTAGTTTGTTGGACATCGGTATTTACACTTTTTTTTATTTAGTCTTAGGGCTTCAAACTTCTTGCTTTTAGTGCAAAAATTATATGTGAAATGGCCATTTCAGGTCAATATTTAGAATCATTAGACTATGGAAGGAAAAAATCATTTTCACTGAAATAGTTATATCAGGTCTGTAGTTCTTGGTGTTGAAAGATGTAAGAAATTTCCCTATTTGATATTTATGGTTTTTCAGTGTTCTAGTTCTATTAATGACATTAAAGTTATAGATAGGATGAGAAAAACTGTCTAATATAAATTTTTTTACAAGAAACATTATAAGAGGTCCATTATTAACAAAGTTGATAAAAAAACAATGTGCTAAATTTGGTTAAAGCTATATCATCTTATGCCCTTCAAATGATAGTGCTTTAACTCATGGTAGCCTCCCAATAAAAGTCAGACTAAGAACAGCAGTAAAAGCAGGGTTCATTTGATTTACTTCTCAGAACATTTTTGAAATGTCTCGAGTTCATCTGTGACTTATCTGTTTTCCCCAATATTTGGTATGGTTTTCAGAGACATAATGATACTTATGAAAGTATGGTAAGAATTTATTTCTGTACTAGTAATACTTTTTGTGTTAAAAGAAGATTGAGGTAAATGTTTACAATATTAGAGAGTAGCATGCAGTTATAGGGTATATTCTTTCATAGAATTATGGTTTTTGAAATGTGAATTGAAATTAAAAGACGAACTGCATTTTTATTTTCAGGTCATCATTCTCATCTGCACATTCCTAGTCCAGTAACCTCATCCTTATCTCAGGTTCCAGATCATATACAGGAAATTCTGGATAAAGATTACACCTGGGAATTTAATGTTATAGAATTAGAAAAAGTTACCAATAAAAGGTGAGCTCTATTACTATAAGACCATGGCAATAAGAAAAAGTTACAAATAAAAGGTGAGCTCTATTACTTTGTTTTCTATAATTTAGAAAAACTACAAATAAAAGGTGATCTCTATTACTATATAGACATGGCTTGGCCGCTTGAGATTAAATCTTGGGAATAAGGATTACGTTAAAATTTAATATCGCAAGCTCAAATTACCATGTATGAAATTCTAGCTAAGTAACATGCCTCAGAATGAAGAGTGGTCGAAACAGGAGCTTCATTAAAACAATGAAAATTCTGTCTACAGATCGCACCTGATAATTTGCTGTTATAAACTTGAAAAAAGTTATAAAATGTAATCAATTACTGACATAAGATCATGTATTGGATTTTTTTCATTCCTAATTTTTAACAGAAATAAATAATTATTGCATGACTGAAGAGACATTTCTAAAAATTAGATGTTATATAAAAGATTTTACTTATATAGAAAAATCAATGCTAAAAGAGAGTTCAATATTTTTTTAGGTAATATCAAGTGCTAAAAAGTTTGCTGTATTATATATTAATAGCAATGTGTGGGATATAAACCAATGTGACAACAAATCTACAAAACAAAATCTAACAAAAAACATCTTATATGCCAAAAATACATGGTTATATGAGAGCTTGCATGTTAATTAGTAATATGTCATGACTTTTGCTTTTTTCCATTTCAGACCACTTTTATATTTAGGATTAAAGACATTAACTAGGTTTGGAATTTGTGATTTCTTTCAAATTGAAGAGAGCGTAGTAGCAAACTGGTTAAAACTGGTAGAAGGCAGATACCATAGTACTAACACATATCATAATTCTACACATGCTGCAGATGTCATGCATGCTTCAGCATTTTTTCTAGAGAGAGAAAGAAATAAGGTATTGGGTATTGTTTCACCTATAGAAAAAATGCAGCTTTTTGGTCTTTTTGTTTAGAGATAAAATGTAGAATTGAAATGCATTTGCCCAGGCGACTATTTAAGGGATGATTTGCAGACAGGACTATTTATACATAATTGATTTGTGTTCAGTTAACTACACCATAGCCACCATTTTGTTTCGGTTCTCTTGAGATGGTTCATATAGAAGTTAACTACACCATAGCCACCATTTTGTTTCCACTCCCTTGAGATGGTTCATATAGAAGTAACTACACCATAGCCACCATTTTGTTTCGGCTCTCTTGAGATGGTTCATATTAATATCATTGGCTCTATGTTCTGCAATGTTGAAAAACCAACACAGAATTGTTCTGCAGCTTGATTAAAATTTTTATTTATATTTCACTTAACCAAATGTGTAATGTGAGTTTTTTTTCGTTTCTTTAAGTCTTTCCCTAAACTTTTACGAATATCTCCTTTGATATAAACAAGAGGCCAACTGGATTCAGATTGACAGCCATTATTTTTAGAATTGGTAGTTTTACAAATAATATCTCATCATGCTACCAACTAACCAAAATGGCTACCATTGCTATAAATAGAACATAGGGATGAAACTGGAAAAATGGAATTTTTTGAATGACTAGAGTATATGATTTGTATAACTGTATGCAAGTTTTTTTTCCTATTGACCTTTTTAGCATAATTATGAACCTTAAATGAAGAAAATTTCCTAAAAATGCCTTTGATGTCTGTTCTTTTTGCAAATCTTGAACTGATATGTGATAGATAGTTGTATATTGAGAACTAATAGGTCACATAAGTTTTCTTCTATTTTACCTTCTATGAATGTTATCAAACTGCATTTTTATTCCTTTTCAAGTATATCTGAATTCCTAAAAAATGTATGCATATATATTCTGATTTTAAGGTCCCAAATAAGTGTATGATATGAGTTTTGTTCTGAGTGAACCACAGGAAATAATTGATCATGCCTAGAAAATCAAAGGGTTTTGTTATGGGACTTTATGTCTTCATTTATAGTATTATCAATAAATTCCCTGTAACCACTGCATAAATTTCTGAATGGGGTTCCCTTAAATGGTATTATATTTCTGAATGGAAATAGTTAGATGTAATGTGTTGCTATTTGATCTCATTTTTATACATATAATATAATTGATAGTAGTATCCATGCTCAGTGATGTCCAAGCATTAATAGACAGAGGGTGCATCAACATAAAATGAGAATCAATCTTTATCGTAAAATGATGTGTAATAAACTCCAAATACACTCCATTAAACTGATTTATAGTCACATTCTGTTTTTTCCAATTAATGTGTTGTCATTAAAAGCAAAAATCTATATGAGTGATGGCTCAGAATTATGAAATTATAGATTGTAAATTGGACTACTGTCTTTTAGTTTTAAAGGCATTCATTATAAATTATATGGATGTAATTAGTCTTATATAAGATTCTGTCATAATTATAAGATCATGTATACAAACGTTACAAAAAAGTGATGAATATAGAAACCAATGGAGTTACTTGTTTACTTGTATATCTCTTAGTATGGGGGTCAGGATGGGGTGAGGGTCATCATTTCTGTATTGTTAAATTGTTTTAGGTCATTGTTCTCTATTCTTTATTATTTCTTCATACCCCACCGAGACGCTCTTAAGATCATAGTATTGTTTTCATTATTGCAATTCAATCATGTCAAAAAATTTGTTTTCATATTTACATTGCCAACTGTTATTTACCAAAAAAATACTCATAAAATAAATTTTAAAACACCTGTATTATTTTATAATTTTTTCAGGCTGTTTTTGACCAAATGGATGAGATGGCTTGTTTAATAGCTGCAATAGTCCACGACTTAGACCATCCAGGGAGAACCAATGCCTTCCTTGTCAATGAGAGAAATGAATTAGCTATATTATATAATGACCAGTAAGATTTCTATACTAATAATTTCATGGATAATATGCTACCATCATTCACCTAAATTTCTCTGTGCAATAAAAGAAACGGCATTTCTGTAGAATTGCAGTTTGTAGAACCGTGGTAAAATATAAAAGTGCAAGGAAATGCTTTTACATACAATAAGTAAAGTTCATTTGTCAAGGAATTGTTAAAAGTTAATGAATGATTAAAGATTTAAGCCTTCTTATGGTTTAAGGGAGTTTAGGGTTTCTACATGTTTGAGTGCAAAGCTTTGAAAAGATTGAATCATGTTGTGGTTGGAGCTTGGAGGTAGAAACAGTGCAGATCCAGGACTTTTGTTTTACTTCAAGTACAGACTGAATAAGCTATTTTCAAGTAAAAATTGAAAGAAAGTTAAAACAATCATTTTTTTTTTAAAGTTATGCCTCTTGGAAATATTAATCATATGGAAAATTGCATTGTAAGTGCTCTCAAGAACATTTCTCTAAGTTATTTATAAAAACTTTTACAGAACAAAATTTTTTCCTCTCAGTTATTGCCCTTGGACAGATAAAATATGTGCATCAAGTGGGCATTGAACTCTGTTCTTTTATTAAGTCTCCCAAACGAAGTTTGGGAAGACTTATTGTTTTTGCTCAGTTCTTATTATTATTATTATTCTTCTTCTTCTTCTTCTTCTTCTTCTTCTTCTTCTTCTTCTTCTTCTTCCGCCGCTTTTAAATTTGAACTTGTCCGCACCCATTCTCCAAAACCGCTTGTCAGATTAACTTAGGGTTTCACAATATGTTAGACTAACATGTCTAGTGGTGCAATCAGGGTTTTGTTTGTGCAATGGGGTTTATAAAGGGGTACTTTGAGGGGCAAAAAGAAAAGAGGGTTTTACTATAGAACCCTATGGGATTTTATTTTTTTTAAATTTTCAAATGATTATAAATTGAAAACCGTTTGTGATAGACACAATCTTTTTAATTGAAAATGTTCTAAATGATAAAGCCCATTAAATGAAATACAGGGTTAGTCCCCAGGGGTCACCCCCACCCCCTGCCATTTAAGAAAGTTCTAATACCTTGTAAGTGGTCAAGATCCCCACCCCTAAACCATATATATTCTGGTTTGTCATGCTAAGATGGTTTGAATGATATACAGGGTTAGTCCCCAGGGGTCATCCCGACCCCCTGCCATTTGAGAAAGTTCTAATATCTTGTAAATGGTCGAGATCCCCACCCCTAAACCATATATATTCTGGTTTGTCATGATAAAGCACATCAAATGTTATACAGGGTTAGTCCCCAGGGGTCACCCCCACCCCCTGCCATTTAAGAAAGTTCTAATATCTTCTAAGTGGTCAAGATCCCCACCCCTAAACCATATATATTCTGGTTTGTCATGCTAAGATGGTTTGAATGATATACAGGGTTAGTCCCCAGGGGTCGATCCTGACCCCGAGCCATTTGAGAAAGTTCTAATATCTTGTAAATGGTCGAGATCCCCACCCCTAAACCATATATATTCTGGTTTGTCATGATAAAGCACATCAAATGAAATACAGGGTTAGTCCCCTGGGGTCACCCCACCCCCTGCCATTAAAGAAAGTTCTAATATCTTCTAAGTGGTCAAGATCCCCACCCCTAAACCATATATATTCTGGTTTGTCATGCTAAGATGGTTTGAATGATATACAGGGTTAGTCCCCAGGGGTCATCCCGACCCCCTGTCATTTGAGAAAGTTCTAATATCTTGTAAATGGTCGAGATCCCCACCCCTAAACCATATATATTCTGGTTTGTCATGATAAAGCACATCAAATGTTATACAGGGTTAGTCCCCAGGGGTCACCCCCACCCCCTGCCATTTAAGAAAGTTCTAATATCTTCTAAGTGGTCAAGATCCCCACCCCTAAACCATATATATTCTGGTTTGTCATGCTAAGATGGTTTGAATGATATACAGGGTTAGTCCCCAGGGGTCATCCCGACCCCCTGCCATTTGAGAAAGTTCTAATATCTTGTAAATGGTCGAGATCCCCACCCCTAAACCATATATATTCTGGTTTGTCATGCCAAGATGATTTGAATGATATACAAGGTTAGTCCCCAGGCATCACTAATGCATATAACTTTACTGGACCAAACCAATTTTCACTGGACGTTGCCCAATGTCAGGCGACCCTGGGAATTACGAATTATGGGAGCTTCGTTTGGGAGACTTCGTAACAGCATCCTGTTACAATCATTTCTTGTTATCACTTGAATTTAACCAAAACAAATATTTTTCATAATTTGAAACATATACTTTAACAGAGCTTTGACTTTTTATATAATTCTTCAAGTAAGAAATTATTTCTGTTTTAGGGCTGTTTTGGAGAACCACCATTCAGCATTGGCATTCCAGTTAACGTGGAAGGATGACTCTGTAAATATTTTCAAAAATTTGGAGACGTAAGTACATTTATTTTGTAAAGTATTTAAAACAAATAAAAGCAATAAGGAACAAATAAAAGATAAAAATTCGTAAGGGTTCCGTGGAACCCAGTGTCTCGCCTACTTTTGTTGTTAATCGCAGGCTCAACAAAAAGGAAAAAAATTCAATAAAAATGTTCCTCTGTATACTATCTTTTGATTGTAAGTAGCTTCTGTCCAAGTTTGGTAAAAATCCAGGATAGTTTATGAATCTAATAAATGTTTTAAAAACTTAAACTGCAGACTGTATGTAATGTTAACTAAGAGAAAAACTAAGTCCATTTATAAGTAAAATACAGACAAAATGGAACAAAATTTCCTTCTAGATACTAGCTTTTAATCATAAAAAAGCTTCTGTCCAAGTTTGGTACAAATCCAAGATAGTTTAAGAAAGTTGTTAAAATTTTAAAAACTTTAACCACAGAGTGAATGTAATGTTAACTGGCAGAAAAACTAAGTCCATTTATAAGTAAAATACTGAAAAAATGATTTTTTTTTTTTACAAAATTTACTTCTGGATACTATCTTATGATCATAAACAAGCTTCTTTCTAAGTTTGGTAGAAATCCAGGATAGTTTAAGAAAGTTATTAAAATTTCAAAAACTTTAACCACAGAGTGAATATTTGTGGACGCCGACGCCGACAGAATGTAGGATCGCTATGTCTCGCTTTTTCGACAAAAGTCGAAGGCTCGACAAAAAGTACTCACTAAAAAAACTTTGGTCTCATTTGGAGTAGATCCTAAGTAAATGGCTGCTTCGAAAAAAAATCTACTGAACCAACAAATGAATCACAAGCTACAGACAATCATTACCTTCAGCTGACATAGATGGATGTTTAATTAGGTGTGAAAGTTACGTTTGCCTAATGATATAATTCATTAACGGGTATGGTTTTCATTTGATACATTTTTGGAATTAAAATGTGTCCCCTCGCTTTCAGTCAATGGACACCAAAACACACAAGCATAAAAACTAACAACCCAATTAACACAAGTAAGACAGCACTTAGTTATTTTAATAACTATGGATCAATCAGATGTGAATCAAAATTTAAGTTTATTTAAATAAAGCCAATCAAACAGAAAGAAAATATCAAAATTGTCTGTTTCTCTCCTATTTGCCATAGGTTATTTTGTTGCTATCTTCTTATAATCACATAATAGTAAGTATTCTTACTATTTAATAAATATCTGCTTAGTATCACACTAGTTATTCACATACTCATCTACCAGTATGTTTGGCTGATGAAGTTGATCTTATTATATGGCTGATTAAGTTGATCTGACTGTTTGGCCGATGAAGTTGATCTTATTATATGGCCGATGAAGTTGATCTTATTGTATGGCTGATGAATATAAAAATAAAGATGTGGTATGATTGCCAATGAGACAACTTTTCATCAGAGAACTCATGATGTAGGAGTTAACAACTATAGGTCACCGTTATGGCCTTCAACAATGAGTTAAACCCATACCATACCCACAAGTTGATCTTACAGGTTGATAAAGTTGATCCTAATGTTTGGCTGATGAAGTTGATCATAATGTTTGGCTGATGAAGTTGATCCTAATGTTTGGCTGATGAAGTTGATAATAACACTGCATTTGAATACATTTTACCTTTCCAGTTAAACATTAAAATTAAACATTAAAATTAGTGTTTGTATTATTATAAGATATAAAAATAAGGAGATGTGGTATGATTGCCATCAAGACAACTATCCAAAGTTCAAATAAAGTGGATGTAAGCAATTATAGGCAACCCTACGGCCTTCAACAATGAGAAAAACCTATACCGTATAGTCGGCTTTAAAGACCCCGACATGAAAAATATGAACATTTCAATTGAGAAAACTAAATAAGCATGCTTACCAATTCAGCATAGCTTCCATAATGCAAAAATCTTACAAGTGCTCCAAGCGTAAAAAGTAAATAGATGAGTTTGAAAAATATATTTTTTGATTACAGAGATGATTACAAGATTTTGAGACAGAATATTATTGATATGGTCCTAGCAACAGAAATGAAACAACATTTCCAACATCTAAATAAATTTATCAACAGTATCAACAAAGGTTGTCTCAAAATGGATGAAACATCATCAATGGTATGTATCAACAAAGGTTGTCTCAAAATGGATGAAACATCATCAATGGTATGTATCAACAAAGGTTGTCTCAAAATGGATGAAACATCATCAATGGTATGTATCAACAAAGGTTGTCTCAAAATGGATGAAACATCATCAATGGTATGTATCAATAAAGGTTGTCTCAAAATGGATGAAACATCATCAATGGTATGTATCAATAAAGATTGTCTCAAAATGAATGAAACATCATCAATGGTTTGTATCAATAAAGATTGTCTCAAAATGGATGAAACATCATGAATGGTTTGTATAAGTGTGTATGCTTATAGAAGATATCACTTGTTTTCATTCATAGAATAATATATGTCCCCTATGTTGAGTACAGCATATGTTTAAAGTATGCCTGGGCTTTCCTTCTCAGCAAAGACAGAGGTTGATAAAAAAAAAAATGATAATCAATTGGCTTTTAACATGAATATTTTAAAAGCTGTCAAATATTTTAACATTAACACTACTCAATAATGACATAAAACACAGACAACTTCACTGCACAGCAATGACTTAAAAACTAGAAGACATCATTCCTCACCAATAACATAAAAACACAGTAGACAATATCACTCCTCACCAATGACATAAAAACACAGTAGACAATATCACTCCTCACCAATGACATAAAAACACAGTAGACAATATCACTCCTCACCAACGACATAAAAACACAGTGGACAATATCACTCCTCACCAATGACATAAAAACACAGTGGACAATATCACTCCTCACCAATGCCATAAAAATACAGTAGACAATATCACTCCTCACCAATGCCATAAAAACACAGTAGACAATATCACTCCTCACCAATGCCATAAAAACACAGTAGACAATATCACTCCTCACCAACGACATAAAAACACAGTAGACAATATCACTCCTCACCAATGACATAAAAACACAGTAGACAATATCATTACTCACCAATGACATAAAAACACGATAGACAATATCACTCCTCACCAATGACATAAAAACACAGTGGACAATATCACTCCTCACCAATGCCATAAAAACACAGTAGACAATATCACTCCTCACCAATGACATAAAAACACAGTAGACAATATCACTCCTCACCAATGACATAAAAACACAGTGGACAATATCACTCCTCACCAATGACATAAAAACACAGTAGACAATATCACTCCTCACCAGTGACATAAAAACACAGTAGACAATATCACTCCTCACCAACGACATAAAAACACAGTAGCCAATATCACTTCTCACCAATGACATAAAAACACAGAAGACAAACAAAACCTTGACTGGAAAGCAATAATCACCAAGTATTGATTTTAATTAAGAATAACAAGACTTTATTCAAGCAATTAAAATTGATGAGGGTTTAATCCATATACAGAAAAACAATCAGTTATATCACCCATTCAAACTTCATTGATATAAAGAATACAATTGTACCAAGTAAAAATAAAACACTTTATATTATTTGAGCTGCAATCTTTAATCTAAAAAAAAAATGATTTAATAAAATGATAAACATATGTTGAGGTTCCACCAACTGTTAATAATAGACTGGAAAGAAATAAATCACTTTGATAAAATATTTTATAGCACAGTTAACTGTTGATCTTTTTGCATTATATTTGAGTAATAAAAATATAAGTATGTCATCTTGTATGTAAAAATCTTTGATATGGTAAAAATTTACCCATTTAAGGATGTGGGCTTGTCTTGTTTTTTTTACTTTTTGTCAGATATTCTGAATCCTTTGGTTTTAACCATGTGGTGCCATTCAAAAGTTTGCCCACTTTTCTTTCCACCACTTTATAACTCATAGTTTAATCAAAGTACTGAAGTACTGAACATCGGATGACCACAAGTTCTTGAGGATGGTCAAAAGCACTTGTCTCAGAAAAAAAACAACATATCTCTTTACCTGAAACTGAGGTTAATGTACAGAGATATATTTTTTTCTAGACAAGTGCGTGCGAGTATGATGAATAAATGACAGGAAATTCAACTTCACCGTAATAACTATTATATTGTAGTGATACAAATCAGTATACACTGATTTGTTGTTATATATTATATTAAAATAACAGTTACATATATATATGATTTGCATCCGTTTGTATATCATTCTATTCTACTGTCAGTCTAATAATAGTGCAATGCAAGTGCATGGTGGACACTTTTCTGTAAAAATTCGATTTTTCTAAGATTGGATACGAGTAGGCATTCATATTTTCCCGCAAAAACAATTACAGAGTTACCGGTCCTGTCGCAAAACGTTCTTTGAGATATTCTTCCGCATGCTTTAACACAATTTTTCGGTACGTGTGCATTGATATTATCAATGATTTTTTACTTATGTATATATATCTAACTACAAAACATTTTCACATTATTAATTTATGTTGTAAACAAAGATATTTTTATCAGTATTCATTGAAGAGATGTATTTATATCAAATGACAAGGAATGTTATTTTGCACTCGTTTATGTGCGCATATTTATCATGTTTATAGATCGGTTACAAACCCAAAACTAATTTACATAATGGAAATCTAGGCGATAGCAATACATCGGAGTGACCTCAAGGTCATCGCGATGTAAAAATTCACTTCTGAAAATCTTATAAAATCCTTGTTATTTTTTCAAATTTTGAATGATAAAAGGTGTCAGTGTTAAATTTATGAAAAATCTAGAGAGAATCATTTCCAGTCAAATTTTCAGTGACTTATATCTCAAAAGCAAGCACACGGACCTTGCATTTTTTTCTACTTTTTTAGTTCCTATTTATTAATACTCTCAATTTATAAATGTCTTTAAAAAAGTTTGTTATTTTGAAACAGAGTAGCGAACGTCCTTAGCATCTTATAACCATTAGCAATTTTAATTTTTTTATCCAATCTTTACCTTGCTTGCTGGTAAGATAGATGATCTTATTGAACATGCATTGTTTTCTTTATTAGAGTGGAAATGGTTCACCAGATAGTACCATGATGCTGAACCAGTTATCTTCCCCAGAAAACAAGACTTTCATTAAACGTATTTTAATCAAGTGTGCTGATGTAGCTAACCCGTGCCGTCCATTAGATGTTTGTAAAGAATGGGGGAAAAGAATTGCTGAAGAATATTTTCTACAGGTTTGTTTAAACAATTACACAAGTCAAGTTTTTCCCAAAAAGGAAATTTTTTGGTACTTTTTTACATCACAATTAATGTGGTTTGCTGGTAGATTTATACATCCCTTTGCATAATGTAAGAATTCGATTGTCTGTCCGCCTGCTATGCTCTCAGCTGTTGTATGTCTGTCATCGACAGAGTGAATTATGGGATACTACCAAGGCTTCCAAAACGGTCATATATTCCGGACATTTGTATAATGTCCGGTAAAAGTCCGGCTGGGCAAAGCACGAAACGGTCATCTACTTTTTAGATTTCAAGGCTTTCTTTAGAGACGGTCATTTTAACATAATTCGCGATCTTTTTGACCCAACCTTTTGCCTTTAACAGCCACACATTTCCGGTCATAAAAGTGACATGATCATTAAGTACTATCAAAACAACCCCTACTTTAATACCTTCTCATTTTAATCAAGGCTAATTAGTTGTCGAACAGCTGAAATTTACCTGTTCAGGTGACAGGTAAACTATTTTGAACCGGACATTGATCTGTCTATTCAAAGTTATTTTCTTACATTTCACCGGTTTGCATCTAATTAATTTAGTCAAAAAGATTTAAATTATCAGAAATAATTTACAAATAAGATTTGATGAAAAAATTAAAGAGGTGAAAATGAAAAATCGTCATAACCACGTTGTTTGAACCAGAGACATGTCTCTGTTTGAACTAGTACACATGTGCGCATGTGCATGTGCGCAGGTGTGAAATTTAATTATGCATCCTAATTTCTTAAAAAAATGCTTAAATTGTCATTGATACCTTTATCTCACGTTTATTTCGAATATTATCTTGAAGAAATAACGTAGAATGAGCTACTTACACTCATTCATGCTTTGCAAACGTATACGGAATTTACGTATCCGTCTCTGGTCCATGTTTTACCATTGTCAAGATAACATCCGGTTTCAGAATTAAAAACGAAAGTAAAGTTTTTGACAACGTTATTTTGCACAAATAAAGAGTCTAAGGCAGATATAAGTACACTGATGTTGCACACTTTGGATGATGCACTGCCAATTCAACAGTTTACATCAGAACTTCGAATTTGAATCAAAGAAAGTTTAATATCGTTTTTTTTATGCCAATCATTGGGATTGCCAACTCGGCAACTGATTACCATAATTGCCTTTTGTTTATTTAGTCTTAAGGGATTAAAATCGGGATAATATATAAAATGTCCGGCTGGCTAAAAATAATTTTGGAAGCCCTGGATACTACTCTCTGTTTTTCTCTCAGATTTTCCAGATGTCTGTAATTTTAATATAGTATTAAAATTACTGGAAGAAATCTTACTGTCAAATTTCATATAAAAATAAGTAGATGTGGTATGATTGCCAATGAGACAACTATCCACCAAAGTACAATACTGTAAAAATCAGTTGAAAAAGGCTTAACTCATAAGATGGATACACATAGAAATACATCTAACAAAAACACACGTGGACAGGTACTTATACATCCCTACAACAAAAAGACACTAAGTACAGATCTGAGAGTACTCGCAGTTACTGACAGCTAGTTCAAAGCCAATTACAACTAATAAAAAAAATCATGTATCTAAGACTAAATGTTTGTTTAGATTGCCATTATTAAGTCAAGTTATTGGACTTGAATATTTCAAAAAGCCTGCAGATTCACATATTATAAATTGACCTCCTTTTTAGTTTGAAGATTATGTGAATTGTTGGTCCTGAGTTATGTGACTTTATCTTCTTATTTCATGAAAATGTTCTCAGTTGATGACTCATTAGGGTATGGGGCAGCTGTTTATTCTACTTTTTCTTTCAATTTACCAAATATTCAAAATATTACAATGAAAAATTTAACCTTTGTATATAAAAAAAAGATACTCCAAAATCTTAATAACTTTTTCAGACTGATGAGGAAAAAGCCCGAGGATTACCGGTGGTTATGCCTGTTTTTGATAGAAAATCTATACGAATACCAAAGTCCCAGCTTAGTTTTATTGATGTCTTCATCAACGAAATGTTTGAAAGCTTCGATGGTAAGGTTACAATTATTATTCACTTAAAATGTACAGTCTCCAAAAATTAGTGTTTAAATCCTTTCATCATAATTATGTATCTTGTATTGCCTAATGGATATGATAATGTCATTTGGCTGTTTCATTACTTGTTTAAAAAACATTTATCATCTGTTGAATATTGTAAGATATAAAAAAAAGTCATTTTCTGCTAATTTGAAAAGTTTTTCAAGGTCAAATATATTATTATAAAAACAAGTGTACTTTTAAAATCCATATTTTCCTGCTACTTATCAGTTCTGTTTCAATTTTATGAGCACCTGTTGTTTCAGTAATAATGGGGAAAACAATATATTACACTATATTTTTCTATGATACATAATTGAGAAGAGTTATGGTTCTTTGTCTGTCGATGGTAGAATTTAATGTAAATTCTCAACTATTTTAAATATTTCTTAATAGATTACTGTGACATACCTGAGTTAATAACACATCTCCAAACAAACTATCAGTACTGGAAAGAAAGAGATGAAGAAATCGGTGAAAAGAGTGAACAAGAAAACTTACCAAATGGCACAACAGAAGATGACACGTAGCAGACGACATGCTGCCTAGTTCATAACATGTCATCTATCAATACCTCATTCACAGTTCATTGATATCATACAGAGAGAGAGAGAGAGAGTTGTGGTGAAAATTTCTCCAGTCAAGATTCCTGAAATGAAAGGAAGAATGATATTTAAGTCATCGAAAAAATCAGCAATAAAACATTGAGTTTATACAGATCTTTAATCGTGTGTATATAAGGAGGAAATTTAAATCCAGATAGCTGATTACGTTCCCAGAAATAGAAGATTTAGTCTTGAGGGAGAAAATCACAACTTGATACACTACGTAATTTGGTGGAAAACCAAAGCATTTACTGTAGATTATGAAAATATATTATGTATTGGGAATTCCCAGCATCAGGCGGTGCTTATTACAGACTGATTTCCTGTTGTCTGTTATGTTTGGTACCCATTTGTGTAAATAAAGGCTAGATTTCCTTGTCATGACAAGAAATGGTTTTCATTCCCTCCAAGAGTGTTATAAATGGGGACCAGTATTGACTTGCATGAAGGTATCTGCTACAATGAGTTTGTGTGAACAATGAAGGGGAACCAGTCAAGCTTGATTCTTTTCAGCATTTACTTTAAAATGTCATGTGTGTTATTGTATGAATAGTTTTTTATTTATTTTTTGTGATTTTTCTAAGATATGATAATGCTTATAAAGTTTCATATTGTGACATAGCTCATATTCCAAAGAGTAATCCTTTAATCATATAAACCAAGATAATATGGCAAACTTTTTACTATTGATAATACTGCATATAAAACACACCAAATGTCTTGAATTGTGATATTTTTTTCTTCTTTAACTCATTACTCAAATGCCAAAAAATGGGTAGGGTATGCCAAAATGAATAATTTTCTCGACCTAATACCTAAATTTGGATAATTTGGGATGCATTCTCAAATCGTTCTTCATTTTATATCTTACATTAAATTATTTGGAATTTATTCTCGAATTGTTCTCCATTTTATATCTTACATTGGATTAATTGGGATGCATTCACAAAATATAATATAATAAATTTGTTTTCAAAAGGAAAGTTACTGGTAGTATGTACTAGTATAAATACAGAAACTAAAAAAATGGAATGCAGTGTACGATTGATCTTCTGTAGCTTTAAGAATGATGGGGCATTTGGTCACAGAGAGATGCAACAGATATAAATGGGGCATATTAAATACGTCAATCAGAAAATAACTGGATAAATTTTTTAAAAGTTATGTCCTTTTTCAGGAGCCTTTCATCCCCTTTTAAGGAAATAATGTATCGAGTCCAGTAAATGCTTTAACAGTAATTCTTTTGAGGGTAGAACAGACAGATCAACCTTTTGTTTTGATTTGCCAGTCCTTGTTTATCCTGATACCATAAGGATCTTTACAATTATTTTGAGAAGGAAAATTTTCTGGTGAATGATAATGTATCCATGGAGTCTCTAAGAAACTGCTGATTATGCCAACATAAAACTGTTATATCAAATCAGTATTGCTACCTCACATGTTACAATAAACCATATAAGTAACGAAGTGACAAAGAATTAAATAATCTTTAAAAGAAAACAAAAGTGTTATGTAGTCGGGCATATTTTCTGTATGCAGTTTATATTTGTAAAATTTCATTATTATTTTGTAAATTTTACACAAACAAAGCAAAAAGTACTTTCCAATATTCTTTTTATGCCCCACCTACGATAGTAGAGGGGCATAATGTTTTTCGGTCTGTGCGTCCGTTTGTTCGTCCGTCCGTCTGTCTGTCCCGCTTCAGGTTAAAGTTTTTGGTAGTTTTTGATGAAGTTGAAGTCCAATCAACTTGAAACTTAGTACACATGTTCCCTATGATATGATCTTTGTAATTTTAATGCCAAATTAGACTTTTTACCCCAATTTCACGGTCCACTGAACATAGAAAATGATAGTGCGAGTGGGGCATCAGTGTACTATGGACACATTCTTGTTTTTCTTGGTATTACCATAATTTAAGAATATTAATATTACTGCTGTGCAGTATTTCATGAGCTAGATAGAAGATCCTTTCGACATCCATTGTTTAACATATGAATGTAAGCATGACATATTGTACAAGGAATTCTCCATAGTTATTGTTAAACACGTTACACTCACACATAGTGATTATATCAGTATTACATTTGAGAAATATCATTAACTAGTAAACATTGCATTACATCATACCTATTTCTGTCTAATTTCCATTTCAAGCAAATTGTAAATACCACTTATATTCAATATTTGATCCTTTTATTAAGTCATATTGTCAGTCAAAAGTCAAACACAAAAGAAAGTTTTGTACTAAAATGCTACATTTTTTTTAAATGAATTGTGATAGTACTTTTATTCCTGGGTTTAGATCTTTAGCTGTTGGTGGAAATTTCATTATAGTTTGTTGATATTTTTAGGGTTTCAGGCGGTAACAAATGAGAAGATATTCATTTTGTTGGGTGTTCTTGAATTTTGATTTGCCTTAAAATCCATGAAAATTATAACCCATGAATAAAAGTACATCTCAATATTTATAGTTTAACTGTAAGTAAACAAAAATTCTAACTGAAATTGCTATTGCCTTGGTTACTCTGATCTCTAGTCTAGTTATAATGTGATATACAGTGTACATTTGTCTTTGGGTATCTACAGTATTGCCATGGAAACAGGGTATACAACATACATATATTTTAGTTTTAGCAAAATATTGTATGAAACTGGTTTAAACTTTCCAATAGTAACTGTGGCTCCGTATTCATTCAACATGGCCATATTTGCATATTTGTTACTTACCTTAAAAAATATAATTGGGTGAATGTACCTATTTAATTCATTTATAACATTTTTTTTGTGTCAAGGTTAGACATTTTTAGGTAAATTTTTAAATTTATAATGGTAGATCTTGTAACATTGAATGGATTCAGTCTTAATGTAGAAAATTCATATATAATTCCATATTGGTTGTTTCTGCAAGATAACTGTACAATGTCATTTTTGTCGCAGTGTTTATTTCTATTAATCAACAGTTGTGGCGTTTCACAATCATGTCAGAAACAAATTTGCAGGTTTATACCCAAGCATCATTATTGAAAAGAATATCTTTTCCAACCATACCCGGTCCCATCATTAAGTTTTTTACATGTATCTATTTAGCTAACACCGGTAAATAATTTATAGGTATCTTATTGACTGTATTGACAGTAATGTACATTCTGGTGAATATTATATTGTAATATATTTGTCTTAGAGAATTCACTGTACTATTTATATATAAGATTTATATATATATTATACATATATTAGTATATATTTAGCCTCTAAAATTTTTAATGTTCTATAAATAACTGGCTCAATATACTGAATCTGCTGCTATTCATCCATCCAGTTGTTCCACAAATTTTTACCAGTGCTACAATGTTCATTCATGCCTTTTTACGGTAAAGAATTTTTAATTTGATTAGAATATTGCAGCCTAATACACAAATTATGTTTTTACCGAATCATTTTTCATTAATTCGTTGACTTTTTTTAGGTTAATAGTACTACTTGATTTGGTGCTGTGTTTTGACTACCATTTTTCTTTCCTTTTTGGTAATTTTATTTAAGGATTATACAGTTATGAAAACTGAAAGATAAAAACCTCACAAGCCCATTTCAAGGAGGGGGTATTACATGCATACAAATTTGTAAACAATGTCAATTACCAGATCTGTTTTATAAATATTTAATTACGAGTAATAGTTTTTGCTAATTTTTTTGCATTTGATTAGAACCCAGTAGTCTGTTTAAAAAAAATTTCAAAGCTTTACTGCATTGAAACATTATATTGTAATTTAATCAAACTTCATATGTTTTAAACAAGAAAGTTTAATGTATTCAAGCAGCAAAACAATCTGAAATGTTGTAATAACTAATTTGGTTACTAGAAAAGACTTACTTTAAGCTGTATAAAAATTGAATATATGAGGATATTTTTAATTTCAAATTTGTTTTGAAAAGCCTACTTTCAGTGTGAATGAGTATCTTGACTAATCAGCTTTTAATGATTTTTTTCCTTTGCTTGGCTGACTTCGGGCAGAAAGTATAGTTTATTCAGTTGTTTCATTTTCTAGTTACCTTATTTAGTTTTTACATTTTTTAGTTGCTTAAGGAGATAACCTTCAACCTTTCAATATAATTTTTGAGGAGTTTCACAAGTTATACCACTTCCTTATTAAAAAATAGTTTCTCTAGCTACTGCCAGTCCTTGAATTTTAGTCCGATAAATTGTACAACATTGCTGATTTTTACATATCAGTTAAAGAAAAGGGAACCAGTTTTGGCAATCTTTGGTAAACCTATATTTTGTGCCCGAAGTATGCCTTTATTAAATTATGTTTCTGAACCGAAATATCTACCTCTTGGTCGATTCTACATCCCTTTTGACAATGGCATAAGGGGAGGTAATATTTACCATAATAAAAGGGAAGGGAAATAACTCCATGGCTTGAATTTTGTTATTGTTGATTAATTTTGTTGAATAGATTGTTCTGTGATAGTGAAATAATAAAAAATGGCATCATGTCTGAAATTAATATGAAATTATTTATAAAGATAAATTTAATTTTATATATTTTTCACTGTGATCATAAGTTGACTTGTTTGTCAGAATAAGAATTTTGATCCAGAGTTTGTGGATATCTTTAAAAAGGTTTTACAAGCATTATGTAACCTTTAATATTATCATTAAATATTGCAGGTTTTAGCATTCTCATATTAAATGTATAATTAAACATTGTCTAGGGTTTACATTGTGTAGCAGTCTGCAGTTTTTTATGTTTGATATATTTTATATATGTATTTCCAGACTGAGGTAAACTTAGGGAAAAAAGTACTAATGTTTCATTCAAATATTTATCTTCTTTTATGTACTGGTAATGTGCATAGGGACAGTTCTAACCTTTGAAAAAATGTATGAAATCATGATAAAACTCTTTGAAAAAAAAATTCTAAAAATTTCAGATTGTAGCATGTAGACTTGTCCACAAACTTTTGGATCAAATCTTGAAAATGTAAGGTTTCAATAATATATAACCATACAAAAAAAGTTATTAATTCTTTTGTTTGTTTTGTTTCTAAGACTTTCTGAGTGATGATTAACAGCATGAATTCATTTAAATTTTTCATTGAATTTATAGTTTCATCATTAAAGCTAAAGTTAGTTTCGCTGTGACTTTTTACCTAGGCAAATTTTAGCTGTTTTTTTTTATGGTTTCTTGAGAATGTGTAATGTTGTTATCATCTTTTTGAGGTATTGCTGCATTAAAATTTCTGTGGATCATCTAGTAGGATCCCTACATTTTTTTTCAATGTATAGTTAAAATTACAGGATAGTTTTTGCCTAGTTGTGACTTGTGATGAAGTTGTTATGTTTATTATGAATGGTATATTGTGTATTAATCCATTCAAAAGTCTACAAACTTTTAATAAAATGTTAGAAACATGCTCATTTGGTGTTATTAGTTTTTGCTAGATACCGGATACACGTACATGTACCACCAGTGAATACATGTTTTACATGAATTTATTTAAAGATTGCTGATATCTTCATTTGTTTTTAATAATTTCCAATAAATTTCGTCCTGAAAAAAAATTCCCCAATTCCTAAATTGTGGAAAGATGAGAAAACTAGAAAAGTAATTAGGGCAGCCTATCAATCACTGGAAGGCCTGTAGTAATCAGCTTGTCCATGCTTCTGTCCTTTGGAAATCACAATGAATCTTTGTGAATCTAACTTCATTGAGACCGTTTGATGCAAAAATTTCATATTTGGTAGGATTGTTTGCCATCATGTGTAGTTGACCATATTGCACAATGCTTTTGAATCAACTATTTTTACAGAAGTTATGGGACTTTGTTCACAATTTGTGCCACAATGATCCTTGGGAACAAAACTCCACTGGGACCATTGGACAGAAAACTCTCATACTTTAAAGAAAGGTTGGCATTATGTGTAGTTGACCAGATTGTGCTGTCATTTTGATTCAACCATTTTTGCCTCACCTGCAACATAAGTCCCTGAATGCGAGACATAGGAATTACAAACCAGCGGCGAAACTATTTATTCATTACCTTGCATGCAGGTACCTTATGATACGAAGTTTCCGTCTGTCATATGTCCATTGTCCTTAACCTCATTTTCATTGATTAGCGAATGATTGAAAAAAAAAATGTTTTTGTTAAGTGAAATACTCACTTATTATGAGTAATCCTTGCAAGGTCTGTCAGATAATGTTCATCAGACCTCAACCTCATTTCATGGATCAGTGACCAAGGTTTAAGTTATGTGATCAAATCCTTATCTCAGATACTATAAGCAGTAGGTCAACTATATTTGTTGTATGGAATGAATGTAAGGTGTACATGTCCAACTGGCAGGTTTCATCTGAACTTGACCTCATTTTCATGGTTCATTGGACAATGTTTAGTCTTTATGGTTTGGTCTATTTCTCAGATACTTTAAGCAATAGGTTAATGATATTTGGCTTATTGAATGAATGTAAGGTGTACATGTCCAACTGGCAGGTTTCATCTGAACTTGACCTCATTTTCATGGTTCATTGGACAATGTTTAGTCTTTATGGTTTGGTCTATTTCTCAGATACTTTAAGCAATAGGTTAATGATATTTGGCTTATTGAATGATTGTTAGGTGTACATGTCTGTCAGGCAGGGTTCATATGACCATGACATTATTTTCATGGTTCATTGGTCAATGATAAGTTTTTGCAGTTTTATCAGTTTATCAAATACTATAAGCAATAGGTCAATTAATTTTGGTCGGTGGAATGATTGTAAGGTGTACATGTCTGTCTGGCAGGGTTCACATGACCTTGACCTCATTTCATGGTTCATTGGTCAATGATAAGTTTTAGTGGTTTTGTCAGTTTATCAAATGCAATAAGCAATAGGTCAACTATATTTGGTGTATCGAACAATTGTAAGGTGAACATATCTGTCTGGGTTCATATTACCTTGACATAATTTTCATGGTTCATTGGTCAATGTAAATATTTTGTGGTTTGATCTGTTTCTCGGGTACTATTGGCGATAGGACCACTTAGTTTGATGTATGGACTGATTTTGAGGTGTACATGTCTGTCTAGCATTTTCATACAAAATTGATGTTTATAAGTTTATGTAATACTTGTTGTAAAACCTTTATATTACAGACTTTTAACATAAATTCAATCAAAAGTGAAGCAAGCCTGACAATTTAGCGTGTGCACTCTTGTTTCAGGACTTTGATCGTAAAAATTTCTGAATTTACAGTAATTAAAACTCTTTAAAGGCTATCATATCATGGCTTGCATCTAAAACTTGATCTATGAGAGACCAAACTCACAATTTTGACATTATTTTAGTTGTTGAAAACCAATTTTTATTGATTTTGTTGCTATAGGTAAACCACAAATTTAAATGTCCAACAAAGTAATTAAAAAATTCAATAGGCTTGTATGAAGACTTCGGTAAAGCCAGCGACTCTTTTCACAAAGAAATCTTACGATTAAAATTGATCGTAAATTATACTGAAATGCGTATGACTTACGAGTATTTTTACTCTTAAGATTTTTTGTGAAAAGAGACGCAGGAAATCAAACATCCTCGATTATCCTCAATCCATGAAAATTGGTACTCCCAAAAACAAATAAATCGCCAGTAGTGGGAAACTATAAATGAAATTTTCTTTCAATAAAGCCCTGTTTTAAGATAGAAAAATGCATGTTTAACATTGTAAGGCTTTCAAGTACAGATGAAACAAAGTGAAAAAGGTGCTATATAAAAATAAGAAGATGTGGTATGATTGATTGCCGATGAGACAAATCTCCACCAGAGACCAAATGACGTAGAAGTTAGCAACTATGAATGCTTAACAGTAAAAATTGCCATCTCTTATATCTATGCAGTCAAAGTGTGGGTGTACATGTTGATTTTAGGGCCATTGATTTCACCCTTTAGAATATAAAGGACATGCCAGTTTCAGGGCCATTGATTTCACCCTTTAGAATATAAAGGACATGCCAGGTTCAGGGCCATTGATTTCACCCTTTAGAAAATAAAGGACATGCAAGGTTCATGGCCATTGATTTCACCCTTTAGGCCGGGTTCACTTGAAACTCTCGAGTTAACCCATCTTACCCCAGTTCCAACCCCCACGAGCCACAGTTAAATTTGAGTAACCCTTGAATGACAACAAACCAATCAGATTTCTTCATTTTTTTATGCTAAGCCGGGGTATTACTCTCGTGTTAGTTAGAGTTGTTCCGAATAGCAACTCAAATGCATTCACGTGAGACTCTTGAAACTCTGTAGTCAACTCTAGAGTTTCAAGTGAACTCGCCCTTAGAATATAAATGACATGTTAGGTTCATGGCCATTGATTTCTCCCTTTCGAATATAAAGGACATGCCAAGTTAAGGGCCATTGATTTCATCCTTTAGAATATAAAGGACATGCCAGGTTCAGGGCCATTAATTTTACTCTCAGAAAATAGAGGACATGTCAGGTTCAGGGCCATTGATTTCACTATTAAGAATTTAGAGGACATGCTAGGTTCAGCTTGACAAAAAAAATCAAATGGGGAAAGTTGAAAGTTTTATTAGGTTAACACATAATATTTACGATGGAAACAGACCCTAGCTTTCCATCTAAAACAATAACAGTGCATACCATTTTCTGATTATCGGGTATATAACTACAAAAGGTTGAAATCATCTTAGAACTGGTTTTTTCCACTGCATTTATATCATTACGAGATAAAAACACACATCCAAAATATCAAAAGCCCATTCTGTCCATGCTACATCTTCTGATCACTAGGTAACATTCTGTGCTCTTAGTTTAGTTCATTATTCTAATTTGATTTTTTCTGTATCTTTATATCTTTTAAATTTGTAAACATACAGATAAGGAATTAAGCTATACATATACTTGTTCACCCAAAGATAAATCATCAAGGATCCTCCGAATTAACCATTGATAACTTATCTCTTTCAGGATGTAACTTGTTAATATGTGCCAAATATAGAGATCCTCACAGCTAAATATGGCAATTCAAGGATTCTTTATCTAAGAAAGACATATCTAGAACGATTTGAATTTAGATATAGTTTATCATTGTTTATAAACGATAAAATGAATTTGTTGAAGGGATTGTGTACCTCTTTAATGTCATTGACTTTCCACATTACATTTATTTAAACAATTGTGAATACTTTAAAATATTAGATTTGTGAATATTTCTACCCAATTGGCCGATATATTCTAATATCCTATATTCATTTACAGGATAAAATTAAGCTTAAATATATAGAAAATGGTTTGGCATTTTGAATTAATATTGCAATAGTGGATAAATTGGTTTAGACTATATTTGATTACACTGATGTTTAGTATTTTCATTGACAGAGTCTCAAAGTCATGAAATAAAAAGGTTATAATACAACCTACTACATGTAACTATAAAAACACTAAACCAATCAAAACTGGTCAGATGTCTTTTGGATGTGTCAATGAGTTGTTGAATTAAGATGCAGAGGATTTCAAACTCATAAGCATTATATACCATATTTTTGTTTAGAAACAGCCATAGCTCCAGTAATGTTTATAAAGTTATCAAAGAGCAGTAACTCAAAAAATTAAGTGGTCATCACCAACCTTATCATGCACCATGCATTCACATTGACGACATATTTTTTAGTAGGTATTGACTTTCTGGTCATTTATAAATTGTCAGTGTTCAGGATTTTAGACTATTATCTTACATTTTAACCCTGTATTTATTAGACATGACTAATATTTGCCTGTCTGAAGTCAGGAGCCTGTAATTTAGTGGTTGTAATTTGTTGCTGTATATCATATCTGTTCAGTTGTTCAGTATTTTGTACATAAATCAGGTTGTTAGTTTTCTCGTTTGAATGGTTTTACATTTGTCATTTCAGGGCCTTTTATAGCTGACTATGCTGTATGGGTTTTGTTCATTGTTGAAGGCTGTACGGTAACCTATACTTGTTAACCTCTATGTCATTTGGTCTCTGGTCGAGAGTTGTTTCATTGGCAATCAAACCACATCTTCTTATTTTTACATTTTTGTTGATGGGCTGTAACATATGTAGTAAGATCACCAACTAAAATCTAGACACAAAAAAATACATTCATGTTTAATTTGGTTTATATTGGTATGAGTTTCAGAGGCAAAGATCTTTGAAACAAAAGTACAAATATTGGCTGAAAAAGTCACTTAGCAGAACTAAATTCAATTAACCGTTTTGGTCAGGTGACTTTTGTTTCTGTCCATCTATAAGAGCTTTGAAAATGATGGGCAGAAAAGCTAAAATTGGTCAAAAACTTTCATTTAAGTTAAGAACAAAGGAGTTGTCAGGAAAATATGGGTAAAAATGTACATACAGTATGGTAAGATTTTCTATATTTATTATGTTCTTCTAAGATACTACAGAATTACTTTCATTTTATCCATGTTTAATTTTCACATAATTATGGTGGTAATGTTGGTTGGTGGAGACAAAAACACAAACTTTATACTGAATACACTAGGAATCATTCAGACTGCCTTCATGGTCTCATGGTAGCTTGCTTGCCTCGAGTGTGGAAGGTTGTTGGACAAACTGACAACTTGAAAATTAGTATTTGCTGCTTCTTCACTAAGCAGGTGGCATTTGGGAGTAAGAGCAAAGACTGACAAAGATCATGTTCTCGTCCTGAATATGTGTTTAGTGTGCCACTGGAAGTTAAATATTCAAGATAAGTTTATTTGTAGTTAGTCCAGTGGATACACAGAAGATTTCTTAATGAGTTTATGACAATGGACAATGATGACATGACAGAAGCCAAGTGATGGTTTACACCAGGACCTACCTTTGGTCAAAGTTTGCTAAAAGGAAACTGAATGTTACCCATTGAGAGCCATGCAGTTCTTTGGAGAAACATTCATTGTGGATTATTTGAAATTGTGTGGGTCTTATGTTATTAATGTGTATGGGTTTATCAATAAAGATGACATAGTGAGATCAGCTGAACTACATAACATCTATATGTATGAATAACGAAGAATACTCAGTTAAAGAAACAAGAGGCTCCACGGAGAATCACTCACCTGGTTTACACTAGCCGAAAAGAAATATTTCAAAACCAACAAGTTGCTTTTTACAATCATCAAACCAAACATTTTGATTGGTAGTTTCAGAGATGTTCTTAGATTGTCTCTTGAGTTCATGATTTTAGTCCAATCAACCCAAATGAGGAAAATTTGCAGAGGATCTTACATACAGTATATTCCTTTAACTTTGTTTAAAATTGGTTATTTAGTTTTAGAGAACAAGGTGAAAATATGAAATTTGATAATGAATGTCAATTGATGACAATAGTTGACATGGCCTGAAATGAGAATCAGTTGAAGAGAACCTTCTATTCATTTTTCCTGTCAAGTTTGTTTTAAATTGGCAATGTGGTTTCAAACAAGAAGATGAAAATCATGCCAAGGCACATAATTCATCTGAAACATCCAGAGATTTCTACTAATGTAATCCAGATGAGTGATTAAGACTCCTTGAAGCCTCTTGTTTTTATACTACCGCAAAATTTTTGCGGTCGTATATTGGAATGACGTTGGCGTCATCGTCATTGTCGTTGTCGTCGTCATCGTCCGAAGATACATTGGTTTTCGCACTCTAACTTTAGTTTAAGTGAATGGATCTCTTTGAAATTTTACCATAAGGTTAAATACCACAAAAGGAAGGTTGGGATTGATTTTGGGGGTTATGGTACCAACAGTTAAGGAATTAGGGGCCAAAAAGGGGCCAAAAATAAGCATTTTCTAGTTTCCAGACAATAACTGTGGAACGGTGTATGGATCTCTCTGAAATTATACTACAAGTTTCCATACCACAAAGGATGGTTAGGATTTGCTTTGGGGGGTTATGGCTCAAACCGTTTAGGAATTAGGGGCAAAAAAGGGGGAAAAACAAAGTTGTCCTGGTTAATGGACAAATACTTTAGTACAAAACATAATTTAAAGCAGTGTAAGGGAGATAAATCAAATACATCATTGAAATTACCTCCCTTACACTGCTTTTTAATTATGTATAAAGTAATGGTTAATGAACAATTAAGATGAATTAAAACAGTGTAAGGGAGCTAATCCAAATACAACGTTTTGGTTACTTCCCTTACACTGCTTTTAAATTATGTTTAAAGAAATGCATATTTATAAAGGAAGACCAGTAAAAATATCTGCAAATGTTGCATCTTTTTTTTTTTACAAAAAAATCCATATGAAAAATTTGACACTATATTTTAAATTCTATTATAAGATAGATTAAGTTAGCACTATGGTAAATTTAAATGGGTAATTATGGTTGCAAGCTCCATTGGAAATTTGAATTGAGATTATGACCATATCTTGAGGGAAAGAATTTTTTGGGGGAAAAAAGGGGGGGGGGGGGGTAAAAAGAAATTGTGGGGGTCAATTTTTTCTCATTTCAGATTTCAGAAATTAAAAAGAATTATTCTTCAAATATTATTTTTTTTTCAAATTTCAAATATTGAAAAATTTCAAGAAGTAATCTTTAATTGCACAGTATGGTGCATTAGATTTGTAAAATCTTTGACCACATTTATTTATTTATTATACCGAATCTAACCGTGTATTTAGATTTTTAATTTTGGGTCCAGTTTTCAAATTGGTCTACATTAAGGTCCAAAGGGTCCAAAATTAAACTTCGTTGGATTTCATCAAAAATTGAATTATTGGGGTTCTTTGATATGCCAAATCTAACCGTGTATTTAGATTTTTAATTTTGGATCCTGTTTTTTAAATTGGTCTACATTAAGGTCCAAAGGGTCAAAAATTAAACTTAGTTTGATTTTAACAAAAATTGAATATGTGGGGTTCTTTGATATGCTGAATCTAAACATGTGTTTAGATTTTTGATTATGGGCCCAGTTTTCAAGTTGGTCCAAGTTGGGGTCCAAAATTAAACTTTGTTTGATTTCAACAAAAATTGAATATATGTGGTTCTTTGATATGCTGAATCTAAACATGTATATAGATTTTAGATATTTGGCCCAGTTTTCAAGTTGGTCCAAATTGGGGTCAAAAATTAAACTTTGTTTGATTTCAACAAGAATTTAATATATGGGGTTCTTTAATATGCTGAATCTAACCATGTATTTAGATTTTTTATTTGGGGGCCCCGCTATCAAATTGGTTCATATTGAGGTCAAAAGGGTCCAAAATTAAACTTTGTTTGATTTCATCAAAAATTGAATTATTGGGGTTCTTTGATATTCCAAATCTAACCGTGTATTTAAATTTTTAATTTTGGGTCCCGTTTTTTAAATTGGTCTACATTAAGGTCCAAAGGGTCCAAAATTAAACTTAGTTTGATTTTAACAAAAATTGAATTCTTGGGGTTCTTTGATATGCTGAATCTAAACATGTGTTTAGATTTTTGATTATGGGCCCAGTTTTCAAATTTGTCCAAGTTGGGGTCCAAAATTAAACTTTGTTTGATTTCAACAAAAATTGAATATATGGGGTTCTTTGATATGCTGAATCTAACCATGTATTTTGATTTTGGACATTGGACCATAATAGGTAAATTAAAAAAATTCAAGTTCTTAGACCACATTCTTTCTGTGTCAGAAACCTATGCTGTGTCAAATATTTAATCACAATCCAAATTCAGAGCTGTATCAAGCTTGAATGTTGTGTCCATACTTGCCCCAACTGTTCAGGGTTCGACCTCTGCGGTCGTATCAAGCTGCGCCCAGCGAAGCATTTTATTTACTAGTGTAATTTAGATGAGTGATTAAGACTCCTTGGAGTCTCTTGTTTTTACAAGTGTAATCCAGATGAGTGATTAAGACTCCTTGGAGCCTCTTGTTTTTACTAGTGTATTCCAGATGAGTGATTCACTCTTTGGAGCCTCTTGTTTTTTGTTAGTGTAATCCAGAAGAGTAATTCAGACTTGTAGGAGCCTCTTGTTTTTTTCCTACTGTAATCCAGATGAGTGATTCAGACTCCTAGGAGCCTCTTATTTTCTTATCTGTCAGATAAGACATATGTGAGATGAAAATCATGCCAAGGCACATAATTCATCTGAAACATCCAGAGATTTCTACTAATGTAATCCAGATGAGTGATTAAGACTCCTTAGAGCCTCTTGTTTTACTAGTGTAATTTAGATGAGTGATTAAGACTCCTTGAAGCCTCTTGTTTTTTTTAGTGTAATTCAGATGAGTGATTAAGACTCCTTGGAGTCTCTTGTTTTTACTAGTGTAATCCAGATGAGTGATTAAGACTCCTTGGAGCCTCTTGTTTTTACTAGTGTATTCCAGATGAGTGATTCACTCTTTGGAGCCTCTTGTTTTTTGCTAGTGTAATCCAGAAGAGTAATTCAGACTTGTAGGAGCCTCTTGTTTTTTCCTGCTGTAATCCAGATGAGTGATTCAGACTCCTTGGAGCCTCTTGTTTCCTTATCTGTCAGATAAGACATATGTGAGATATACTAACAACCAATAAAAAATCCAGACCTAATCCTGAATGCTGGAGTATGAAAATGAGGACGAAGTCATTTCACAGGTGTCAGAGGGGCATATAAACCTAGCAATCAATCTACATGTCAAATATTGTATATAATAGATAGTTACTGAGAATTTGTACCAGTTGACAAAGCACCCAACAATGTGGTGGTGGTATGACGTAAATACTACACAGAAGTTTTTAAGAGTTAAATTATAAATACTTCTACTTAAATACCATGCACTCTACTGAGAGTCAAATAGTAGACAATCATTAGCTTAATGTCTCTTTCCAACAAATGTAGGTCCCAACTATGTATTGCCTACCTAAACTTCATAAAAAACCCTGTCAAGTACCTTTCATCTTGCTTTAGTAAATGTTCTACAACTAATTTTTCTGTCCTTTAAACTAGTCCCATGACTACAACTTATTAATTTTTGTAGCAAAGCATATATTTTTCACTAAAAGTTGCCATCACTTGTTTGATGCCCCAGAAGTCCACAAGGGTATCATGTTTTATGTCAGAGTTTAAATTTTGGTTGATGTCTCAGATAGTGCACAGTAAGGTCCCAAATGTATCATGGGCTAAGTCAGAGTAAATAACATTTCAACCAAATCTAAGGTTTGAGCTCCTGCAGACAAAGCTGCGCATAAACACCTTTATTATTTTTTATAGGACTAATATAAACATGAGGTAATATTAGCAATGTTGAAAAGATGATACCCCTGCAACCTCATTCAGTAAAGGCAAAGATATAACTATATAACTATATACTGCCGCTCAAAAAGCAGTGGTATAATAATATTTTGCAGTTTTATTTCCATCTGTAACAGCAAACACAGGGCAATATAAAATATAATATTGGGCTAGGATATAAAAAAAAACACCAACAGCTTATACACATAGAATTTAATATACTGATCACATTATCATTGTCAAAAATAAATATCACAAAAATACATGTAAATATTAATGATAAAATTCTTGACCATAATTTGACCATACTGGTAAGATTTTTGTTCTGGGTCTATTCTATACATGCATATTTCAACAACCTTAAAGTTTTGTTCCAATTAATGCTGTTGGTTAAAAAGATTTTTTATTTTTGATTTAAGTGCAGTGTTTGTATGTCTTGCAAATTAAGTGTAAATATAAACTATGCCCCTTAAATTGTGTCTGTGCTATAAAATAACAAGTAATAAACTATTTTAAGTAAATAATCATCAAAATAATATTTAATTTTTGTACTTAAAATAATGTAAAGTTGGCTTTTTTGGGGGGTTTTCATGATTAACCTTTAACATAGTAAATTTTGAAGTGTTTTAGAATTATTTCAGTTGTAGACATAGGCAATAGTCTGAATGTATGTGACAGACCCAAATCAGATGATTTAATTCCATGGTATCATACAACCTAGATGTAATCATTGAATACTCTTGATAAAATAATCATTTCAGAAAATAAGAATAATCTTCAAAATTAATGGACAGAGTAGGCTTGGTTCATTTTTTTCATGCTACAAAATAGCTAAATTATATTTAAGCTCGATTTAGTTTCTACCATTTAGCGTATAGATTCACAAACTATGATGACTTGCGAGATTTTCTTTGTTTGTTTTACTTTAATAACATTTGGTCTAGTTAGGTAAAGAGGGTGGTTTGTGGGCTCATGAAACTTGTTTAATCCCAACCACATTTTGTGCCTGTACCAAGTCAGGCTATAGAACCATGTGTTCTTTGTTGTTGTATGATTAGAATAAAGAATGGAAAAGGGGGATGTGTCAAAGAGACAACAACCCGATTAAAGATTAGAAAACAGCTTAAGGCCACCAATGGGTCTTCAAGGCAGCGAGAAAATGCCACACCCAGGGACTTGCTTCGACTGGCCCTAAACAACAATGTATACTAGTTCAACGAAATGGACACAACCCTAAACTCCGTATTTTTTGTCAGAATCAGGTGTTGGTGTTGATGTGTCTGCTGTGCTGTCCATTGTTTTTGGTAATTCTTGTGTTCAGTTTTTTATATATTGTCTTTGTTCCCATAAAAATCAGGAATTTTGAGATCCTATTCATCAAATCACTGGTAAATAGGATTCATCGTGGCAAACAGAAATTCAAGAAATCCTTAATAAAATATTTCACAACATATTTTCTGTAGAACAATATTGCATAACTTGAATTTCTTTTTGTAACAAGCACTCTACTTCACAAATTATGCTTCAACACTCATTAGAACGAACTTCAACTTTAACAAGTTGAACATGACTGCTTAAAACAAGATGTAAGAAGAGTGCTATTAATTTTATATAATTCATCCAAATAACACCATCAGACCTTGTAAAAAAACTGACGTCACTAACTTATTAAAATTAATCATTTGAGCAGAATTGAGAATAATGAATACCATGAAACAAGTATTACATTTCCACATCTGCTTAATTAAACATGTAGGTGTTTGGATTAACTGTGAAGTTTAATTAAAGTTCTTTGCCATAAGCCCAATGTTTTGATTCAATATGTTGCCAGAAAAGTAATCAAAAACAGTGCACAAGTACTAATCAAAAAGGTTCTAAAAGTTATTATAAAGGATAGTAGGTTAAATCATTAAAGGGAAACAACTCCTTAACTGTTAAAATATAAATGCACATTAAACATTTATATATACTCTTCATAATAGCTAGATATGACTAGAAATTTCCAGACTTGTTTTCATCATATTATTAAATGTAACAAATTAATGGTTCCAATAATAGCTTATAAAGGAAAAGATTAGGTTTGGAAATGTAAGTGGGTTACTGTTTCCATTATATCGTAATATATCAAAAATGGTCTAGGATGCTATTAAACAAATCAACGCTCCTCTTACGTTAACAAAAACTGCTTAAGGCTATCAGTTTATACAGCATGCAAGTCTTCTTAATTTAGTGAAGTTGATTACTGTATCATTTTCCTGAAATGTCAACTATAACGAGTTAACTAGAGGGTACACCTACTCAAAAAAATTTAATGTCGGAAAAAGAAAGAAAATTATTGATTTGGAACATAAAATATTCAGATTTCAGAATTAGTTTCAACTGGAATGCTCGTGTTTTAAATGTCATACTGTTCTATTGTTTCGTAAAAGATCAAATAACTTTAGAAAGCTTGAAAAACAGAAAAGTTAAAACTATTTACAGTAATACAAAAACTGCAGTCGCTCATCTGTACTGAAATATTAATAGATGGCTTGTAATAAGTGGAGTACTTGATACTAATTGGACTAAGCTTGAGCTTAAAAAGCAATAAAGAATTTCAATTTCTAAATACAAAATGAATTAAAAGATTAATAAAATATCCATAGTTATCATCATCATCATCAAACTTTAAATAACTCAATTAAAAACCGCCTAATTATGAACAGTCTAATTATTTAGACTTTACTATTGCATAATGTACTGCAAAATTTGGTTTTCCAATTGATGTTGGTTGCTCTGTAATTTCAAAATTGAATTTAGTAATTGAAAATTAAAACCAGAAATAATTAAATGAAATCCTGTTTATTTCAGGTTTATAATTGAATTTTTTGCCACTTCAGACGGACTCACATAAATATCAAAACATAATATCTTGTAAAATATCACAAAAATATATGAATTTTAATTTTTTGGGGGTACACAATATACACATAAATCAATAAGTATAAATTTAATTGTTATATTCTATGGATGACTTTATTAAATGAACTTTAAAAAAAAAAGATTTTATAAACCATTCTTAACTCAAATATGTTACATGAATATATATCTAAAATGAATATTAAAATATTTGATTCTGACATTCTTCTTTAAGTAGTTTGCCAAACACAATCAATTTGATCACATTTAAATTAATAAATTACGGCTTTCTTCTGCTTTTAAAACAAAATCAACTAATAAGCGATATGTTTGTCTGACTCGGTAAAACATGCTGTCTCTATGATATGACTTTTCCATCTTCCTTTAGTGAGTTACCAAGATTAGTGAAGAACTCTGCCATTGATCCTGGTATAGCAGCATCGGTCAGGTTCTTAGGAACCATTCCTTTTATGTCTGGCTGTATCAGACTGACTAGTTTACACTTGTTTGGATTACTACAAAATAGATACAGCACTGTAGATTCAGAATTATACGCATGTATTTTATTATTGAAAATCATTGATTACTGATAAAAATTATGAGATTTAATTAATGTGATTGCAAAAATTTTGTGAAATTATGAATGCCAGTTTTTATACGACCGCAAAAAATTTTTTGGGATCGTATAATAGTATGATGTCGTCGTCATCTGCGTCGTCGTCTGTGTCGGCGTCCGAAGACACATTGGTTTCCGGACAATAACTTTAGTTTTAGTGAATGGATCTCAATGAAATTTTTTTAGAAGGTTCAATACCACAAAAGAAAGGTTGGGATTGATTTTGGGGATGATGGTCCCAACTGTTTAGGAATTAGGGGCCCAAAAAGGGGCCCAAAACAAGCATTTTTCTAGTTTCAGGATAATAACTTGTGTATAAGTATTTCGATTGCTCTGAAATTGTACCACAATGTTAAATACCACAAGTAGAAGGTTGGGATTCATTTTAGGGGTAATGGGGGCCAACAGTTTAGGAATTAAGGGCCAAAAAGGGGCCAAAAACAAGCATTTTTCTAGTTTCCAGACAATAACTTGTGTGTAAGTGTATGGATCTCTCTGACATTGTACCACAAGGTTCCATATAACAAAGGGAAGGCTGGGATTGAGTTTGGGGTTAATTGCCCCAAACATGTAGGAATTAGGGGCCAAAAACAAGCATTTTTCTAGTTTCCAGACAATAACTTGTGTGTAAGTGTATGGATCTCTCTGAAATTGTACTACAAGGTTCCATACTACAAAGGAAAGGCTGGGATTTAGTTATGGGGTTATTGCTCCAAGGGGGGTTTCAAAAAGTGGGGGGGGGGGGGATTTTTTTCCAAATTTTTTTAAGGGATTCATATTTTTTTTTCAAAATTTTTAAAATTTGAATTTTTGAAAAGTTTCAAGAAGAAATCTTCAATTGCACAGTATTGCGCAATGGATTCATAAGATCTTTGACCACATTTATTTTGTGTCAGAAACCTATATTATGTCAAAATTTTTATCACAATCCAAATTCAGACAGTATCAAGCTTGAATATTGTGTCCAAATTTGCCCCAACTGTTCAGGGTTCAACCTCTGCGGTCGTATCAGGCTGCGCTCAGCGAAGCATTTTATTATAATTGCGAACCTGATACTGTTAACAGTATATCAAAGAGTTGGAATTATTGTTTTCCATTTTAAAGATGGTATTAATTTCAGTAAAACTTGGACTGGATACATATGCAAACGCTGTTTTCTTTTCTTTTCCCCAAAAAAAGATACCGACGACAAAAATAAAAATTAAAAAAAATACTAGGGTCTTATATATCTAGTCAGAGGCACAACTTGAGACTAGTTTGAAGGAAATCCATGACACACAAAAAGATGTCATAAGATTTTGAATTGAAAATTGCAGGTTGTCAGTAAAAAACCCAATCTTGTTGACCTATTTGTAGATCTTGTCTTGCTGATCATTTTAGCTATTTAAAGCATCTATCTATCTATTATAGTTTTCTAAATAATAGGCAAGCCAGTGCTAGGGGCAGTCTTAAACTTGCAGTGAGGTGAGAGTTTTTTTTGTTTTTTAGCTCTGTGTTGAAGGCCTCACTGTGACTTTGAGATGAAGAACAGCAATAAAAGCGCTGTTCCTTTGCTTTTTGTGTGTTTTTTTGCTGTGCATGTACTGATTTTGTGTCATGGATGGATACCCCATATCCTTTTTTTTCCCTATTAAAAAACACTAAAAGTGGTTAAAATCATTATTATAAAGATCAGAACCTCCAATAACCAGTCGATTGAAGAAGTGATGAGAAAAGCTCACTTGGCGCTGTCGGCCAGGTGATCTAATAATCTAAAATGCTTGGTAATCCTTTGCAGACAAAGGAATATACAACATCAACTCATGCAGACTTACTGTAGGCTCTTTAAGGTAAACTTACTGGGAATATTTTAATACTACTACACCGCAGGGATAATTCCAACCTCTAACAAATTTCTTCACCTCAGGAAATTCTTCACATTCACAACTTATAGCTACAATATATATAAGCAATGATACACGAAGCAAAATTCATAACAAGATTACTAGCAAATCAGATTTAGTCAGTTTAGTCATGGTTATAACTTAGTTTACTGGTCAGCTATTTCAGGAAAATATGAACTGTGGAATCTTTACTTTTTTGGGTAACAATTTTCCTAGATTGAGGAAAAATTATATTTTCTTGGATATTTGATTTCATGGTTTTGCCAAAGTCTGCATACAAGCATGTAGAAAATTTGCACTTCGTTGAACGTTTAAATTTGCGGTTTGTCACAAAATTCACGAAATTTGGTTTCCGTCCAATAATAACGAAGCCACAGTACATAACATTTCTTAAATTTAAGTAAGCTTAATAAAATTTTTATCTCTTTAACAACAATCTAAAAAAAATTCTGAGATAAGCAAGTGCCATACATCAAGATCAGTTTAACTTTTGAAGAGAATTTGTCAAGAGGTATGATAACTATTATTTGTTTAAATGGAAAAAAAGATAGATTGATGAACAAATCAGAGACTGATTATCAGGATGCACTACAATTTCAGATGAGATAATAATTTCAATTTCATCACCAAATCTATTTAAGAAAAAATGAAGAAAGGGCTTTAAACTCACTACTCTTTTTGTAGAGAAAGTGAACATTTCATAAAATTAACAATGAACTTATTTTACAGACATTACAATGACATAAAAGTCATTAAATTTTCATTTATTGATGACCAGATTTAGACCCAATGTTTAAACTGACAAAATCTGACTGACTATATTTGTTTAGTGTTGCTAAGCAACTCGTGCATAAAAATAACAATTAGGAAATATAAAGCTGATTGTTAACATTTAATTAGAACTGGCATTTATCTATATAGGTAGCACTTTCAGTTCAATGACACCCAATAATTTATAACATTGGAATCTCAAAGATCTAATAAGGATTATTGTTTAGTAGAACGAACAGCTGAAAGTGCTAATCAGCCGTGGACAGCTATATCATTACTCTCTGATGCCTGTGCAAGTAAGATTCTGTCCATCACAGAAAGTCAAGATAATCTACAACTAAATTCTCCATGCAATGCTAGGACTACATTTTCATGCAAACAATAGTTAAAACTAAAATTGAGACACATCTTTATACATTTAACTTTATACTGATTTTAATGGATCATTAAAAGATTATATTTTATATTATGATTATACAGAAACTGAGAATGAATACATTTTTAGAAGTAAAGAAGGTTTATCAAATCTGAAAGCTATTTTTAGTCTATTATATTGACAGAAAAGTTTGGTGTGTGTAACCAGGGGAAAATACAATCAAAGAAAAATCAGACAGGAGTGTTGCAATTAAATGGACTATAACACTGTATCAAAATTCAAATCTATTTGTTCTTCAGTAGTATTTAGAAAATTTGTATAATCAAAAGGAGAAATTGGCAAGTTAATAAGACAGCAACTCAACAACACAATAGAATCAACAAAATACATCTAAAGGTCAACATACAGTCTTCAATAATTGCTTTTTTTGACAAAATTTTAATCATAAGAGAAACAGATAAAATATTGACAAATGCCTATTTACTAATAATTTTTAGCATGGGTTATAAAATACTGTTAATGTTCATCCTTGTTATACTTTTATTAATGCAAAAATAAATCATGAGGTCATCTTTAACCTTTCAAATATAAAATACTGTTATCTTATAATTGTAAATGTTGCTGACCAGAAAGGATAGCACTAAAGTAGAACCTAGCAAAAATCTATATTCACACAGGATACCACGGCTGTATAGCAAAGTTATTGCTTAAACAGTCATTTACTTAATACTTGATATCCCTAACAACAAAAATATACAACTTAGACTGTCCTAAAATGTCTGATAGAAACAAAAGTAATGTTAATATCATGCTCTGTTTATTCTAAGACAGTAAGCAAACAGAAGATAATATTGTACTTGCACAGGCATGCAGGGAATAAGAACTTACTCTGGAACTTTGTGGACTATCATCCCACATGGCCAATTCCAGCCTCGAACATGGCCATTTTCTTGACCATTGGCATGGTCTATACTCATAGCTGTTGAAATAAGATAAAATCTTAAATATTTACATTCTGTTTCTCTCAGGCTTTCATAATCTGTTATTCTAAGACTGAGGGAGTGTGATAAGGATCTTGCTTTCCATAAACATAGGAATTTTGTGTCAAAATAATTGGTAGGTTTAAGCAAAAACATATTATTGATATTTCATTGATATCATAACTAGGTTTGCTTTGATGTCATTGCTCCCAAACTGTCTATCTTTAGTTTTGTAATATCTCAACTTTTGATACAGTCATAAATTGGAATTTAAGATTTTAGATCAAAAGAACAAACTTCAGTGAAAAATTTAGCCAAATAAGCCCTTACTGCACAGAATGTCAGAATATCATAAAGTACTACAATGCACCATGTAAGTATTAAATTAACATTATAATGCTTCCATGATTTTACTTAATATTCACATTTAAAACAGTAAACATGAGGTCATAACACTTTAGTAAATAGTACTCCAGATTTCTGAGGTTAAGAGACCAATACATTCTAAACACTAAACAGAAAGAAAATATTCAAATTTCAAGAGCAGAAGGCTATATATCTTATGTGTTATCATCTGTATAGGCAGCTTCAAAGCTAAGATGAAAGTAGAAGATGTTTTTACCAAGGATAATTTGTGCATGTAGAGAGTTATGTAACATCTAATGTAGTATAATGTTAGAAAGAACCAAGTAGTTATGTAAAAGATATTAGTGAATAAAATTTTCTACATATGTTCTCAATGAAATCAATTGACATGGTAGAATCCAGAATATTTTCATGCTATCTGAATTTTACTAGACAAATAAAAGTTAACATTCCTGTAAATATATACCAGTGGCAGATCCAGGGTACTGTAGAGGGTGTACAACCCCTTCGATAGAAAAAAAAATAACTAACTGTTTATAAGATTATTTAGCATCAAATAGTCCAAAAAAATTTAGGACATACAGGCATGTATTCAGTTTTCTGGAATTACACCCCCTTCAAAAATCCTCTATCAGCCCTGCATACATACCATTTGTGGATAAATATGTATCTGTTTCTTTTGTGACTATGAGATCAACAAAGTCTCGTGGTGATATCAGTCCCATGCAGGCACTTGATGTACATGCTCGATTTATTCTTAAATCCTACAAAAAAAAAACATTTAAGTTTTAAATCAAATATTACTCAACCTGGTAAATAATGAAACCAACAGATGCCTTTCTGTTTCAGTATCATGCTCTTTCTTAATAAAACTATTCAAATTTTGTCTTCTTCTATTTTTGGTGAAAAATGGCAGCATTCACAACTTATAAAAAACTTATAGAGGAGTGAAAAAGGGACCTGTTGCATTGAACTAAGTGTTAGTCATTTTATCATTATAGCCACATTTTCTGTGGCTACTTATTTTCCAAAATTAAAATATTGATTCACTAAAGAACGCATTCTTATCTAGAATACTCATCTAATATTTGCTGAGTGGCATCAAAAATAACTGAATATACATAAGCTAAAAACAATGTCCATTTTACTACAGGAAATGCAAAAAATTAAACAATAAAATTTGAAGTGCAAAAAGTTATTATGTAATAAAGAATGAGTGATAGTTTCCCTCAAATCCAGTTTCTGGTTTAGGAGTTTTGAAGACTTCATACATTAGTTTTCATAAAATTATAGTACAACAACGAAAAAAAAGATCAAAGTTATTACCATATTACCACATCCCGAAACTAAATTGTTTGTGTGGGGTATCAAAATACAAATGGTTTAAAAATCACTTTAATCAAATCATCACAGATATTTAAACTTTCATAAAAATATATTATTGGAACATGGTCATTGTTCAGTTTCACTCAAATTATTATAATATGTAAACAGCACTATCCCATTATAGAGTTACAGAAAGCCATGATGTACTGGGTAAATACTTCAAGATTCCTTTTAGTATGACTCAGGATGATTTAGAGACTTACATATTGTCTTGTGGTAGCTTTAGCAGTTACGTTACATATCCACTAAACTGCCAATTTATTAAAAGCACTTTTTCATGTTGGGGTGTGCCCGAGAAGGAGGTATAACACTTGTTAACGTATATATATACATGTATATATTTATGTGTGTGAAGTCCATACATGTTCAAACTGCTTTTTCTTTTCTTTGTATGTATACTTGACTATTGTTTTTTGTTGTTGTATAAATATTACCTTATATTGTAATATGCTCTTCTTCTTCATTTTTTTTATTTTATTCTATGATGACTAGCAATATGAATGAATTGAAAAACTATCTGTAAGTAAGATCTCTCTTATAGCACCAGATAATTCAGAACTCTTTAATACAGTTTATTTTCTCACCAAAATTATTCAATCTGTTGTAGTTTTATATTTTGTTCATTATATTGAATAAGAAAGAAACTACTGAAAGAAAATAATCTTTTTATTTCAAATGGTTTTGTTTTAAAAAAATACAAAATTGCAGAGGAAATGAAGGTGAAACTTAAATTACTTACTTTCAATATAAACCTTAACAGTGAGATTTTGCTTTACAAATGTTACAAAAAAGTTTCCTTGGTGAGGGTCTCAGAGTAGTTTAAGACAGAACAAAAGCTATACCAGCTGATGAAATTTTCAATCTGCTGTCAATTTACTTGCCTGAACGAAATAGGTGTACATGTTCTGTTCATGTAATACTTAATTATATCTCACTAATTTTGACTTTTGCCTACTGGAACGTTTGTCATAGGCAAGACAAAAAAAAAAAAAATGCATATGGAAAAGAAAAGTGCAATTACGAATTACAATCAATACACCAAACTATCTCAACTTTACAAATTAAGACAAGTCTCAGGGTCAAAGTCAAAGACATAGTTTAAAAAATAATTCTTTTTATGTATGACCAGTCGAAAGCTCCAGATTTATAATTCTAAATACTTTTTGTTATTTACAAATGAATATAAATATATCTAAAGGTTACTTAGGGTACTTTAGAATACCAGATTAAATTGCATTATAAAGCCTTTGCATTTTTTTATGTCTTAAATACACTGAACACATAAATATTTGATTAAAAACAAGAAGCAGCCTCTATTTAACTGTGATGAATGTGAGAGAATGCCAATAAAAACTGACCCCTTGTGGTTTTTTGGATGATTTTTTATCAATTTACAGTCTAGATGAAATACCTACATGTTTGTGTAATTAGATTGATATAATACTATCTCTCAATAATGGTAAGTGTCCCAATGTTATTCCTAGACATTATATATACATTATTTCTACCTCCCATAGCTAATGATCAAATAAAGCACTTAAAGATGGATCTGACAAAAACTTTGAAAATGGGAAAAAAAAAAGCTAAAAACGCTTAAATTGAAAGATCATTTTGAGACAATAAAAGCATACATTTTAAGGAGCTTCTTGACAATTATTAAATCTTTACATAAATAAGGTGATGTGGTCAGATTGACAATGAGGAAGCTATGCACTAGATACCAAAGGATAAGGATGGGAGCAACAACAGATCACCAGACAGCCTTTAACAATGAGCAAAACCAATACCATATAGTAAAGCTATAAAAGGCCCAGTTTTCTTCATTTGACTTTTATACTATAAGAAAACAATACTAAACAATGATATAAGGAATAAAACCACTAATTCATAGCCCTATTGCTTTCTATGTAAAATTTTGCAATTTGAAGCATTCATAGCTATTTTGTCTTAAGTTCAAATAAAGTGAGTAATTTCATGTCAAACTATACCTTATCCTGACCATGACTTGTGCTGAAAAAATCAACAAACATTTAAAAGCATATTAGAGCGCACTGGTTCCCTGAAATTTGATAGAAAAAAAATAGGTACTTCTGATCTGAGCAACAGGTCAATATGCTCTCCTTTTTTAATTTCATGTATATTTTTTTTAATTCAAAGGAAACTTTAAAAAAAGGGTTCTACAGTGATCCCAAGTCCTTAATCTTTCATTTGATACCTAAATTACCCAAATAGTTAACTTATTGACAAAGTTACAGCTATGCGAAGTAACTATTTTGTTAAAAATATGTACTACTTTCTTGTATACATGTTCATTCTGGACAGGCCCTAATTAGTGGTTCTATACCATAACATTAAGATGTATCAAAGCTCAATTTTAAGCTTGGTCTGTTTGCTTCATTTTTTAATATCTTGATTGTTAATCAGTTATCTGAACAACAAGTGAAGTAATCAATCAAACTCATCAGAAATTGACAGTTTCGACAGATAGACATGTTGGAGGGCAGATTACAGAACAACAGATATAATATGATGTCTTTTTAAGATGTCAGTACACAAATGCACTTTTTTTGCTGATGATAGCATTTTAGATATTATGGTGCTCAATAGGAATTCTAACTTTAATGTTCAGAAAGAAATCAGGACTATAATAAAAAAATATTTGGTTCAAAAGCAATACAGCTTATATATATGTAGCATACTACAGGTAGTATACATTTATTACAATTTAATATTGACAAAATGGTTCAAAGGCTGAGACACCATCGTTTCTCTTTCTGAACAAAAGGTGCCTTTCCTGATTGATTGGTTTTTGGTGTTGAATGCCACTTTCAGCAGCATTGGCTGTTTTGAGGCAGACAGTTTTTGTTGGTGGAGGAAGCGGGTGCCCAGAAAAAACTCTGACCTTTTGGCAGAAAAACTGGCAATTCTTATCAATTAAGATGGGACTCACCTGCCACAAGCTGGTTCAAACTCACAACCTCAGTGTTGACAGACTATTGATAATGAAGACACTCTGCAACTCTGCAACTGAGCATCCCCCCCCCCCAGCCACCACAGAAAAATAATTATGATTGGATTGGTGCAAAAATAATAATGATCCACTGTTGCAAAGCATTATTAAAGACGTAAAGAGATCTGAGAATGAAAGGATCATCGATCTTACTTTGACAGACCACCAAGGTAGTAATATTAATGGATTGGAAAACACGTTAAAATAGCAAATTTAAAAATGATGGGCCAGGTAGGATTAGCAGCAATATCCATAAGCAGTCAACTGACTTTAATTATTGACATCAATCGAAAAAAGCAATACTTTCAAAAACCATTAAATTCATTAAATCTTTAGGTAAGAAGAATGTTTACTTGAGCCTTCTCTCTACTTCAAATGACTTTCATAGGGTGCTTCTACATAACCCTATAGGGATGATTACATCAAAGAAAAAAATTAAAGGGATTAGAGCAATTGGAAAACTATACATAAAAATAACCAAGTAATCCCCTTTGCATTATATAATTACAAAAAACATCCTAGGAGATAATTACCAGTAGAAAATTAGTGTACCTAGTATTACCTAACATCTAATTTACCACATATTTATTACATCAAACATCTTTTTATGTCATAAAAGTTCCATAAATATTTCTTTAATCTTCAAATTGCCAGTTTAGATTGCACTTAACAGTTTAAAGTCTGCTCCTGTTAACCAGGTGCCCTGATATAGGTAATGAGAAAAATCATCCTCATTGAAAGTTCATTTGATAAAAAAAACTTCTTCTCTCAAAAACATATTCCTTATTACACAACTTTTTTTAATTTCCATCATCCTAAAGATATACATGAACTATTATCCACTCGACATTAAGCAAGCAAGCATCAATCAATCAATTTCCAGTACAACATTGCTGACCTTGCAAAGTTTATGACTAGAAAATCATCATTAGCAAGAATTAGAGAGATTTTATAAACTGCAACAGAGCAAAGTCATCTTCATCATTTTTTGTAATTAAAATCTCTGAACTACAGTCATCTTCAGCAATGAAAGTGTAAACTTTTGTAATCTCTGAACAACAAAGTCATCTGCAGCAATGACACCTAAAATTGTATAATCTCTGAACTACAGTCATCTTCTGCAATGACAGTGTAAACTTTTGTAATCTCTGAACAATAAAGTCATCTGCAGAAATGACAATGTCAACTTTTGTAATCTCTGAACTAGTTTCATCTTCAGCAATGACAGTGTAAACTTTTGTAATCACTAAACAGCAAAGTGGACTGCAGAAATGACAGCTAAACCAACTACAGTCATCTTCTGCAATGACAGTGTAAACTTTTGTAATCTCTGAACAATAAAGTCATCTGCAGAAATGACAATGTCAACTTTTGTAATCTCTGAACTACTTTCATCTTCAGCAATGACAGTGTAAACTTTTGTAATCACTAAACAGCAAAGTGGACTGCAGAAATGACAGCTAAACCAACTACAGTCATCTTCTGCAATGACAGTGTAAACTTTTGTAATCTCTGAACAATAAAGTCATCTGCAGAAATGACAATGTCAACTTTTGTAATCTCTGAACTACTTTCATCTTCAGCAATGACAGTGTAAACTTTTGTAATCACTAAACAGCAAAGTGGACTGCATAAATGACAGCTAAACCAACTACAGTCATCTTCTGCAATGACAGTGTAAACTTTTGTAATCTCTGAACAATAAAGTCATCTGCAGAAATGACAATGTCAACTTTTGTAATCTCTGAACTACAGTCATCTTCAGCAATGACAGTGTAAACTTTTGTAATCTCTGAACAACCACTCATCTGCAATAAACTGCAAACATTGAAATGAAATAATCCGTTTACAACAATGACCAATTGTGAATGTCTCTAGTCACCTCAATCAATGACAAAACAGCTTTTTTACCATGACTGTGACATCTTCATCCCAAGCAATTAGGATGTAGACTTTAAATAAGCTTTATAACTTGAATACCATCAAGACATGAAGAGGGGTGACAAGAGCCAAGAGTGATGACAAGAGCTAAGTTCCATAGATGTCAATTTCATTCATTTTTTTTAATTATAGGCCCAAAAAAATGGAGGAAGATTATATATGAATCATATACATATTACAACTCTTCATATTACAAATGGTTTTTTTTAATAACATAAAAACTAGCAAACACAAAATTAGAACCATTCATTCAAATGAAAAACCTTACTCCGTTTTACAGACTGACTCATTTTTATTGCTTATTCAGCAGCCAATTATTTTGTAACAATTTTCAGGAGATTTTATGGACATTTCTGTCATTTATAACAAAAATAGAAGATTTTAATGATTCTCTACTGTCTACAGACAAAAACTCAATTTTGACATTTAGCCTGGGAAATGTAATAATAAATCCAAACATTAGACTAACAAACAACTATTGAAATTTTACTGCAACTATCGTGCATATCTGCCAATTAAGTTTTTTGTATGGATTCAAACTAGTGTGTAATGTTTTCCATCAATTATCATCCATCATAATATACATGTTCTGTAATTCCTTTAATAATTATGTATGTATATTAATTCTTGTTACGCACAGGGCAGGTGCACTCGACTCCAATCTTAATTGACTAGTTTTCCTACCAAAGGTCAATGGAGACTCTCCGGGCATGCCAACTTCCTCTACCAAGAGAAACTGACCACCACGAAATAGAACAATAGTGTTGAAAGTTGTGTTAAACACCAATCAATCAATCAATAAATAAATAATTCTTGTTATATAAAATAATATAATCACCTTGTCAAGCCATTTTAAGACTTCTATCTTTTTCATATTTTTGTCCCATTTCATTCTTGGACCTTCTGGTAGAGGTTCCACATATTCAAATACTGTTTTTGGTGGTACATTGTACTCTGCTTCTCCTTTATATCTAGAAAATAAATCGTTTAACAATTTACATTTCTGATGATTTTTTGAGGGTTTGTAGTCTAAGTTGAATAAAAATTTAATAAATATAAATTAAAGAAAATGTAGGGTATAAATGTATGAGACAACCAAACAACAACAAAAAAATCAAATTAGAGGCTCTTTGGAGCCAGCATTACTCACCTGGATCGTTATGCTAAATGTTAACCATGGCCATTATTAAAACCTGTTCAATTAAAATCAAAAGCAGCTTAAATGTAAACCATGGCAACTATTAAAACCTGTTCAATTAAAATCAAAAGCAGCTTTAATGTAAACCATGGCCATTATTAAAACCTGTTCAATTAAAATCAAAAGCAGCTTAAATGTAAACCATGGCCACTATTAAAACCTGTTCAATTAAAATCAAAAGCAGCTTAAATGTAAACCATGGCCATTATTAAAACCTGTTCAATTAAAAGCAAAAGCAGCTTTAATGTAAACCATGGCCACTATTAAAACCTGTTCAATTAAAATCAAAAGCAGCTTAAATGTAAACCATGGCCACTATTAAAACCTGTTCAATTAAAATCAAAAGCAGCTTAAATGTAAACCATGGCCACTATTAAAACCTGTTCAATTAAAATCAAAAGCAGCTTAAATGTAAACCATGGCCACAATTAAAACCTGTTCAATTAAAATCAAAAGCAACTTAAATGTAAACCATCGCCACTATTAAAACCTGTTCAATTAAAATCAAAAGCAGCTTAAATGTAAACCATGGCTACTATTAAAACCTGTTCAATTAAAATCAAAAGCTGAGCTATCAACAGCAACCATGTTTTAGTCTCTGAGGAATTTTCTTTCAATCATACATTATTCATGTCAGTATAAAATAAGGAGATGTGTATGACTGCCAATAAGACAACTATCTAAAAGTGTCCAAAAGACTTGGATTTAACCAATTATAGGATGACAGTGAATCTTCAAAACCCATACTATATAGCTGCAATAAAGGGCACAGAAATAACAAAATGTTAAATAATTCAAATGAAAACAACCAACGACCTGATTTATGACATAAACAATATTCATACATTGAAGGAAAATATCAAATTTATTTGTATGATCTTTAGAAACAGAGGCAAAAGCAAGGTTCACCAATTTATCTCTTATTTCTTTACAAGTGAGATCAAATTAATTTTCTTACAAGGTATGAATATTGTTTTTATCCTGCAATTTAACACCTACGCATAATTTTGAATAATTTTTTTACTTCCCAACTGCTATATTGTTTTTGAATCAAATCAACATGACATGGGACAGTGACTAGGACACTAATCAAATCAACATGACATAGGACAGTGACTAGGACACTAATCAAATCAACATGACATGGGACAGTGACTAGAACACTAATCAAATCAACATGACATGGGACAGTGACTAGGACACTAATCAAATCAACATGACATGGGACAGTGACTAGGACACTAATCAAATCAACATGACATGGGACAGTGACTAGGACACTAAATTGAACTGTATTGTAAATGAAAACAGTATGTTGAATACAACCGTTTGCTCAACAGAAGCAGGATACCAGTAGACTATAAATGTATACTAAATTTTTATCGCTTCATGTTATCTGTACACCTATATTTGTATAGTAAGAAAGGTTGATTGCAGGCAAACCAGGAGACTATAAATGTATACTATACTATTATCACTTCGTGTTATCTGTACATCTGTATTTGTATAGTAGAAAGGTTGGTTGCAGTATAAAAAACAATAAACAATTAAAGAAGAATGTGTCTGAGGACACGAATGCATCAGCTCAAGCTTGCTTTTAAATGAAAATGGGACGGACAGAAAGACGGAGAGAATGACAGCGAAGGGTAACACTTAATGCCCCCTTTGCCGTGCGGCGGGAGCATAAAAAAAATGTTACCTATACAGCAAATAAAAGACAACCACTACAGGCTCCTGACGAGACAGGCATATACAGAATGTAGAAGTTAACAAAAACTTTATCAAATTCCAATATGATGTGAATATTAAGTAAATGATGCTTATTTCATTTTTTTACAGAGCTTTCAACTTATATCCATTCTGTTACAAACCAATTTCTTTTAACATACACCTTTATATAATGAAGTGACTATATTCTGCATCTTTTGATTTAATTATAACAGCTAGAAATGACTGGTCTTTTAAATAAGCTTTTTACAATATTAAATAACACTTAGTCCGTGACTGTCCAAACGGTCAATACTACTATGATTGTAAAACTGAGAAATTCACATACATTACAATGTATTTGAGAATTTGTAATAAAGAGAAATATTCACACAAGAACACACCAGCATGTTAAAATGAAATAATACATTAGCCCGTACCAATACAGGATATTTAAAAGGGTTCATTAGAGTAAAAGTAATGTCATCTAATTCTTGATATAATTTTATTCATAGTTTATGATTACAAATTTATTCATTTATCTAGTTATTTGATTCATTCAAGATACTCAATGAAAATCTTTTAATTTTTTCATTGTTCAGAATTGCAAAAAGATTTTTACATAGTTATATGGAATAATACAACTGTTCTCATTTGCTAAAACTATTTTCTCAATGAAAAGGCATATTTTTAAAACATTGTTATATATGTTATTTTATCACCTTGGTGTGATATTTTGAATTGTTTTTAAGTTTCAGGAAAAGCAAGAGGTTTTTAACTTTTGAAATGTGCAAAATCTCACGTCTTGTGTGTGAGAATTGACAGTTGTATTGAATCTGCTCGACAAAACAAATTTGCTTGCTAAAAATTGACATTAGTTATTACATCACTAAGGTATGTCTGACATGTGCATTATTCATTAGCAGTATCATTAACACACAAGGGCCACAACTGCAGCAGGATCATACTAAAACGACCTTATTCTTGTGGTTGGCAAAGTTACATCACTCTCGTTAACTTTCCATTCATACAAATGTCATTCCTGTATTATTCATTAAAAATCTTAGTACAACAGGAAGCAGTTCTTGAAAAAAAAAATATTACACATGAAGTTAAGTGCCTCCTACGTTTTATTCATGCATCAAGTTTGATCATACATTTTTCATAAATGCATGTTAGCAAATTACAAGCTGTAAAATCAATTAAAATGCTTACGTTCCCTCCTTATATGGTTTACCGAATTTTTTTTTCGTAACTTGAATTTTTATGAATGAGTTACACCAGTCGACCCTAGGTCAATTGGCTTATCTGATGTCATTGAACAATAGGTTCTTTCTGTGACTTAATAACATCAGCATTGTGACATAGCAAAATTACCCGAAAATGCATCTTATAGGTTTGCTCCTGATGTTCGAAAATAAACATTTTACATTAAATAAATTATTAAAATTACTCAGAATCACAAATGATTAATAAATTGTCAACAAAAACTGCATCACATTTTTATAATTTCTTCCTCATGTTTACATACAAAAACATATACAAGTGCATTTTGATGACAAACCACAATAAAACTCTTGTTTGGTGCACTAATATCACCTCTATTGAAATGTATACAGATTACATCATATCTCCATGTCATTTAAAGTATCAAAACTATGCAACAAAAACTTTTTAATAAAAAAGAATATTTTAACTCGCATAGTTTTTAACGTATTAGAGTGCTGAGAAACATTCTATCATACACATTCTTCTTGTATTCAGTAAGTTATAAATACAGACTTAAAGTACATTTTAATTCTAATATAACTGCTTGTCTATTAACTGAATATTAGCATAGAGATTAAAGTACACTATGTGTTTGGATTTTAATTTTCAATAAAAGTTCTATTTATTTAGACTATAAAAGTACACTGTGTTTGGAAGCTAAATTGGATGGATCTGATTGGATGCAGGATTTCAGCTTGGACCTACCCATTGTTAGGAAACAACCCAGGCTTGTATTTCTCGTAAAAAAAAATCTACAGACTTCAGTTTTAATTTTTCTTTAATACATGTTACACAATAATCAAAAGATGAGCAATAACACTGATTTCTTAACTTCCAACTTCTGGAGTTTTTAAAATATTCCATGCTATAAAGTATATAGCTTAAAAGCTTACTATACAGAATTAGTTTTGCTCATTGTTGAAGGCTGTACAGTAACATGTTGTAGTTTACGTCCTAATATCCTTTGGTCTTTGTTTTATAATTGTCTCATTGGTAATCATACCACACCGCATTATTTTTGTACTGAAATTCCAATGAAAAATATTTTAATGTCCTTATGACAAATGATGTATTTTAGACCTTGACCAAACGGAAACTGACCTGTGTAACCTTTCATAAAAGGTTAAGGCACAGAAATTATGATTATAAAATAACTTTTAATCAAATTTCTATGACCATAAATTGATAAATGAAGAATGTGAGTGTGTTTAACTGTGTTGATTATTGTTATTACACATACATGTATATTATAGCAAGAAAAAAGGAGAAGAAATTAAAATAGCGTAGGTCTATCCTTAAACCAAATCCATTAGTCCAAAATAAAAAGATCTCCCTACGGACAAGATTTTGTCTGCCCTAAAATGCCTATTGAAAGTAAATAAAATAGATCTTACTACCAGTACCTTACCCTATTAATTCAGTCATTATAGTCGGTCTACGATGTTAGAGTGTTCATCAGGGGGAGAGACTGAATCATTTGGGTTAACCAGTACCTTACCCTATTAATTCAGTCATTATATTCTGCTGCTCTACGTTGTTAGAGCGTCCATCAGGGGAAGAGACTGAATTATTTGGGTTAACCAGTATCTTAGCGGTTCCCTATTAATTCAGTCATTGTATTCTGCTGCTCTACGATGTTAGAGCGTCCATCAAGTTGGGTTAACCAGTAGTCCCTACCCTATTAATTCAGTCATTATACACTGCTGCTCTTCAATGTTGGAGTGTCAATCAGGGGGAGCAACTGAATTAGTTGGGTTAACAAGTACCTTTCCCTTTTTTTAATCAGAAGTAAATTTGAAACAGGCATACTTTTGACAGTGTTATCAATTAAATACGTCAGATATGTTTGTATTTTATTTATTTTAAGGCCATTTGATTGATTATGTTAAAAATACTTACAGATGACCACTAAAATATTCTGACTTCACACAGGAGATCTTGAAGTCTTTCTGAAAAAAAAACACCATATAAACAGATATTAGTAGCAGTAAAAGACTAATAACCTTTATGATAGCTTAGACCCAGTGCCAGATGACAAACTTCCTACCTTTTAAGATAAAATTGAGAATGGAAATGGGGAATGTGTCAAAGATACAACAACCCGACTAAAGAGCAGAAAACAGCCCAAGGCCACCAATGGGTCTTCAACACAGCGAGAAAATCCCACACCAGGAGGCGGGCTTCAGCTGGCCCCTTAACAAAAATGTGTACTAGTTCAGTGAAAATGGATGTCACTCACTAAACTCCGAATCATACAAATGAAATAAAATTAAAAAAAAACATACAAGACTAACAACGGCCAGAGGCTCCTGACTTGGGACAGGCGCAAAAATGTGGTGGGGTTAAACATGTTTTGTGAGATCTCAACCCTCCCCCTATACCTCTAGCCAATGTAGAATAAAGAAACACACAGCAATAGGCACAGTAAAACTCAGTTTCAAAAAACCATATCACCACACAGCTAAAACTAAACACAAGTTTTCATTGTGAAAGTAATAACATTAGCATTACAAGTATGACAGTTTTATTAGGATTAGACAACAAGTGAATTATCACTTTTACAAATTCCTCTCTTAAATAATAATAAACACAAGTTGAATGTCAAGATGGACAGTAAAAAAATCGTTCTGCAGAAATGGAATGTAGACATAAATAAAAGTCATTACTGATAGACAAAATTAAATATCATTAAACATATAAAGACAGAGGAACCACACATGACAACATGAGTTCTATTGTCACGATGTTCTATCTTTAATGTAATCTGTTTGGTTTTATTTTTTAAATGGAGACAAGGACTATATATATGTAGTAAGGATCACTGTCTGTATGACACTTATTCTTGAGCATTATTATGATGATGATGATGATTTTTACTTTAAATTCTGAAAATTTTGCACGCATTTTTTATTGTGATTGTTCAACAATGAACACAATCAAATAGGAGATATATTAGTATTGCGATTTCAGGAATTAATGTGCGAAACCTTTCCTGTTGAAATTTTCCCAACGATAAAATCATTGCAAAAATTTCTGAATTTACAGTAGTATTCTAGTTGTAGATTCGGTATCATATGTTTTTATTACCGTTTCAGCAAATAGTCTCATTCCCTTCACTAATCTTAACTTCATTTTCTGGAAAAAAATTATCTAAATAATATTTGATACTAAACTAACAAGAAATTCTTAACTATCAATCACATTTGACTACTATAAATTAACTAAAAGTAGTTGAACACCCAAAAAGCACCAAAGTATGTTACCTTCCGCTTGCACTACTTGTACTTAATTGAACCAAAATATCAAACTGAAGGATCTTGTTATCAAATTTGTGAGTTCTAGTGATAAATCTTAAAGAATGACATTTGAAGGATCTCTGATGACAATCAAGTTATGGGAAGTCACAATACTCTGACATATTCAGCTCGCTAGTTGGGGTTAGGCAAGGGGATGTTCTAAGCCCAAATTTATTTAAGCTTTTCATTAACGATCTGCCTCCAAGATTTGAGTCGAGTCCAGATGCTGTTTATATCAATGGGCGTAGAATTGATTGTCTTATGTACGCCGATGACATTATTATATTATCAAACACTAAACAGGGTCTGCAAACCCGACTTGATAACCTGCAAACTTATTGTATTGATTGGTGTCTAGATGTTAACTTGTCCAAAACAAAAGTTTTAATTTTTAACAAGCCTGGAAAATTTTTGAAGGAATCACTTTGTTTAGATAATGAGGCTATAGAATGTGTTAACAGATATAAATATTTAGGGATAGTCTTTACTTCCAGTGGTCTTTTTCAGCAGGGGAAAGAAGAGCTATTCAAAAAGTCCTTAAAGGCAAAATTTAAACTACAAAAATCCATGTCAGCTTGTAATCCAAGTATTGATACTGCAATCCATTTATATGATCACACAATAAAACCAATTTTATTATATTGTAGTGAAATCTGGGGTACCTTTAAGATTAACTCTGCTGCTTGCAAGAAAAAAAGTGATTATCTATTTGAATTAATTTACATAAATGATTATTTGGAAAAATCACATTTCAGGTATCAAAAATATATTCTTGGTGTAAATAAAAAAGCCTCAAATTTGGCAGTGTTATCAGAGGTTGCAAGATTTCCTCTTTATTTTTCTGTCATTATATCTATGGTAAAATATGTACACAGGCTTAACAAATTGGACGATGGGTTACTTTATGATGCTTATGTTTGTAATAAAATTTTAGATGCAGGAAACATTAATTGTTGGTATTCATCTATGAGATATGTCCTTCAATCACTTGATATACAAAATTTGAATACAAAGCTCAATAGATTAATTAAATTTGTAAAATGTAAACTTTGTAACAGTTTTAAAACATTTTGGGGGGTCAAAAGATCTGATACCTTATCACAAGGTAATAGTAAATTAGAAAATTATTTCAACCTCAAGACTGACTTCGTAAAGGAGGCTTATTTATCAATTAAAGATTTTAATATAAGAAGAGCTATATGTAAATTGAGAATAAGTGCACATGATCTTAAAATTGAGAAAGATAGGTATAGTAAAAAATACATAGAGAGAAGTCAGCGTCTATGTCATCACTGCCTATCACATGGATCAAATTCTATTGAAGATGAGACCCATTTCACAGTAAGTTGTCCTTTATATAACGAACAGAGAAAATTATTATGGGATAAAGTAAACAGTTTTTGTAATAATTTTAAAGAATTACCCAAGGATAAAAAATATTTCTGGCTGTTCACAAATGAGCATTTACCAACTCTTATGTGCCTAGGCAATTATATAATTAAGTGTTTAGAAATAAGATCCAGGTGGATACAAAATATATAAAATTATTATGCAATTATTGTTAATGTTATGTAAGACACATGATGTGTTAGGCTCTGATCCTGTCCAATATATGATAGTATTATATTAGGATATAGTTTTTCTTTTTTCCAATCATATTGTGCTTAATATTGTTGTAAATGATGCCCTTTATGGGTTCTTGATTAGATTAATAAAATTCTTATCTTATAAGTTCTAGTACCTAGGTATGAAATTTCATTGGCAGGCAATCTTTGATAAATTTAAATGTACTCATTGAAGCAATAAACAGATCAGAAAACTGGGTATAATTGATAAAATACAGATTATATAAATCTTTGATTACACCTGAAAATGTTGATAACCTCTTTTGAATTTCATTCACATATTTCTTATGTTTAATAACTATTCAGGATTGACTACACCTGGCCATGTAAGGGTGGTCACTACTCATCCAACCTTGAATTGTTTAGCATCACTCTTGATTTTCTCAGCATAAACCTTAAGTTTTAAGATTATATGAGATAAGTTTGGAAATATTCCTTCAAATCATGAAAAAGAGTTTGATTAAATTTCAATTTGTATTTGTCATAAAATTAAGATACATACATTTTTGTACACACAATTATTCAAAAGGTATAAGATCTATAGATATTTTTCTTCAATGTTTAAAATAATTATTTTATAAACTTCACCGTTGAAAATTGGTCTGTGGTATCATCCCTTGGAGATCAGTATCACTATTTTGCGGGCTGCGGGTTGCGGGCTGCTCTATTTCATTAAATTACAAAGTAACTGTTACATAAAAATCTAAATACTAATTTTCCATATGAAAATGTGTATTTTAATGAAAGTTGCTTATAAACCATTAATTCAAAAGTATAATTATCTTTAATTATAGCGATAATATAAATTTTAAGAAATTAAAATCAATATGAAAAAAAAAGAGATATTTTACTTAACAAACAAAAAAATTACATTTCTGATTAATAACAAAATAAACACTAATTGATTTGATTGCATGGTGATCCTCCCATGGCCAGATCTGTTTCACTCCCCCTCAAATGTATACTGATTTATAGAATAAGGAAATCAATTGTTATAGGATCATGAAGGTTCGATTTTTCCTGTTAGATAAATCCCCCACACACAGTAAAGGTATAATAAATTACACAAGGTGGTTAATTTATTTATTGTTTCCTTCATAAAATCAGTACAATTTGTCAACAAAGACTTCTATATATACATGTAGAAATTTGTCAATGGTCCCCTACTTAGTACACTAAAACATTGAACTGTGATTATTTCTACAAGGTTACAGACTTTATCAGTTACACTCTGACATAATCCAAATTGTGTAATCAAGCAGTGATAGATATTGGCAAAGTCATTCATATTTCTGTTCTCTGTGTTACAATTACTAATGCATTTGAAATACAATCATTATAAATTTTATCAACTATTGGAATAATTGCTGAATGAAAACCTAAATCTAGGAATATTAGGTCATTATTTAAATATCTTTTTACCTTCAATTTAAACCAAGGAGACACATTTGAGTTCAGTGAAACACTAGTATGCCAAATATTTTCTTAATTCTGAGCAGATCCAGAAGTTGGATGTTCTAGGAGAGGGTTCCAGTCTAATTTACATTGTTGTCTTTTGTGTTCTTTAAATTTGAAGAAATGGAGGGTTAAACTGCCAATAATTCTCATAAGTCATAACTGTAGAAATTAAAGCAAAAAAATAAAAAGTTTGGGTATAAATTCTACAAGACCTAGTTAGATGCACAACCTACGAGTATAATCTACTCACACTGTCTTCTGAACTTAAGAGGTTTTAAGTGAAGAACTAACCAGGGGCTATTATGGTCTCATATGGATGGTTGATGCTTTAATTATCTTTCAAGAGTTATCAGATTGAAATCTTAATTTTCCATCAAACTGATGAATCTTTCCAACGACTAGTTAACTAAAACAGTGTGATTTATTTGCTACAACATTAGCACTTTGAGGTACATTGAGTTCAAATGAAGTAAAACCTTAATCAAAATGCCAATCTTATTTCTGATACTACTAATCACCTTTTCATAGATAATAAATACTTGTAAATCCTCAACCATGGATAATCTATTACAGATCAGAACTAAAAATGAATGATTTATGAGGTTTTTGAAAGAATTCTTCAATTTCCACCATCTAAATTTTCTACAAATTATATATATTTATGTTTCAGATCTCCTAAAGATAGAGAAATATGATAAACTGCTTAAAACTTTTATCCTTTTTTTAATAACAGGGTTAAAATGCTTCTTACACTGATATACCAAAAAAAATTAAACAAGATTCACAATTTTATTGATAAATAATGGATCCTCAAGGGGCATATACTCAAAATATAACATTGATCTTGAATTTATGAAAACCAGTGTAGGGTCACAAAAACCATAGCTTTTAAAAAAAAAGGAAATTGTAAATCATAGGAGTATTGAGGCCAGCCACCCACTTCACAAAAAATCTTATGAGAAAAAATACTTGAAAGTCATGAACATTTCAGCATAACTTACGATCAATTTTTGATGTAAGATTTTTTTGTGAAAAGAGCCACAGCCATGGATTTTCCCTTTGAAGAGGATCAGAATGTATCTCTCAACTTGCCATCCTGAAAGAATAGACCAAATATAAAAAAAATTGTGGCTTAAAATAAAAAATAAAATCTTGACCTTCCTTTTAATTTTCATACCAAGACTTGGTATTCAAGGACCCACATTTAAAAGAATTTGACATGACCAACAAACAGGATAATAAATAGAAAAAAGATGCCTTGCTCTACTTTTCTTTTTATTTTTCGAAATGTCAAATATCTTTTTACTTGTAATAAATTATAATTAAATAGAGATGTTTCCTGAAATATCAATGTTTACTGACAATAATAGCAGTCTAGACAGATAAATATTATTTAAATAGGCAATATCCCATTCATGTCAAAATTTAATGCATTTTCATGTGTCATATCAAATAGTTCATGCATGTAAAATACAACAATGTCTATATAATGAAACACTTTAAGTTCTTCTCATAACACATAAGGATGTTGATGGAAACAAGTGGGAGAGATCCACTCTTACTCTACTGTATAATGAATCAGTACATCCACTTCCCTTTGTGGTGAACACTGAATTAGGTTCGAGTAATGCTTGGAATGTTAACCATATTAGATTACTTTTTGGTGCAATATTACAAATTTCCATGATTTAAGTTCATGTCAGTACATCTAGGTTTGATTTTGTTATGCAAGCATTAGTCCCATAATTCTCAAAAATAAAACTTGATGATAAAATAGAAGACAGCTGGTCAAGCAAACTTCTTTTTAACTGGTTTGTGACCTATTTTGGATGAATTTTAGAGCAAGGCTATTCAAAACAACTGCGAAAATAAAATGTTTGTATTCATAATACAGATTTTCCCCATTATATATACTGTAATCCAAGTTTTACAAAATGGGACAATATTCCTCCAATAACTATACATGACTATATATATAATCTCCAGTGTCCTGAGCAGTTGCTCCTGATGACATATTGACTTTTAATGCTATGAATAGGGAATGTGCCATGCTCTCTGGGTGTAAAAGAACATTAAACACTTATTGTAGTTGACCAACTGTAAGGCAAACTCAAACTTAACCACATTGTTGATCCATGCATTTTGTATTATCTGTTCTCATCCAGAAAATGCATGAAATATTTGCCACTTCACTTTAATTTCAACCAATTAATCCACACTCAGAAGTTACATTTAGGACCATTTGGCTAAAAATCCAAAAGTCAAATTCCAAGCTTAATCATAACAGAATTTTGCTTAATTTTCTTCCTACTTTTTTGCACAAATTCAGGAAGTCTGAGCTTCCTATTGCAAGGCAATTTTCCTATGGTGCCTACCTGTAATTTATATTCCCTATAAGAGAGAACTATCTTTCATTATCTAAAATGACTTACACAAAAATTATCAATTGGTTCAAAAATGCAAAAAAGACATTTAATATGCCACCAACAATCCCAGTATTTTGTTTCAAGATTTTTGCGTTTAACTTGCTGATGGCAATGGACTTGGATAAAATGAATAGTTTGAAATAAATGGCAACAAATGAATGATGTCTAAAATCTTTTGGAAGATACATTAAACAGAAGATATCTCTTCTCTGTAAGAAATCATTGCGACATTGCAGGAGGGTCTGGAAAATTGCCTAAAAATTTTCAAAAATAAAGGAATAAAGGACCCCCCATCCAGACCTTTGTACAGATAATAATTAAAATTTTCTTAATTATACCATAGTAACCATACCTTTTAAGTTTTTAACAGAAAATATTAGCATGAGACTCAAAGCAGTCAATAAATACATAAAATTTTATATCATATATCTCTTAATTTTGTGGTTTACATTCTAAGCATCTTTAAATCAGTAAACATTTAAGATTTGACTAACATATTTGATTGGGACAGTGTTAATTTGTGAATTTGCTGGTCATTAAAATCATAGAAAACAAAAAGAAAACTAATAAAGTAAAATAAACTCAAATATAAATACATATAAACTTAAAACAGAACAAAAAACATTCAATATATAAAGATAAGAAAGAAAATATTCATTCAATAGAAATTAAGAAACTCTTTTAATTATCAAAATTCAATAAACAAAGGGGTTAAATTTCACTGACTAAAATTTTACAAAATTTTGTTAAGAGTGCCAGCCAATGTTTTATTTTAGCCCAACCAGGAAGGTAGTTTTGAAAAAAAGTTACTATAGAATATATATGATTGTAGATTTGATAACTCCATTATAGAAATCAATTTCTTCATTGAAGAAAAATATGTAAAAGTCATTAATTATGTGATGTTACAGAAAGTAAGACAATGTAAGACACAGTTACCTACATTTGTACATATCTACAAAGCAGGATTTGTACATCCTTCTTGGGCTCTAGATGCATTTGATGTTGGGTTGCTGTCTCATTGAAATATAACTAGCATTTGTATCAAAAATCAAAACTGTATTTTAATTTATTATTTTAACTTCTTTATAATAAATTGCTATTTGCTTAAATTCCAGTGGCAAATATTTCAAACCTATTCCGGACGATAACCGTTTTAATTAAAGCCTATCAATTTTTAAATTGAGATAGATATGCAATTTTTCTCTACTTCGCATCTGTTAACTACAAAATAGAATTATTCCAATACAAATTAACGATTAAAAATAAATTTAATTAATTAATTAATTACCGTTTCTTTAGCAACTTCCCATTTGTATTTATCAGCATTATTAAGATATTGTTGAAGTTCCTCTGCAACCTTTGAAGCCTTGTCATGATAGTCCTCTGTCGTCATTTTGATTTGGCTTTGATTTGAGTCGATTTAAGTTCTTCAGCATTCAATATACCTTTTCACGTGTTACCGGTGCTGTCAAATAAATAATATGAAGTCATGTGACTTTATAACCACTTAAAGGAGAATCTAATATATCAATGTGATTAAAAAAATACGTTAGTGGTCATTTAAGATTTGAAATTATTGTAAATATCTGTTTTACACTACGATTTTGTTAGCTGCGGTCAATTAAATTGTGTATTTGATTTTTAAATCATTGAATTACTTTCGTCTGTACAATTCCGCCTATATCAGACGAAATAAAACAATTTCTCCCTAACCGGAAGTAAACAAGAATCAATACACATGCGCATGCAGACGAAGTATTTTATGAAACCCAAAAGGTGCAATGAGTATCAACGACTTTTTCAAGTCTTTCTTCGGTTTTAATAGGACACAAGAGCATCATCCATTTTCAAGAGAAAAGTATGTACTATGAAATCCAGGATTCAGGTCTATATACGAAAGAATATGATACACATTTTATGTTGAAGATGTGTTTTGAACAGCTGGAACACAAAACGACGCAAAAAATAAACTATACCTTCAGGGTTTTCTATTTATATGCTAGCTTTAGCATTTATATATTTATAAATAGTATTTCAAATATAGACGCCAATTGTTCAAAAATTAAGTCCAGAAATGGTACATCTGACAAATGTTACCACTCCATGTCCTCTATTCTATTGCATCATTTCTTTTTTGTTGGGCAACCAGGAAGGTAATACACCTTATTGCTATTTGTCTGCCATTTCTGGACATCACAAAGGTTCCCAAAATATTTTGATCTCACAATAGAAAATGACTTACGCCACAAAGAAAAGTGATATGTCACCTCAATACTGACAATGAATAGTTCAAGTATCGCAGATATCAATAATAGCTATAAGGTCTATAACAAAGATACATATATATAAAAAAAAATCATATACACAATTAATTTTTATATGACCGCAAAAATTTTGCGGTCGTATATTGGTATCACGTCGTTGTCGCTGTCAGCGTCTTCCAAGTCGTCCAAAGACATTTGGTTTCTAACTTTAGTAAATGTAAATAGAAATCTATGAAATTTAAACACAAGGTTTATAACCACAAAAGGAAGGTTGGGATTGATTTTGGGGGTTATAGTCCTAACAGTTTAGAAATAAGGGGCCAAAAATTAGCATTTCTAGTTTCCAGACAATAACTTGTGGAACGGTGTATGAATCTCTCTGAAATTATACCACAAGTTTCCATACCACAAAGGGATGGTTAGGATGTGCTTTGGGGGGTTATGGCTCAAACCGTTTAGGAATTATGGGCAAAAAAGGGGAAAAAAATAGGTTGTCCCGGTTAATGTAATGGACATATACTTTAGTACAAAACATAATTTAAAGCAGTGTAAGGGAGATAAATCAAATACACCATTTGAATTACCTCCCTTACACTGCTTTTAAATTATGTATAAAGTAATGGTTAATGAATAATTAAGACAATTTAAAACAGTGTAAGGGAGGTAATCCAAATACAACGTTTTGATTACTTCCCTTACACTGCTTTTAAATTATGTTTAAAGAAATGCATATTTATAAAGGAAGACCAGTAAAAATATCTGCAAATGTTGCATCTTTTTTTTTTTACAAAAAAATCCATATGAAAGATTTGACACCATATTTTAAATTCTATTATAAAATATATTAAGTTAGCACTATGGTAAATTTAAATTGGTAATTATGGTTGCAAATTCCATTGGAAATTTGAATTGAGATTATGACCATATCTTGAGGGAAAGAATTTTTTTGGGGAAAAAGGGGGGGGGGGGGGGGGTAAAAAGTTATTCTTCAAATATTTTTTTTTTTTTAAATTTCAAATATTGAAAAATTTCAAAAAGTAATCTTTAATTGCACAGTATGGCGCATTAGATTTGTAAAATCTTTGACCACATTTATTTATTTGCTATGCCGAATCTGACCGTGTATTTAGATTTTTAGTTTTGGGTCCAGTTTTCAAATTGGTCTACATCAAGGTCCAAAGGGTCCAAAATTAAACTTAGTTTGATTTTAACAAAAATTGAATATATGGGGTTCTTTGATATGCTGAATCTAAACATGTATTTAGATTTTTGATATAAAGTTAATTTACCTATTGGGTGTAACAACTTTTTGAGGTAAATTAATCTTCTAATCTATTATAATAATTAGTAAAAAAGATTTATTTACACTTTGGGTATTTTGCTGAATTTGCTCAAAATGACCCTAGATCTACCTCTGAACAACTTTCTGATGTCATGTAACAATCAGTTTTTAATTTAATGTCAAATTTTCCATTGAACATATTGAGTGAACATGTATGATGTCACTTTACAAGAGAGGTGGAAGATACTAAAGGGATAGTCAAACTAATAAGTTGAAAAACAAACTGACAATGCCATGAGTCAAACCAAAAAACAAACAACAGTCTATATATACCAAATACTGCAAAGAAAACTAAAGACTGAGCACAATGAACCCCATCCACATGTGACACCAGTAATGGCAGAAAAATTTGCATACAAATGAAATGTAAATGCATTTATACAAAGTAGGCATTGGATTAATCACTAGGTGGGGCTCCAAAAGATGGATAACTCAATCAAATTCAAGACTCTAATTTCATGCTTCTGACATATATTACTTTCATTCTTCTGACATATATTACTTTCAAAAATAAATTTATTCTGTAGCATGAAACAAATATTAAGGTGAAAGAATTTTATAGATTGCTAAAGATAAGGCTTAAATGTTCTTCTATAGTAATAATGAAAAAAAAACAATTAATTTTTCTGCTAGAATTTTCCCTTGGATATCAACCCTGCAGAGAGTCGGCACATTTTCACCATTCCACATGGCAACACTGCATACTCTCATGCCACTATATGTGTTGTTATACTGTTCTAGTTATCGATCTTTCCGAAAAAGGCTATTATACATGTATGTCAGAAAACAGCTGAGATGTTTTATAAAAATATACAAATATTTGTACAGATTGCGTTATCTCCCTTGTCCTTTTAACACTTTCTGATATATTTTTCTGATGTATTATTAATTTTCTTATCATATCATAGAAACAAATTGCTTTATTTAAATGAAAAGAAATTTAGTACCCTAGGAACCAGGCAACAAAGAAAAATTTATCTTGCCCTGTTTATTAGATTCTGTAAAACTACAAGATTATCCAAATAATTCCTAAAAGTGAAGTAGAGTTACCTCCCATTGAATGCAGAAATTAATGCAAGGAATTATTTTCAAAGTATGAAAATTCATAATATATGACAAACATTGAAACAAATGAAAAGAAGTGTACATCTGATAAATGCAAGCACTAAGGCATCTTTTCCGATTATTTTATTGGCTATTTGGCAATTGAGAATTTAGTTGGAATGCCTATTAAATGTACTGTTGAGCTCCAAGGGTTAAACCTATAATGAAAGAAAATGAACAAAATAATGTGCAATGTCACATAATTGTTTAATCTTGAAACAGTACTGCCTGTACAGACTAAGGATGTTAGATCAACTTCTTTACTGCTCAACAATATTTTTAAGGGTTACAATTTTTCCCGGAATTTTTGTATGAGCAGTTTTATACTCTAGAAATATTTTCATTTCACTTCTTTTTTCTTACGGTATACTGATGATGAGGTAGTAACTGTTTTCTTCTTTTAAGTTGCATGATTCTTGTACTTAATATTTCATTGTGTAGAAAAAAATACTAGCTAGAATACAGGCAAAATCTTTTCTTGTGTTGGTTAGAATATTTGATTTTAGAAACTTCAATAGAACTATACTTTTTCATTTGTAAATCTTTTTTTCTCTTTTAGTATTTGGGATGAGGATGGTAACGACGAGGAAGATGATCATGGAATGTTCTTCTTTCACTTTGATTTAAACCGTCAGATGGAGAGCATGCAAAGAGAAATGGAGGATATGTTTCGAAATTTTGGTGCTGTAGAATTTTTCCCAGGTGATTATAATAGTATAGACACATGTAAAATTCCTGTTAATAATAACCAAGAATTTTTTAATAGGTTTGGACATAAACACATTTTTTTTTAAATCACGCTGTCTTGATAAAAGTTCCTGTCTTTTTATAACATTACATCATTAATCAAATGATATATACACCTTTTTCTTTATACATTGTAGTTCATAACAAGTATTTAAATGATAAACTTTTTTATTACAGGTTCACAGCATCCTGAGGTAAGAAATCCGCAAAATCCAAGAGATCTGATGTTAAAAGGCAATGAACACAAAGAGGAAATTTTCATGCAACCTCGTCAACCATTTGCACCAGAGTCAAGAACCCAGCAAAATCCAAGAGATCAAATGTTAAAAGACAATGAAGAGAAAAAAGAATCAAAGCCATATTTCATACAACCATTCACTCCTGTAATTATTTGGCTTTATTTTCCCTTTGTCAATCACTCTTACTTAATTATTAGGTTGATCAGAGATTGTAAACAGTTGTCAATTGTAAATTAACATTTATAAATCATTTTATTGCATATTTAGTATGTGCAATGATTATCAAACTACCAGAAATGTTTTTGTTTCCTTCCTTCATCGGTATTATGTAAACACCAAACAAATGAAATGTTGCTGATTATTTGTCATGGCATTTATTCAACATTATTTAACCAACAAACAACATCAACAAACTGGTCAACAAGTGAAAACTTGATGACAATTGATAACTAAAGGGAAACCAACAGTGAATATAAAATAGTATGTCTAGCTGCTGGTCAGATCCATAAAAGCTCAATGAGTATAAATTGAATAAATCACTGCCATTTAAATAAGTTGATGTTGATATCCAATTCACTATACTTATAGAACTGAATGCTTTGAAGATAGACATATTTTAATCACTAATTTCTTGAAACTTTCTGTATTCGTTGCATCTGTCAAACGTTGAAGCTTCTTTAATACACAAATAATGATACCAGATGGTCTAAACTGTACATTTAATACATATTGGTCTGTTCATCATGCAATCTAAAAAATATACCATGAAAATAAATAAAAATTTATAAAAGGGAGAGAGTGTGGGCTGTAATGTCTTTAAGAAAATTTGACATGGAATGAAAACTTAGCAGGAACACATGTTTATATATCACTAAAGTCCATGAGGCACTTAAAATCATATTCTTCATAGTATGTTTGAATTTAATGTAAATGGCAAACCGATAATAATGGACTGTACATTTAAAACACAATAAACAAATAAATGCATTTTCAATGTAATAAATCAATTTATATATTTAACATTAAATTGTATTTATGGAGTATACTGTTAATTGAGTACATTGGTTGGAATGTGTGCTTTTATTACATTGTATATCTCAGTTAAATAATAAAATTTTGTGTTTTATTTTCTTTGTCAAATTCAAATACTTAACAAAAAAATAAACCCCAAAATACAGGGAAAAAACTCTATTTATATATTCAGGATGTTACCTTCTCTGTGGTAGGACATTTGTGTATTCCGTCAAGTAAGAGCAACTTAAAGAAGTATAATAATGCTTACAGTCGGTGCAATTTGGGGAAGAAAATAACTGTCTTATGTTTGTTAAATACAACAAAATTATCAGAAAACAGTTAAATTTCCCTCAAAATTTCACCAATTATAAGCTTGATTTTACTTCTTTAGGTTACTCTTGCTTGACTGAGTATCAGAATGTTCAACCTCAGAGTAGGTAACCTGTCGAAAAATTATAAACTCCAAAAGTTGGTAAAGGAAAAAAATCTATTGATATATTAAATGTTGTTTTCTGACCCAATGTATTGTAAATGCTTTAACATAAATATGATGTGCTGTAAAATGCTGACGTTATAGAATATTTGTATTGTAAAGATTAATATTCTTTTATAGTTCCGATCTCCATTCAGTCCGAGATTACCTGCAACAGAAAAGAGAGAAGACTCAGGTACATAAGTCTCATAGAAACTGATGATTGTGATTATTCAACATACTGTAAATTCACAAATTATTGCATGCATTTATATTTTCGAATTTTGTTTAATGGACTTAAATATGAGATTAATTATTGCGATTTTAGGAAAATCTGCATATATTTATATGTATCAGGGCTGATATGCATATCCAATCATCGTAGTACATGTAAAAAAAATCTGTCCATTAAGAACAAATCTTAACTTCAGTAGCTTTATGCATATCAGCCCAGATATCCGAATGCAAGTTTTTATTATTGCAAAACTCATTCAGTCACACTATTTGCTTTTATAAAAACCTGGCAATAATTTCTGATTTACAGTATCATTAAATGCTAAGAAACATTCAGAAAGTAAGAGAATAAGTATCCTATTCCTAGCCTTTTGAAAATCTCTCTTAGAATTTCAAGGGTAGAATTTTTAACTTAAATGTACACAAGTATGCACAATAGCCATATCATTTAAACAATTTACTGTAGATTCATAATTTTTCGCTAGGTACTAATTTTCATTGGTTTAGATGAACCAAATATTCTTTACTCATTAACACCATATCTTCATTCCAGTTAATTCCCCTTTTGTAAATCTTTCCTCCATTTTAAAATATCGGGATTACGTTACAAGGATTCAGAAAATTTTTAGTTTACAAAGCAAAATTTTACATCTGAAATTCATGTTTTGTTTTTGTTTAAAGCAGTGTTATTCAACAAATAGAAAAATAAAACCCACAGTAGAAATAAATTAGTTGATATTGAATAAATACAACATAACATGCAGCTTTGTGTGTCATTTAGTATTCAGTATTGGTACATGCATATTCATCAATAGGAAATTGATAATTTTGTACAGCAAAATAAATCAATGGTATTTTAAGGAGAAAATTAAAGTTCCCATTGAATTAACTCCACAGATGATAATAGTAATTGCATTTATTCAATAGGACAGCTCACCATCCATGAATTTAAAAACCCCATACTGATTCCCAAGAAATTTTTACTTTATTTTCTTTGCAATAAAAATATAAAGTCATCCCAACAAGTATAAAAAACTTCTCTTATGAAGTTCTGACAGTTCATCAAATGACCACACAAAAGTTGATTATATAACACAAAGAGAAACTAGTGACTGATAGGAGTGCAATTAAATACTCTCCATTCATTGAAACAAAATCGATGTTTAGGTTAAATATACTCATCATTAAACAGAGGAAAATTATTCTGATGCTTTGAAACTGTATAAAAGAACCTCAATTAAAAGTATCAAACATTTGGATGTATCATTGTAGATGTGGATGGAAAGCTTGGAGTAGATGATGTTGCGAAACTCTTTGATAGTCCAAAGTCACAGCCAGAGTTCAGAATGGAACAACCTAAAACATATTCCTATAACCGAAGCTTTTCATTTACAACATCAAGAGGTCCAGATGGGGTACGTTAATTTACATATATGATTATGTGCAGTTTAAAAGATGTTTCATTAAGGTGTAGTAATTGGCTTAATATTAATTTACTTAAACAAGAGACATTTACCAAAATGTTGAGAAAAAAAGAATAAAAGAAGGGCCAAAATCTACCAAACTGTTATAGCAATAAAAAAAAAAATCATTATAAGTGGCAATATATTATATATACAAAATTCTTTGCTATTCAAAAGGGAATTATTTATACTGGTACATATAAAACACTTTCTGATATCTGATAATCCGACTGTCATCAAGCAAAATCTTCCCTGCAATTTAAAAAAAAACCTTTGGGAGGAGGGGTAAACTTTCCATTATTGCTATGAGCGAATTATTGTCATTTAATGCAGCTAAATGAGAAATAATGTCATTATTTGAATACCATTTACATTTTGTCCAATATTTGAAAGTTCAAAGATGAGGACAAACTACCAAAGATTTTTGTAATGTCACATACAATTGTCAACCTGGTGTTTCTATAATTTATGGTAATATCAAGTGTGACCCATTTATATAATATTTGTATTCTCAGATTATTTAAAGCTCATCTTTTAAATTTTGTGATTTCAGAGAGTAGAACAAAGGAAGACAGTAAGAGATGGAGATGGGAACGAGGAAGTGACAGTTACAAGATCTATAGGAGACCAGTCACATTCTTTCACTATAAAGAAAGATAAATCTGGTGTTGAGGAAAAGATTGAAAATTTTAAAAATATGGACGAAAGTAAGAAGTATTTATTGTTATAATGTGCACTGATAAATTAAGTTATAGTTTTATCATGTTTGTCTTGGGAAGTATTAAAAAGAACCAAAACCTTGTGTTTGAAAAGGATAAGAGGTACACAGAATTTTGCATTAAGTCTTTAAAAACAAATATATACCAGTAAGTGGTTTTCAAGAAAAATGTTTTATCATATTATTTATATACATCAACACTGTCTAAGATGATGTATTCTTTCCAAGTCTGATGTTAGACCAAGGTGTCTTAAACTACAATTAAAAATTAGCAAATGTTAAAAATGGCAGATTCAGCTTGATTTAGCTATTTGTTGGTACATAATTTGACAATTTTCCTCATCTATATTTTCTTTACAGAGGATATGAATAAATTCAACAGAACTTGGAAATCTCAGCAACAACCATCATTACCAGAATCTAAAGGAGATCAAATGATCAGAGACAACCATCCAGATTTAAGAGACAATATCCCAGTGATTAAAGACAGTACAGATGCATCATTGTTCCATAAATTCTTTAATGGTTGGTTTAAACCAAAGAAGACCTGAAACTCTGTTAAATCTGTCCATTTCTAAATGGAAACAGAAATGTAAAATTCTCAAGTGACTTGTTTGTTTTATGTACATGCTGTTTCATATTTTACATAAACCATTGTCTTTCAGTTTTTATTTGCAAATGAATGGTAACAGATATGTTTTTTTATTTTTGTTTGATTTAACTTCTCATAACCAAAGAAGATGCTTAAGACTCATAGTGAGCATGTTTAATATAAGTGCTGACACTTTAGGGTAACTTTTGGAAAATAATAAAATTCATTGTATCAATATTGAATATTTAATGAAATCAAGCTTGGAAAATGAATAGTTTTAAATTATTACAACTACTGAAGTTTTTCATGTAATAGTTTTCACATTGTGGTCTTTTAAATAGTAAACATATCACTGTGTAAATGAAGAAAGTGAGATATAAAAGAAGGATAAATTTAATCCACATACAAAATACTGAATACCTGATATGCATAGATCTAATTCACTGGTAAAGAACCCTGTAATAATAATTTAATGTCACATGATTTATGTCAGTTGGATATTTACTTCCTACCAAGAATATACATACCAAATATTGAACCCACTTGTATAATGAGTAAGGGAATGACCTATTCATAAACACTTAAAATGGCTATTAGAATATGAGTGAATTCAGTCTTAAAACTATTCAGACTCACATATATTCCCTACATCTAAATTAATTTAGTAAATTATTGTTCATCTATCATGCAAAGTTCCTAACAAAAACAGGATATTTTTTACGATTTGGTCACTAGTTATCTTGAAAATGAGGTAAATGTCATGACATTTGATTACTGTCCAGCTCTAGTAGTATTAATCACTGTATAAATGTTGGTTGATCTAGATTTAAAAGGGAATAAGATTATAAAAGTGTTTTTGCGCCTGTCCCCAGTCAGGAGCCTCTGGCCTTTGTTAGTCTTGTATGTTTTTTAATTTTAGTTCATTTATATGTTTTGGAGTTTAGTGTGACGTCCATTTTCACTGAACTAGCACACAATTTTATTTAGGGGCCAGCTGAGGACCACTTCCGAGTGCAGGATTTTCTTGCTGCATTGAAGACCCATTGGTGGCCTTCGGCTGTTGTCTGCTCTTTGGTCGGGTTGTTGTCTCTTTGACATATTCCCCATTTCCATTCTCAATTTTATTACAAATATAAACTTTCAATGGCAGAAGTATCAATATGTCTCGCTCCCAGCTATAATCTCAGACAAGACAAAAAACACTCCTATGTCTCTCTCCCAGCTACTTAAATCTCAGACAAGACAAAAAAAAACACTCCTATGTCTCTCACCCAGCTACTTAAATCTCAGACAAGACAAAAAAAACACTACTATGTCTCTCTCCTAGCTACTTAAATCTCAGACAAGACAAAAAACACTCCTATGTCTCTCTCCAAGGTAATTAAATCTCAGATAAGACAAAAAAAACACTATGTATCTCTCCCAGCTACTTAAATCTCAGACAAGACAAAAAAACACTCTTATGTCTCTCTCCCAGCTACTTAAATCTCAGACAAGACAAAAAAAAAAAACTCCTATATCTCTCTCCCAGCTACTTTAATCTCAGACAGACAAAAAATACTCTTATGTATAAGTTTTTATATAACAAATTTATGCATTTATAAGTTTTGAGATATTTTAACAAGTGACTTTACTAAGATATAACCAATCTTATTGAATTTGTTACAGAAAAAAAACTCATCAAAGATGCCAGTCTTATAATTTTGTACTCCAGACATGCATTTCATTTACAAGACTCATCAGTGACGCTTCAAAAAAAATATCTATTCCTGCGGTAGAAAATCCTTAGTATTTCGAACAATTTAAAGTTTTGAAAACAGTGAATTTTTATAAATATGACGATATCAATGATAATTTATGTCAACACAGAAGTGCTGAATACTCTGCTGGTGATACCGTCTTGGAGGAAACCTCCAACAGCAAGTGGCATCAACCCATTTGTTGTAAAATAAATGGGTAATGTGTCCATGGGACACAGATGATGCCCCCTCTTGCAAAGCGTTATAAAGGGACAAAACTCAAGAACTGTAAAAGTGACGCTACCCAAAGTTGTACTTGATCTGAGTTTTGTGGTTATAAGCATTGTGTATACGTTTCATAACATTTAGTTGAGGCAAACTTAAGTTAGAGAACGGAAACAAAAAATTCAGCAATTTTTATACGACCGCAAAAATTAAAAATTTTTTGGTCGTATATTGGTATGATGTTGGCGTCGTCGTCGTCGTCCGGCGTCGTCCGAAGACACATTGGTTTTCGCACTCTAACTTTAGTTTAAGTGAATGGATCTCCATGAAATTTTATCATAAGGTTCAATACCACGAAAGGAAGGTTGGGATTGATTTTGGGGGTTATGGTACCAACAGTTAAGGAATTAGGGGCCAAAAAGGGGCCAAAAATAAGCATTTTTGTAACTTCCAGACAATAACTTGTGTGTAAGTGTATGGATCTCTCTGACATTGTACCACAAGGTTCCATATCACAAAGGGAAGGCTGTAATTGATTTTGGGGGTAATTGCCTCAAAATTTTAGGAATTAGGGGCCAAAAAAAGGGGCAAAAAACAAGCATTTTTCTAGTTTCATGACAATAACTTGTGTATAAGTGTTTGGATATTTCTGAAATTGTACTACAAGGTTCCATATCACAAAGGGAAAGCTGGAATTGAGTTTGGGGGTAATTGCCCGAAACGTTTAGGAATTGGGGGCCAAAAAGGGGCCAAAAATAAGCATTTTTCTAGTTTCCAGACAATAACTTGTGTTCAAGTGTATGGATCTCTCTGAAATTGTACTGCAAGGTACCATACCACAAAGGGAAGGCTGGGATTGAGTTTGGGGGTGATGAATCATAAGGGGGTTCAAAAAATTTGGGGGGGGGGGGATTTTTTTTTTTCTTTTTTTCTTTTAAAATTTTCCATTTTAAGTTGGTTATTTCTGATTTATATTTAAAAGCAAATAATAATGATATGGTAGGAGATACACACCAAACAGGATGTGTAAATTATTATATAATAAGTATTGTGCAATAGCAAGAAATTTTCAATTGCACAGTATTGCACAATAGCAAGAAATCTTCAATTGCACAGTATTGTGCAATAGCAAGAAATCTTCAATTGCACAGTATTGCGCAATAGCAAGAAATATCCAATAGCACAATATTGCGCAATAGCAAGAAATTGTCAATTGTACAGTATTGCGCAATAGCAAGAAATATTCAATTGCACAGTATTGTGCAAAAGAAGATACTTCGTATAAATTGCTTATTTCTTGATCAATTTCAATGGGGTTTTATTCTTGAATTCTTGGGGTTCTTTAATATGCTGAATCTAACCGTGTATTAAGTTTTTGGATTTTGGGCCCCGTTTTTAAATTGGTCCACATTGAGGTCCAAAGGGTCCAAAATTTAACTTTGTTTGATTTCATCAAAAATTGAATTATTGGGGTTCTTTGATATGCCGAATGTACCCGTGTATTTAGATTCTTAATTTTTGGTTCCGTTTTCAAATTGGTCTACATAAAGGTCCAAAGGGTCCAAAATTAAACTTAGTTTGATTTTAACAAAAATTGAATTTTTAGGGTTCTTTGATATGCTGAATCTAATCATGTATTTAGATTTTTGATTATGGGCCCAGTTTTCAAGTTGGTCCAAATCAGGGTCCAAAATTAAACTTTGTTTGATTTCAACAAAAAATGAATATATTAGGTTCATGGATATGCTGAATCTAACCATGTATTTAGATTTTTGATTTTTGGGCCCCAACTACTTTGTCCACATTGAGATCAAAAGGGTCCAAAATTAAACTTTGTTTGATTTCATCAAAAATTGAATTCTTGGGGTTCTTTGATATGCTGAATCTAAACATGTATTTAGATTTTTGATTATGGGCCCAGTTTTCAAGTTGGTCCAAATCAGGGTCCAAAATTAAACTTTGTTTGATTTCAACAAAAATTGAATATATTAGGTTCATGGATATGCTGAATCTAACCATGTATTTAGATTTTTGATTTTTGGGCCCTGTTATCAACTTTGTCCACATTGAGATCAAAAGGGTCCTAAATTAAACTTTGTTTGATTTCATCAAAAATTGAATTCTTGGGGTTCTTTGATATGCTGAATCTAACCATGTATTTAGATTTTGGATATTGGACCATAATAGGTGAATGTCCAATTTAAAAATTTTAAGTTCTTAGACCACATTCATTCTGTGTCAGAAACCTATGCTGTGTCAAATATTTAATCACAATCCAAATTCAGAGCTGTATCAAGCTTGAATGTTGTGTCCATACTTGCCCCAACTGTTCAGGGTTCGACCTCTGCGGTCGTATCAAGCTGCGCCCTGCGGAGCATTTTATTCCATTTGTAAAGGGGCATAACTCTAGAACGGTAAAAGTGACACCACCAAAATTCGAACTTGATCTGTGTTTTGTGGTAATTAGCATTGTGCATAAGTTTCATAACATTTGGCTGAGGCAAACTTAAGTTAGAGAACAGAAACAATGTGGTAATTAGCATTGTGCATAAGTTTCATAACATTTGGCTGAGGCAAACTAAAGTTAGAGAACAGAAACGAATATTTCAGCAATTTTTCCATTTGTAAAGGGGCATAACTCTAGAACAGTAAAAGTGACACCACCAAAATTCAAATTTGATCTGTGTTTTGTTGTATTAAGCATTGTGTATAAGTTTCATAACATTTGGTTTTGGCAAACAAAAATTAGAGAACGGAAATGAAAAATTCAGCAATTTTTCCATTTGTAAAGGGGTATAACTCTAGAACTGTAAAAGTGACACCACCAAAATTCAAACTTGATCTGTGTTTTGTTTTATTAAGCAATGTGTATAAGTTTCATAACATTTGGTTGAGGCAAACAAAAGTTAGAGAACAGAAACCAATTATGGGACGGACAGACAGATGGACGGAGGTACAGATGGACAAGGGTAAAACTTAATGCCCCCTCCGCTACGGCGGGGGCATACAAAACTCATCAAAGATACCAGGCTTATAATTATGTACACCAGTTGCCCATTTCTCTACACAATACTCATCAGTGAATCAAAAGTGTTGAAAGGCCAAATAAAGTACAAAGTTGAAGAACACTGAGGACCTATCTTACCAAAAGGTTTTGTCAAATACAGCTTAAGTAATCTTTTCATGGGGTAGAAAATCCTTTTATTACAGGGGACATTAGAAGGACTGGTATTCATTTTGTGAGTTCTGACTTGTCTCGCTCTTGACACTCTT